CTTGATATCATTTTAATGTGTTTCTATACTTTGCTTTTTTTGTTGAATGACCATTTCACGATTAATGGATCAAACATAATATTTTTGGGACGTCTTATCATGACCCAATCCTTTAAAAAAACGCATATATCATTCTTATCAATTCACATTGTAACCGTTTTCAAGAAAAATTAGACACAAGCCTTGATTTAAGGATCTGAAATACCATGAGTTATTCACGTTGAGATTTACTATTCTGATTACTATATTTTCAAAAGGGCGGATAGTAGCAAAAATTATAGGACGCCGCTCAAAACAAGCGTGATTTTCTCAATTATCGATGCTAAACAATATTTTAAAGATGTATATTTGAATTTTACTCTAAGCCACCCTATAAATTGCTGAACCAAAGACGTTGAACCAATTAATGATCCCGAAGCCATTATAACAGTAGCAGATACGGTTCTGCGTTTCTAATTTCTGCTGCACATTTGTATATTTTATCGATCGAAAACAGATTTACGATAACCCGTACGATTATAAATAAATAATTCAGTAGCGGTAAGTACCGCGAGTAGTATTGCTTTGCAAATGTGGGAATCCTGATCCCACACCGCGCAATATGAAATATAAATTACATAGAACGATAGCCTTGTTCAATTAAATCCATCTTTGGTCCAGAAAAAAATATTGGCAAATATATCTACAAATAATTTTCACTACAATTAAGGTACATATCCCGTTGTTTCACCAGTCGATGTATAGCCTGCTTAAAGAAGTGTTTTACGGCATTTTGTACTTCTACGTCCGACTTAAAATGCTTAACTTTTAACTCCCTTTTCAGCGGCCCAAAGATGTGAGAATCACCAGGCGATAAATCGGGACTATATCTCTAATATCCTCCATCACTCGATGTAGATTTTCTTTCACTACTCTGGCAACATGAGGCCGAGCATTGTCGTGTACAAGAATGACACCGTTTTCGTGTTCTTGCTTGATGGAGATCGTTCAAAGTTTCGTTATGCAGGTTTGCGTTGAAAGAAAAAATTTCGCCAAGGATGAAAACACTTTTTTGTACGGGTTGAAACGTTTTGACTCTTTGAAACATCCAGCGGAAGCTTAGGAAGTGTAGAGTCAATCAATTTGCCGCCTTTTTTTGTCTCAACCTGAGCAAACATATAAGTGCATATATCTAGAGAATCCTTGTAATAAATTCATTATTACTGGCTGTTCCTTTTTCTACATCACTTGGTATAAAAATAATACAACGTGATCCATGACAAAATTCACTTTTGAAAACAATGTAAACGAAACCAGGCCATACCTAGAAGAGTTTGCTGATTTTGACATTGTTTTGAAAATGTTATCATCAAGGTGGCCTCCAGATTTCAGAGGACGCTCTTTCAAACGGAGCCTCAAATTCAGAAAATGCGCAGGCAACAAAATCCACCAATAGAGGCCGATTTCTATCAAAATCCCCACAACCCGGCAAATGCACCGCACTGGGTGTGAAATGTTTCAGTAACAGAAATTATAAAAAATGACCTTCAAAGAGATTGAGAGTAGAGTACGATTTTCTACCATGGAATTATTATATTTGCTATAAAAATAAAAATTCTATATTTTCAAGAACTGTTATAAAATTATTATTCTAAATAACAAAAACGTTGTAATTATTTATCAAGATGTACTTAATTTTTTGTTGACCATAAGAAGAAACTGTAACACTGCATGAATCATTGCCCTCTACAGTATATTCAGATAAGAGATAGACCGGATGTAAACAAAAGGTTCGGGTGATTTTCACGCTAACGCCGCCGTCTCGACGTAAAACAGGAGCCCTCATTGGTCAATTCGCAATTAAATGCCTATGCCGAGCGGCAGAGCAGTCGTATCAAGGCAGAGTCACATTCAGGTTCAGACGTGTTACGTATGTCGTGTGCATCATTGCAATTTGATATTTCTTTGGACGTTTTCGTTTGTTATCTTATTAAGTTGTTGAGTTTGTCGTTGTTATTGTTATACCTTGTTATTGATTGTTATTGTTATCAACTGCTTGCGCAAAATGCCCAGTAGTACAGATACTGCCGATGAAGTTGTAAACTCCTGTAGTCCATCTAGGAAACGCTCTAAAAAAAGACACCTGAGTGCAGAAATGAAAGAGGTCATTTTGAATATATATAAGATCGAGCGCGAGGAGAACGAGGCATCAACCATCAAAGAAATTGTTGTGAAGGTTTTTCACAAAGTTGGGGTGTGTCGCGCATCAGTGTTTAATGTGTTAAGACAATACAAAAAAAAAGCACACCTTTTCTGAGCCAATGACCAGTAAACATCGCAAAAGTATTGTTAAATCATTGGATGAAGCTGATAAGCATGCGATTAGGAGGAAAGTGCATGAATTCTTCTTTAGGAATGAAATACCTACTATAGATAAAGTACTGCAGGAGGTAAATGGAGATACAACGTTGCCAAATTTCAAACGATCAACTTTCCATGCGTTACTGAAGCATTTAAATTTCAAATGGAAAAAACGGGGTCGTAATAGTTTACTACTGGATAGAGAAGAAATTGTGCTATGGAGGAGGGATTATTTAACAAAAATTCGGAAATATAGAAATCAAAACAGGAAGATTTATTACCTTGATGAAACGTGGGTAAACGCAGGACACACTACAAGTAAAGTATGGGTTGATGATTCTGTAACTTCATCCAGGAGGGCCTTTCTAGATGGACTGTCCACCGGATTAAAAAATCCAGCAGGTAAATACGAGTAATAGACAACAATCGGATGTTTTTCAAACCTTGGGAACAAGGTTCTAAACATTAATTCCAGGGGGCAGATAAAACATATTACAAGTAACAAAACTTTTATAACTTTCGATAAAATGCGTGGATGTTTTATTGTCATTTTCATTTGTTAGAACTTTTTTAAGCCATGTTTTTATGTGTTTTCGATATTTCAATAATTTTTTAATATAATCTTAAAATATGTCGAATATTATAAACTTAAAAAAAGTTACTAAGTTTTATATTGTGTACCGTTCCTAATATTTCTAATCATTTTAATTCATACTTTAAGCTTTATAAAGTTATAATTTGTTAATATTAATATTTGCGCGTATTTCAGGTTCCTGATCATTCATTTTTTAAAGGTTTATAACTTTAAATTAAATTGTGAAGCGCTGAGTAATCATACGACGTTCAATATTCTTTCTTTCAATATGACTAAATAATCCCAATTATAGCAATCTGATACTCATGTCTCAATGTTTTTTCGCTGAATGTGATGAAAACATTTGAAAAAGGTTCGCTTATTGAAATAAATCTACACCAGTTAGTACTTCGATTTCCAGGTAAAGGGAAAAGGCTCATTATCTGCCATATTGGCAGTGAGGATGGATTTGTTGTTGACGGTCTGTGGTGCTTTGAGTCTAAGAAAACTGGAGATTATCACGAGGAAATGAATGGAGAATCGTTTGAACAGTGGTTTTCAAAAATTTTACCGAACTTAGAGGAAAACGCAGTAATTGTGTTGGATAATGCGCCTTATCATTCTCGAAGAATGGAGAAGGTCCCAACAACGGCTTCAATGAAAGTTGATGTTCAAAATTGGCTCCGCTCGAAAAATATCAACTTTGAAGAAGCAATGCTGAAAGTACAATTATTAAGAATTGTCAAGGATCACAAGGCGGAATATCAAAAATACGCCATTGACGAAATGGCAGCAAGTCAAAATAAAACTGTGCTCCGTTTACCTCCATACCATTGAGCTCATATGGGCAGAGGTTAAAAATTATATAGCTAAGCACAATACAACTTTTAAATTTTGTGACCTCAAAGACTTTTCAAAGAAGCACTAGAATTAATAACAGCGCAAAAATGGGAAAACTGTATTAAGCACGTGAAAGACAAAGTTGAAAAGAGAATGTGGGAACTGGACAATATTTTAGAGGAACAAGTCGAGCCATTCATTATTGACGTTGGTGCTTCAGGCAGTAGCGATGATGAAAGCTCATCAAGCTCATCTTTCCAATAAAAGATGTCGTTTATCAAATTCGGTAAGTTATAAGTAATTATAAAGCTACTGTATTTTTTAATTAATTATTGACATTTTTGAACCCATTTTGGCAAAACCTATTCAAGAATCTACTTTCTGACAATGTTCAACCATGCACATTTTTTTACGTTTTGAACGTTTTAATTTGGTTACATATTTACCTAGAAATCAAAAAATATACTAATCAATATTCTAAAAGCAAATTTAAGAGATTATTTTTAATTTAGGCTAATTTAAACGCCATTTTGAGATTATATTCGACTGTATTTCACCAAACATCAGGCGGCATCCGAAGCTGGAAATCGAAGCGAAAATTTTGAAACCCTTATGTATATTTACATCATTATATATTTCTTACCCCACCCCCACATGATCCTATATCCATCACCAATCGTATACACATCGAATTGTGCTAATTTACTACAAAGTTACGCAAAGCAGCATCTACTATCTAAAATATGTACTGCGTGACTCTTAATACGTCCCTGCCGAATGTTACAGCGTTCGATGATCACGTGGTCTTGTTTATGTCCGGTCTATCTCTTATCTGAATATACGTTTCTGTCCGCGTTTCGCGGTTTTATTTAAAAAAAGTGAATTTTATTATGGCTCACCCTGTACAATGTATGTAGAAGCGTGAACATTTACGGATATTCCTGGAAATGCACTTCTGAACGATCCGTTCATCAAAATGTACGCAAAAATCGATAAATAAATCAATTGCGCGGGCAGGATTTTTTATTATCCTGTTTGCAGGATAAACTGACAGCTAACATGGTTATAAAAGAGATTTATGTTCGGTTTTGGCACGTTTCGGTATTAGTCAAAGCAATGACGTGTCAGGGAAACTTTTTATTTGTATTTGTCACGAATAGTTTAAAAACTAGAGGAGCGTGACTAATGATATGGAGAAATGAATGAGTTCGGAAATAAAATTTGACATGATGTAGCCCAGCTTGACATCTTTTGCTGGGGCACGTCAATTAGCAGACGATAAAGCAAGACCTTCTCAAAGTGTTTTTGAAATTGGGGAGCAATTATGCCAAAAAAACAAACGAGGGGAGCATTTGGAGAATATTTTTTATTAAACACCCGTAATTCTGAATACGCTTTATATTAGATTGTTCCCAAAATGCTGAGGTTGAATTGAGAATTTTTATTTTCAGAAATGGACCAAGCAACGCAAGTGAATTTTCCGGTGGTACCGAAAAATCAACACAGAAAAATGTGGAGACACAACACTTCTGCAGACTTATTTGAAACACATCACAGATCGATCTCGACGATCAACAATTCGTGGGTAAGTACCTTAACTAGTTCAACACTCGATATTCATACAACAATGTCTTGGTAGTGTGTTTAAAAATTAAAAATATTTCGCCCAAATATCGATACTTTGCTCCCAAAAAATGGGATATTATATTTTTTGGATGTTATATCTATTTAATCTATTTATAACAAAATAATCGCATAACGTAACTCAAACAAATCTGACTTTGACATAACTCACTTAAAGCAGTGCCTAAGTAATCATCGTAATTACCCTGTAATTTGAATCCGACTCTCGACGAATCTCGCTATTCTACGACCCACCCTGTATGTTGTTTCAGTATCCGTTAAGGCCCGTGTCCAGCCGCCCCAGGTCGCTGAACCTGGCTCTTCAACCAGTTGACACCATCACGAAAAAAGTAGCATATCTGGATAGCTCGGTATCCAGACTTACTCCTCCGGGGTGCGCCGAGGCGCCTTCTGGAACGATATCCAGGGAAAGGACGCCTCCATTTTCCTGTTACTCCAGTATTACGTCCAACACGGGATCGGCCATGTTCCGGTCTCTGCCTTATATACCTCCTAAGGTAAGTTCACAAGACAATGGCGTAACGGGAGGGGGGACATTATTAACGCAGCACTTGTAAGGCATTTTGAAAACTTAGCTAAACAATCGCGAGACACAAATATAAGTTTAAAACATCAATAATGTTCAGTTTACATAGCATAGAAAGATACATAATAGAGGCTCAGAATGTGAGGTTAGTTGGCTGTTGGTTGGATGTTAGCGGTGTTACCAAGGTTGCCACATATTCCAATTTTGAATGGAATATTGGACTTCACAAGTGACAGATTGAACGTAATATCGAAAATGTATTCTTGACATACTGAGGCAGATCAGAAAGAATCACATAGTCACTGAAGCTGCGCAGGCCCCGAGTACAGCTTGCAAATTCGCCCACAGAGAGGTACAACTAATTAGTAGAGATTTCGATACTGCTATATCAAATCTAGATATGACAACACCGCAGAGAAATGGTGGCGCGGTTCTCTTGCCAGCCAGGCATCGCGAAACTGCATAAGAACATGCATAATTGCATATGCCTACTCTACGTGACGTCACAGGCTTTTCAGAGCCCAGTTGTTTGGCCTTGTACTCTCGGAGGTAACGGGTGTACAAATAAATAGGTTGCCAGTATTTTCTAAACACAAATATGATCTTCTAGCAGCCGAATTCAAAACATCACGCAACATTTTTGGTGTAATCATACGAAACGCTTCCATTACACATTCTCGTAATTGCTGCTCAGTTTCAACAGTTTTTAATAAAACGAACAAAAAAGACAGAAGAGTTAAATCCGGGAAGGCGCTGGATGGTACAATTCACTGGATGTTCGATATAAAAAAATAAAGTTTAATGATGGTCGGGCACAAAATTTTAAGCAGTTCCTAAAAAGTTCCAATGGAGAAGCATCGTTAATTTTTTCTTAAAATAAAGTCAGAAAAAATTAAAATTTGTATTTATTATTTAATTTTAGTTTTTCCTAAATATCTCTGTGAGCCATGACATTTTTGCAAGTTACCCGTCGGCATGTAAATACGCCCCAATGAACGCAGCTCTTACATAGTTCAAAATAAGCAGCATTTTCGATAGGTTTTTACATCCCCATGCATAGGATTTGACAATAAATCTAAATTTACTTTCTATTTCATTTAAATTTCGAAAATTGGAAAATCTTTTAAAAATTTCCAATTCGTCAAATTGGTGTTCTTTCCGAAAAACTGTATTCCGTATTGTCATATTGTCATCGGCCTTTGGCTCCTGTGTAACCAAACTGTCTATATTTATTTATATGTTGGTTTATCATATAGTAATTGTAACACTCTCTGATAAAGAGGTATTAGAAATTCGCGGATATGAGCATTTTTCATATTCGCTGAGTCATATTCCTAAAAAACATAAATTCGGAGTATTCTATACAATTTAATTAGAAGCGATAAAAAACTAGCAGATTGCTTTTATTGCTTATCTTTCTAAAACGGATACCTACTGCGGTTTGGTATTTTAGTTTGTGATGTATTACAACAGAATCAAATGTCCGAGCACTTCCTAAGTTTAATGCAGAGTTGATTATTGATAATGACCATAAGCTTAATTGCTGGAATTCGTGTAAATATAATAATTATATACGGTGTGACCGTGACATTGAACGATTGAAAACAACAAAGTTTAGTACTTAGTTATAATTTTGTGTAACCGCAAGCCTATGAGCGTATAAAAAATCTACTAGCTCTAGAAATAAATCGGTTTTGATGCTCGCACTGTCCAAGTAAAGTTGACGATTGCCGATGACCAGTTAACATTTTAGCTTTCGCGATCATAAATGGCAATACATACTTTTCCGTTTATGTGTGGGATGTAGAACAGATAAACTCACGATTACTTCCTGTTGCAACGTGGCAACACTGGTGAATACCTGTATCGCTTTTTGTGGTGTCGCTTGCCAAAAAAAATCCTAACCTAAATTAACGTCAGAGTGACAGAAGAGAAACTACGTTCTGTGTACATAATATTATGTTTGTTTATTGACTTCAAGCTCGATCATTCAGTATATTCGGAGTAAATGAACTAGTTTTGCTTCATATTTCGTGAAGACGGATGAGGGAAAAAATCAGTCTGTCCTGAATTGGGAGAATCCAAAACAGACGTCTTCAGTTTTATAAAAAGTCTGCTGATTTTTTTTCAACTATTCGCTTTTCTGTCTACAAAAATGATCTAAACAGTTTTCTCTATTTGGACACTAACTTTTCTATTTATTGTGTAAAATGTGCTATTCCAATCCTTTATTATCTCAATCATACATTCTGATCACATTAATAAAAAAAAGTTGCATTTAATTCCTCTTTATTTTATAATGTTTATGTCGCAACGGTGTACCTTTCTTCAAGTACAATTGAGACCTTTTTGACAATATATTTTATTCATCGGACAAATAAGAGCTGTAATAAACAGGTATCAAACATTGTTGCCAAACAGTTTATTACAAAATTAAAAGTTCATTTTGTTGTTGCATAAAATATGTATAATTTAGCAATTTCAATAGGATTCCTTTTTTAATAAAAGCGACAAATTAAGATCCATATTTTTCCTAAATTATTTTAAACACTCCAGCTCCATGTATTTATATTTTTTTAATCAATATTCATAAGGACATCTTTTCTTATTTTTTTTAAATTCCAATACGGACAACCTCGCATCCTTGTCTGCATCCTACAACATTGGAAAAAGTAACAAATCTACTGCAATACTCCCAACTGGAGCACAATTGCGCTGTTGCAGCGTCCGTCGGTCGTTGCGCGCCGGCTGGCCAGCTTCTCACATCGCACAAAATCGAATCGTTCGTTCCCGTTTCAACTCAGCACATGTCGAATGTCTTTTTTGAGTTTTCTGCTAGTAACTTTATGTTCAAATTTCATCAAAATCCAAGCTTTCATTAAAAAAGTAATAACTCATTTTTGTAATTTCTCGACAATTGAGACGTAATTCTACGTGATTCAATTTGACAAGCTGCATCCATAACCTCACTTATTTCACTGATAGCGGTATTGAGACTCGATATTTGAAGGACAGAAACTTGTCAACACACTTACCTCCACCTGTTTTCTTATATTTATTCTAATGCGCAATTGTAATAACTTGATTCCAAACATCTTTTTTTTTGCAGTCGAACACGCCCAGCAAAATGATAGACGAAGAGAGTAGCGGCAGTTCGAAATGTTGCTGCAAATGCGGAGACGCGGAGACGCAAAAAACCTGCAGGAATCTGTTCACGAATACGAAAGAGGGTCTGTCTTGGAGGAGGTTACACATGTCCAGGGCGAAACTCAAAGCTACCGCCACCACCTCGGAGCTACTCTCTGGCTTCGCCATGATAGCTATGGTGAGTAAAAGCGTATCCCACCTGAATATATATTCAATGCAATTGTACACAGTAACAGTGTAAAAATGCTGCTATCATATCACATATCATAAATCGTTGAAAAATTGTTACGAAAGTAGTCACTTGGGGCCTCCCGCGAGGTCCAAAAACCCAAAGGAACGTAAATATTCCAAAATAGAACGAGCCTGGCAAGAGATCTGCTGCGCGGTTTTTCGTCAGGTCGTGTCCCACTTTTTTCGTCAGGTCGTGTCCCACTTTATTTTGCTAGGTCGTGTCCCACTTTATTTTGTCAGGTCGTCTCCCACTTTATGTCGTCAGGTCGTGTCCCACTTTATTTCCTCAGGTCGTGTCCCACTTTATTTCGTCAGATCATGTCCCACTTTTTTCGTCAGGTCGTGTCCCACTTTATTTCGTCAGGTCGTGACCCACTTTATTTCGTCAGGTCGTGACCCACTTTATTTCGTCAGGTCGTGTCCCACTTTATTTCATCAGATCATGTCCCAGTTTTTTCGTCAGGTCGTGCCCCGCTCATTTTTGTCGTATAAGTGTCCCACGTTTTTCGTCAGGTCGTGTCCCACTTTTTTCGTCAGGTCGTGTCCCACTTTATGTCGTCAGGTCGTGTCCCACTTTATTTCGTCAGGTCGTGACCCACTTTATTTCGTCAGGTCGTGTCCCACTTTATTTCGTCAGATCATGTCCCAGTTTTTTCGTCAGGTCGTGCCCCGCTCATTTTTGTCGTATAAGTGTCCCACGTTTTTCGTCAGGTCGTGTCCCACTTTTTTCGTCAGGTCGTGTCCCACTTTTTTCGTCAGGTCGTGTCCCACTCATTTTTGTCAGGTCGTGTCCCACTCATTTTTGTTAGGTCGTGTCCCACTCATTTTTGTCAGGTCGTGTCCCACTTTTTTCGTCAGGTCGTGTCCCACTCATTTTTGTCAGGTCGTGTCCCACTTTTTTCGCCAGTTCGCATCCCACTTGTTCCGTTAGGTTGTGTCCCACTCTTTCTCGTCAGGTCGTGTCCCACTTTATTTCGTCAGATCATGTCCCAGTTTTTTCGTCAGGTCGTGCCCCGCTCATTTTTGTCGTATAAGTGTCCCACGTTTTTCGTCAGGTCGTGTCCCACTTTTTTCGTCAGGTCGTGTCCCACTTTTTTCGTCAGGTCGTGTCCCACTCATTTTTGTTAGGTCGTGTCCCACTCATTTTTGTCAGGTCGTGTCCCACTTTTTTCGTCAGGTCGTGTCCCACTCATTTTTGTCAGGTCGTGTCCCACTTTTTTCGGCAAGTCGCATCCCACTTGTTCCGTTAGGTTGTGTCCCACTCTTTCTCGTCAGGTCGTGTCCCACTTTATTTCGTCAGATCATGTCCCAGTTTTTTCGTCAGGTCGTGCCCCGCTCATTTTTGTCGTATAAGTGTCCCACGTTTTTCGTCAGGTCGTGTCTCACTTTTTTCGTCAGGTCGTGTCCCACTTTTTTGGTCAGGTCGTGTCCCACTCATTTTTGTCAGGTCGTGCACCACTTTATTTAGTTAGATCGTGTCGTACTTTATTTACTCAGGTCGTGTCCCACTTTTTGGTCAGCTCATGTCCCACTTTATTTCGTCAGGTCGTGTCCCACTTTATTTAGTCAGGTCGTATCCCACCTTTTTCGGCAGGTGGTGTCTCACTTTTTGTGTTAGGTAGTGTCCCACTTTTTTTGCCAGATCGTGTCCCACTTTTTTCGACAACATTTATATAGTAAGATCTATAATATCTCATTTTCGAAATTTTTCGGGATTATAATACCTCGTCAGTGTTGGCATACGAAGTAAAAAGTGAGAGTATAAAACACCATTTTTTTTAGATAATTAAATTTGCTCGTAAAAAGGTTCTTGAAAAGTAAGGAGTAAAAGTTAAATATCCGTATCAAAAAAGTATTGCGACATACCCAGCACGCTACGTACGTTATGCACGTAATCCGCATAAATTATTTTACGTCGAAATAACTGCATAATTATTATTTATCTATGATCATTTTAAAATGATTATTTTTAATATTGCATGCAAGTATGGAAAATATAATATTTTTGAAAATTTGTGTTATTTTCATTAGGAAGATCAAGTCATTCACTCCCATCAGTCAGCGATTTTATCACTGCGTAATTTTAGTAACCGTTGCAGAGATTTCAATGAAAGAGCTGATGTAGTAGAATATTTCTCTCACGTATAAAAAACGCCATAAGAGGTGTGGAACGATCGCAAAATTACAGCGAAAAAAACCGTATTCAGTTATATTCATATTTTGGCGAAAGAGCCCGACTCCGAAGGAGCAGAAAATAAACTCGTGCAGTTTTTAGACGAAAAAAAAACTTAAAGGACTTTTGCAGAAAGTTTTATTCGCTACAAAAGATAATAGTGGTCCTAGGTTTTTTTGTCATTATAAACGAAAAGATTATTACACGTACATAAAAGTAGATTTGTCAGCCAGTGCGGTCATTCTAGCCTAAGCGAGGCGGGTTCTCGATTGTTTTTGTGGCTCACAGAATATTCTATTGGTTTATTTGGCTGCTTGTAGGAAGGATTTGGATTCAAAAATATCTACTTGTGTATCGGTGTATTTGACAGTTACAGGGTGGCCCAACGAAAAGGTTGACTCCTGGTATATTTTTGGAAAATCTCTCGGATACGTCAATATCGTTATAAGTTTTTTGTTTCTAGAGATAACGCCACAAAATAAACGTGAGTCTGTTCTGTAATGCATACTCAATCAGACCAGATAAATAGTTCGAGCAAATCTTTTAAAACAAATGACTTATGACGTTCCAAAGTCGTGTGATTTGATGCCTTTTCAACGAGATGCTACATCATCATTGTGTGTCATTATCTCTAGAAGCAAAAAAGTTATAACGATATTTATGCGCAATTGTAGGTAATTCAGCAAAAAACTTTAAAACGACCAAAACGAAAAAATCATCAGATAGCGTCCCGATCGTCCAAAAAATTTTGTTGGTCCATGTACCAAACACCCTATATAGAAATGAATCGTAGCACTTGACAACACCCAAAGCACTCATGGACTGGTAACTTCTTCAGAACGTACACGCTCAACATTACAAAGAATAAATTTCATCCGTACAAGAAACTTGTCCATGAGCTTTTGATGGAAGTTTGGAGTTTTGCGAATTATTGTTCCAACGTTTAATCAACAATACAAATATGTTATTTAATATTTGTTTATCGGATGACTGTACGTTCTATTTACATGGTACTGTAAATAGACATCATTGTCGATATTGGAGTGACTTGAATCCACATTTGTCTCGCAATATGCTGAAAAAATAAATGTGTTCAGACAAGTTAGAAAATACAAGAAAGCGACGATTTAGATTACTTTCTTTGGGGCATTTGAAAAGTCCAAGATATACTCGTATATATAGATATAATTTATACTAGCTCTAGCGCGGTGAGGCAAGTAGATTTTGTAAAATCTCCTAGGATCAACAACTATAAAAAATAGTGCAGAAACAATGTTACCTCCTTTTCATGCACTGGCTATCACAATAATTCAATGACTCCCTAATATTGTCAAAACGGGTTTTAAAGTGATGTCTGTTTGCTCAGACGGTGCAAATGGCGCTTATCAAGTGCTTTTTACACGAGAAAAAAACTGAATCGCAGATAGCTTCAGGTTTTGTCTCGCAGTTGCGTCGACTGGAAAAAATGTCCATCCCCGAAGTATCGCACATTTTCTAATGTTCCAGGTGGAGCTGCAAATCAACACCCCAACGAATGTTCCCGAATGGCTGTTCGTTCTGTTCGCAGTCTGCACTACAGTCTTGGTATCGGTGCACATCTTCGCCCTGATGATCTCCACGTACATTCTGCCGAACATCGAGGCCATCGCAAAGCTGGAAATCTGCGAAATGGTTACCGAGAGCCCTCACGAGAGAATGAAAGGGTTCATAGAGATCGCGTGGGCTTTCTCTACGATTTTAGGTAAGGCAATGGTCAATTTTCGCGTTGTTTTCCCTCTGACCGCAAGACATCTGGTTCTCCTCTTCATCCCACAGCGCCGTGGGTGTTCCTCAGGGAACAAAAATTCAACCTCTTATGGAGGAATGTCACGCCAGTAATAGAACGTCTTAATTGTTTTCGATATTGTCGGTTATCTTATTGGGATATTTTATCATTTTTAGATCAATGACACCGTTTTTTGTTCTAGGTCTGTTTCTCTTTCTGATAGAAATCGCGATCCTGTGCTGGGTCAAATTCTGGGACTATTCCTTTACAGCAGCGATGGCTTCTACTGTGATCGTCATCCCAGTTCTGATCACGTTTGTGCTGTTCGCCGCACATTTTTACCACTCCTTGGTCGTCTACAAATGTCACACTTCCAGTAGTGACATGGAAAAGTTGGAGGATATCAAGAAGCATTTGGATCATATCACTGTTTGATCATTTTTAAAAAAAATAAAATGTGATTTTAGGGCGTGATTGCGATATAGTCGAAATCACGAAAGATGACGATGTACTAAATACAAACGACAGCGATTTGTGAATATTTTTAATGAAATTTCTGATATGTTAGACAGAGACAAACAGAATTTTATTGTCTAAACAAACTGTATTGCTAATTTGCATATATCTGACAAAGATAGACGATGTTTTCATGTTGCATGATCGATCATATTTGAAAGATGAATAGTTAGGTTATGTTAAAGCAGGTTATGTTGTTTTCGAATAATACTTTGGTCCTTGGTGTTCCTGTCTTAAGGTATTCTACTCATAACTGTTTTTTTTTTCAAAACAAAAACTCGCCGCTAAAATTATTATCAAGGTATCACTCAAAACCATGAAATAAAATGAAAATAAAAATAATCAGTGAAATAACCTAACTTCGCAAAATCATAATATAAATTTGTTGTCATTATGTGATTTTATCATCGACGTACGTCCATTGATTACTTCAGTACAATTTAGGGTATGACGTAATAGTCGTCTTTCGTGATTTTGACTATATGTAAGAAGCTAAAATATCGTGGGATCTAATTCCTGTTTGATTTTTTATATGAAAACGGAATGTGATTTTTAGAGTGATTTATATTAAATATGTACAGATTGTCTCATTAAAAATAGTGAAGTATTTTATTCTTATTCATTATACTGACTCTTCACTCAATAAACAATTATCGTTTCCATGATACTGGGTGATTAAACTTTGCTAAGCAAAACTTGTACGACACTGAAGTGTCGTTATCTAAAGTCATACTGATTCTGCTTGGAAAACGTCTCGTGGAGTTTTTCGTTGTAAATTCGGTTTAAATTATATAATTTCAAAGCAGCAAATTTTTACTGCACGCCACTGGAGGCAATAACGTTCAAAGAGTGTTTCAATCTTTTATCAGGCCCAAGAAATTCCACGTTTAATTTAAGTTATAACCAACTTTCGAAAAATTTGAGGAACTCCTTTTTTCAGGACAGTCCAAAGATCAAAAAGATGCATAGAAAAATATCCAAGATCAAAAATTGAGATTCTGACATAGCCCCAAACTTTGCTAAAAAAACTGACCTCCTTTGCTCATTCCATATAAGTGGATAAGTAAAAAAAATACGTGCTCTCAAAGAGTTGATCAAAATCTTGCTTGTTTCAAAGCAACTGTCCACCAGTTTATATTGTCTGGTGAATTATCATTTGTGTGGTGCAAATGTTGGTTAGTTTCATGTCTAATCTCATTTTCATTTGGACAACATTTGATAGCAAGCTATACATTGATGAAAAAAAGCAAAGATTAGAACAAAAATTTATTTTACAGGATTATCTAGGAAAGCGATCATAATGACAAAAACTTGGTCCTACTTAATTAACTTTAACTTTGCTACAATTTTTCTTAAATGTCAATTTAAATACAGATTTAATAATATAATATAAAAGGTAAACACATATAAAAATGAATATCAAAATATCGACTGAGTATAACTGGAACCAATACAGATCCTTGGAAGTGTTTCTCAGATGTTTTCCGCCTTTGTGTCTCAAAATGTGTTCCACCCAATAGACGGCTAAGTCCATTGGTTGAACCGGCCTATCTTTCAATAATTCAGAATACCTTTTTGCGCTATTTTTGTAGCTGAAACAAGAAATACCAATAAATGTTTTTAAACTAAAAATCAGTTACAATAATATTTTTCTCAGTTTATTTTTATTCATGAACATATTTCAATTGAAAGCATCACACATCAAAGGATGCCGTTTTTTCTACGGTCAGCAAAAATTTCAGACGCTCAACCAGCACCTTTGGGTGACAACGTTGCCACATCTCGAATTATTTACGCGGATTTCCTATTCTGTAGTTGAGCATACGAGGGGGTGATCTTTTCTTGACGTCATGTTTGAAAATGCTCTGTAAAAGGAAAATGGAGTTAGTGTTTATTACCTGGGATTTTTTATAATCTCCTCAACGGCAGAATATAGAGACGATTCACCCAATTCTTTCAAAGGCAGGTGGATAGTTGTGCCTTTTTCAACCCAGACCCTTACATTCCTGGGTTGATCTGCAAATACAGGTATTCCTATAATCGGGACCCCAAAGTACAAGGCTTCAGTTCCACTTAGGAGACCTCCGTGTGATATAAACGCTACGATATTCGGATGCGCTAAAAAAATATTCGTCGTTCAATTTTCATGTTCATATGAACTTTTTTTATACTTACCCAAAACGTCCGGCTGAGGCACCCACTTCGTAATCATCAAATTATCTGGAATCTGAATATCTTCATCTTCATATTTCCACAGCACCCTTTGCTTCAGTCTACCGATTGCTCTGACTATACCCTTTACTCTATCTTTCGGCAAATGTTTCGATTTAGCATTGGTCCCCAAGGAAAACAAAATGGCTCCGTCTTTTGCCCCATCCAAAAATTTCTGTATATCGTCGGGCAACTTTTTCGGTTTTATATGAAAACCGCCTATGAAAACACATGATATTAGTGGTTCAAATAAAATATTTCAAGTATCGAGGCTACCATTTCACCCCAAACGTTTCACATATACAGGGTGTCCCATTTTGGTAGAAGCGTGCTTTTTCGCATCGGGATTGAAAAGATGAGAAAATTCTATAACTAAATATGACCTTGGCTTATGACCTTGACCAAGGCGTTTCGAATATATCGAAAACAATTTGCTCTAGTAAAAATGTACGACAGGACAGTTAAGGTCTGAGGGGTCCTTCAAGGTCAAGTCAAAACTTCCAAGGGAAACCGCCCGTTTTTATACTGAAAATGGAAAAAACAAAAATTTTACGGATATGACCTTGACTGCAAATAAAATTGAAGTTTGACGCGACCTCGACTGCGGTCACGGTCAAATTCAGACGTAAAATTTCCTGCTTTTTCCATTTCTAACGTTTCGACTTGACCTTGAAGGCCAAATGTAAACTGAGGCCCAAAGCAAATACTAGAATGTCTGAACTTTTTTTAATGAATTCCGACTAGGTAGAAAAAGACAGTCAATGATTTGTTTCTTTGTTTGTCTTCTAATTCTCATAGTCTGTAGTGAGGATCAAAGGGCACTTGACATAAGTCAATCTTTTGACAGTTCTGTCATTAAATTTGTATATAAGCATAATGCATAATATATTGATACAATGTTGTCACTTTAGGCATCGGTAGACAAACGAGTCAAAACTACGCAATTTTGCAACGATCAATGCAAGGTCGAGGTTCTAATCTATTGGACTTTGTTGGATACTACCTATTTCGACTGCTGCAGTTGTCAACATGCTGGGCTCCGTAGCGGAATAGTGCGAATTCAAAAGCACCAAATCCACGCTCTCAACCACATCGTCCAACTGGTGGTTCCCCGGATAGTACTTCCGTATCAACCGCTGATGTTCGGGGAAGTAGACGAAGTACTTGTACGCCAAGTCGAAAAAGCTGATAAGGGTGTGGTACAGCCGTTCGAAGAAGCTCATTTTTGACGAAAATGGGGCGTTGGACCAGCACGTCAAAGATGGTAGACGGACGTTGCCCAGGAGGTGCGAGTTCCACTCTGATAGGCCTTGAGAACTCAGTCCTGTTGGTGGAAATGACTGTTCAAAACTTTACTGATTGGGATCAAACTAATTTGCTCCTATATCTTTATGCCGAAATTATCTACTCAGGCGAGTAGTGGAGCTGTTATTTTTCATAAGATGATCGGTAAAAGTGTATTCTCTACGGCCAAATAATGGTTTACAATATGGTTTTTGCTTATGAGATTCGCCTGAAAATCAACACCACAATACATGTCACAGCTCAAAATGTTTCTAGCAAGAATCATTCAATCAATGAATAAATTATTGACGTGAAACGCGTATAATAAAAATGCGATTACCAATCAGAGGACAGTTGAAGTGCCGCGCCACAGCTAACTGCGATTCAGAGCCAAAGAGTTCGACAATGGCCAAGTCGAAAGTCTCATTAGAGCGTCTGATAAACTCTTGGAAGACGGCATTCGAAAGCACTGTTTCTGATACGTCCAAAAACAGCTGATTAAACCCGATCACCTCTCCGAACAGATTTGAGCTTGATGGTTCGAAGAAATTGCCTGAAATTAAATGATTATATATAAATGTTAGCGGCGCCGCTGTGACTACCCATAATTCCCTCTCAAGAGGATGAAATGATATCCTTATCTTCTGCGACGGAAGGAGAAGCACGACTACTACCTGCGATCCTTCGCAGGTAGTAGCGAAGATGACGACAGTCAGGTACCTACAGCCAAACAAATTGTGCCTAAATACGAAGTAAATGGTGGTACTCGGAATAAAGTATTGATTGGGGATAGACGTGTATTTTTTTGGGGTAAAAGCCAAATCAAATCTACCCCGTTTCTTACATAAATGTGTTTCAGAACATTATCAGAAAAAATTCAATTCCCTTCAGGACAGATTCATTAAGTAAGAATATAGTGTATCTTAATGGTATATTACTGCAACTATTTAAAATCTCATAACTCTACTCAGTTCCATAATGTATTATTATTTAGCACCATAACGACTGGACTATAAATGTATACCTACATTCTGATTGCGGCAAGTCCAAAAGTACGGTCCTGTAGTTCGGCAAACTTTCCTTCGGCTTGAAAGCACTTATCACAGTAATTTCATGTCCTTTCCTGGCTAATTCCGATAATAACGCATCCCCCAGGATGAACTGACTGTACCCGAAATTCGGGAATAAGCCCAAAATTTTGGCTCCATCGTGTTTACCTATCAGTAGTAGAAATATGAATATTATCTGAGTATTTTTCAAGAACCGCATATCGGGCACTATTTTTCAACACACACAAAATCCGTCACTGCACATGCTGCATTATAATGAAATTCTTAATATGTACCACGATCTATCTTTATATAAATTCAGTTCCTGGAAAATGAATGTGCATCATTTTCATGTTTAACAAACAATAGATAAAATTAATTAGGATTTAGATTGCACAATGACGCGGTGTCGAACTTAAAATCATAATTACAATTTAATATTTCATAATTGCTAATTCAGCTATTTCCATTCCAATCCATTGTCTCCCACTGCGAATTCCTCTTTTCTAACATCGCTAAATATACGCGGATTCCCCAAAACTCGATACATACTCGCAGTATCTACACAGCGCTGCCAATTCAACTAAATATCTTGGTTTTGTAGACAAATTGAAAAGGCCCTTTCATATATACTGCGTATGAATGAAAGTTACCTTACGCCACTGTGTCGCCGAGATCTCATAAATATCTTTGCAAGCAAGAGCGAGAAATTATTTTTATTGAACAATTTTGATACAAGGTCGTTTTAGGTTCAACTAAATGTTGTTAAACGAAACTCCCTTTTTTGTCAACGAAATGGAAAAGGCTAGCAAATTTTACGTCCGGACATTTCCTTGGCTATGACCTTGAACATTGTCTTCAAGGCCATTTATAGATCAAATCAAAACAAAAACAATTTGCTCTAGCGAGAATGTTCGACAGAGCACTTGTGATGTTTGTGGAGATCACCTAAACGTGAGCTTCAATCACCTTCAAGGTCAAGTCAAAATTTCCAAAGAAATCGTCTAATTCTCATACCGTAAGCAGTGAACTTTCGCGTCTGAATGTGACCTTGACCTCACATATCAATACAGGTTACATTTTTACCTAAATTGCCTTGCTTATCCCATTTCCAGTATAAAAATGAGAGGTTTCCATTATGAAATTCCGACTTGACCTTGACTATGATTGTCAAAATCGCTTTGAATTGACCTTGGAGGTCAAGGTCAAGGTGATGTATGACCTGAAAGTTACCCCTTTCTTCAACTCACATGTAGAAGAGCATGATTCAGTTTGAAAATATTCAATTGTCCTTGAATTTACCTTGAGGTCATCATCATTTTGCCCTCTCGAAACTCTCATTCGTTTGAAACTTGTTTTAGAATGCACAGCTTTTGGAATATTTCGGTGGGAAAATGAAAACGGGACACCGTGCATACGTATATTTTATCAAAATAGCAAAATTAAAGCGAACATCGTATGCTGGAGTGCAATCATCACCGGTTCGGTAATGAATAAGAACAAACGATATCGCGCCGTGATGATTCAGAATCTTGGTTATAAATGATCTCTACTGTAGCCACCAGTCACTCCATTATCGGTCGCTTGCTTTTACAAGTCGTGTGATTTTTTTTCTTTTGAAATCCGGCAACGTTGTTTGCATCACTTCAATGACTGCGAGTAACTTCGAGTATCCGGAGTTCTGGGTACAATTTGACAACTGACATTTTCTATCAATGACAGGTTAGCTTGTAAATATTTGGATAGACGGATAGACGCCGGAAACCAAATAATTTCCTGTTTAAGTTGCTGTGATTTGGTAATGTAGAAAAAATGGCCACGGAAAACGAGCTGGACTGTGCCGAGCAATCTTGTAAAATCCTGGAGCTTCCCCATTACGTGCTAAGAATTCTACTATCGTACCTAGATTCTACCTCTTTGTATCAACTGAGCGAGTAAGGCGTTTTTCTCATCAAAATCAACATTTCAGCTTAACTCGTTTCCGCATTTTAGAACATGCAGCTATCTCAAAGAAGCCGTGGAGGATCCAGCTTTGTGGAAACACATAGACGCGAGGAGTGAACCAAATAGCAGTGCAAAAATACATTACGTTACTGAAAGAATACATGAACGAACAGCAAATCTTTTACTGCGTGGATACAAGAAATACAGCAGCGTCCCACAAAACTTCTTCGAAAAAATAAACTTGTATGAACATATAAAAGTGCTAGCGCTAGAAAGCGTTAAACTGTATGGATCTAAGGTACGCCTCTCAGAAAAGTACAATAATGACACAGAGATGGGGTAGTTTCAGGCTTTGATTGAAGTATTCCACCTATCTTAAGGTGGAGGAGTAGATGGAAAACAAAATAGTAATTTTGAGAAGATACATCTAAGATTTAAAAATTTTTTAGGTATCACTTAAGGATTTTCCAGGGTGCTTAGAAGAATTAAGTTTAAAAAGAAGCTATGTGAAGAGTTCTGTATATTTCTTCCAGCATTCAGCGAAAAGAATGCAGAATTTAAGGGTAAGACGATGATAAAAGATTCACCATAAAAGTTCTCGCATTTATTTCATTTTAGGTGCTGATTTTGGATGAATGCAGTTGGGTTACCTGTAGTTTTTTATTATCTGTATCTAAATTCGAGAATTTAGAGATAATCTCGGCAGTAAAATGTCTGAGAGCTCATATGAATATGGTGCCATACCTGAATGTTGCTAAATATGGATGTAAAAAGCTGAAAATATTAGATTTTAGATTTACAGGTAACTTTCTTCACTATAATCTGATAATCGTAAAAATTAAGAACACAAAAAGTAATTTATCTGTCAATAGTCTCAAACAATCATTTGAAGTCCAAAAGCACTGTCACTGTATGTTTCCTAGGTGCTGTTGCATCTTGTAGAACATCCGAATTCACTGTTTTTTCTCTGAAAATTTTTATAGGGTAGTCTGTTAGATTATTTAGAAACAAGAAAAGTGTGAATAAAGCACGCTTTTTATGAAAAAATTTGTCCAAAACATTGTATTTTTTGTCTGTTCTTTCTATCTATCTGGCATATGACGTAGACGTCTGTGCATATGTCATATATGAGAGGCCCTTGTCTGCGGAGTTGCCGGATTGGGCTCCACATTTAGGGAAAAATAAGAAAAGTTAAAAATTTATATACTTATGTATATTACTTAATGACTTACAAAACGAAAAACTGAAACAAACAACAGTAACAAAATAAAAGGCGATTCCTAATAAGTATAAATAAAAAAATAACAGTAATAAGCTTAAAATTGATAAATTATAAATAATTATAAAAAAATAATAACAGTAGTAAAACAAAAAGTAATTCCATGTAATTATAAAAATCAAAAAATAACAAACAGCAGTAAAATAAAAAGTAGTAAAACAAAAAAAAAAAATTCCATGTTGAATAAAACGCAATTCTAAGTGGCACAAAACAAAAAGGAAAAACAGTAGTAAAACGAAGAATAATTTCATTCCATCCAAATTGCGTTTTATTTTTCTGTTTGTTATATTTTGTTTTTTTATAATTAAATGGAATTGTTTTTTGTTTTACTACTGTTTTAATTTTTTGTTTTTTATAATCGCTTAGAATTACTTTTTATTTTACTGCTGTTTGTTATTTTTTGTTTTATACTTAGTAAGAATTACTTTTAATTTTACTACTGTTATTTGTTTCAGTTTTTTGTTTTTGTGTTTTATTGATATAAATATATACAAATTTTCCACTTTTCATGTTTTTCCCTAAATACGGAGCCCAATTCGGCAACACGCAGGCAAGCGCCTCTCATATATGACATATCCACAGACGTTAGCGTGGTATGGTGATGGAAATAATGGGGGAAATAACTGCTAAAAAATACAGTGTTTTGGGAAAAAAATTTCATGAAAAGCGTGCTTTATCTACACTTTTCATGATGTAAAATAATTTATCAGACTACCCTCTACAAGTTTCGAGTGAAAAAACAGTGAAATCTGAAGTTCTACAAGACGCTATTGTCCGTACATCTCCTCCAGTCCTCTAAAATCATTTGTACTGTTGTACTGCCTTTTCAGTTGAAAAAATAAATAAAAATAATTTTTGTATAAATCACCAAACTCTGGTGTACTGAAGAAAATATAATAATCTAGAGTGTTCTCAATTTTCAGGTATAGGAGGAGAACTGCTAAGAACGTTCTGCTCAAAACACCCTATCCAACGTATGTACTTTCAAAGTTACAAATCTGCCGAAGTGGATTATCAGGAAAATATGAACAGCAGTCCGAAAATGTTGAGTAGGAGTTCGGTAAATGTAAACGCAGATTTGAATATAACTGACAACAGCCTGCGTGATTACACCCATACTACACCTGACACTAATGTGGAACCGATCACAAAGAGCATGCTCTATCAAGACCCGTATCCAGACTGTCAATGTAAGTGAAATTAAACAATGTTCCTTTCGTATTTCAGAAATAACAGGTTGATTTATTCTGACATTTATTCCAAGATAAAGGTTTCTTAATATTTTTATATGACTTTTTGCAGAGGTATATTCTTTGTGATACACTTAATAGGGGATAATTGTCATTGTCCTACCTGTGACCCTACTGATGAGTTTCCAAATAGCCCAAAGCGATAGAAAATGAAAATATCGCAATCGCTTTGTCAACCATTCACCTTTATTCACTGTACTTTTTAAAGGTGGATACAAAAATAGCAATGAGGATAGAATAATGCCTGAAACGGTAACATATTCTCTGGAAGATGACTATGACGTTTACGGGCCACCAACCCATACTACCGCCAAGTTTGTCTGTAAGAAACATATGAAGGATGTGGAAAAATTGCCGGACGACTTCAAGGATTTCTTTGTCATACATCAACAACAGTTTCATTCAGGTAATGTTACAGCACAGCATATGTTCGGAGGTAGCTGCATAGAAACATGGAAAAGTAGTCTTAATTCGCAGATACAAATCACAGATACCACTTGGGATACAAATAGCATCAACCAAACAAAAATAACAATCAAAATTTTAAGATCTTTTTCATAACTGCTGGTTAATGGTTAAAGAGTTTTAGACAATTGTAAAGGGGTTCTTTTTTCCAAGTTATGCTAATCTATGCTTAGGAGAAATATAGTTAAACACATGAAATGTGGATGCTTACGTTTACACTCCAAAAACTGTTAAAATACTGAATTTAACGTCAAACCCAAAATATTTCTCAAAGTTCTCCTTGTGTTACGAGACTTTAGTTTGTACTACACTGGTTCAAACTATAGACGAATCAAGGCAGAAAATTTTACTTTAGAAAGAAATACTCGTGGAATTTTTTAAAGGTTTCGCCAATCCATGAGACAGAATTGAAGCATGTATTCTAGCAGAAGAAGGTCATTTTCAACAATTCTTGTGATAACTAAATTAAATAGTATTTGTTTATATGTTCCACAGAAATTGTTAAAATTTGTTGCAAACTTGTTTTTTTAATTTTGATGCATTGCAAAATCGCTAAAATCTCATGTGGTGGTTTGTAGGTAAGATGTGTTTAATTTTGATTCAATTGAAGTTAATTGGTTAAAATATCCAAAATTGTTTTTATTTTTTACGCGAAAAACGTCAGGAAAAAAGATTTTTATTTTCGGAAAAGTAATGGCGTACCATATTTTTTTTTAATATCCTGCAAAACATGCCGAATGGTGCAGTACTAAAGAACAGTATTAAAGTGATAAGAACACGATTTTTTTCTCAAAATTTTAACAACCTGTAGCTCAAAAGTTAAGGGCTTTAGGACATATGTTCATATAAACTTTTGTTCCTAAAATGAGCTAATAGTAGTAGTAGTAGAAGATTTATTTAGCACATTTGGCTACATAAACAGAATAATTGTAAACAACTTAGAACTAGTAAATTCAAGCCATATGGTGTATGATGTAAATGCTGGGCAACCTATAATTGTAGATTTAACAAGTGATTTCTCAATTTTACTTTAAATTTTGTCAAAGTTTTCTGGTCTTTTATCTCTGAGTATAATTTATTATATTCAATCAACCCTTGATGGAATACAGATTTGTAGCATATGTTATACTTTTTGGTCATTAAATGGAAGTCATCTTTATTTCTGGCATTATGTAAATGATGGTCGACATTTGATGATGTTAAATTAGTTAGACATGATGGAAATATATTATTTTTTACTTTATAAATGAATATCATTACAAGATATTTGATAAAAATGTTTACATTGAGCCATTTTAATTTGCTAAGCATTTGCCTAAATGGAGTATATTTATCTTTATTTAGTATTATTCTCATGCATTTATTTTGTAAAATTTGCAGTCTTTCAAAAATGGAATTATTTGCTAAATATAGAATAGTCGAACAGTACAAGAAATTTGGCAGAATGATGGTATTATATATAATTTTTCTGCTATATGAACTCAGACATCCAGAAACTCTCGATAAATATCCCACTTTACTAATCTTATTTATAACTTTTTCATAATGAATATCAAAAATTAATCGAGTCATCAAAAACCCCCAGGTATTTAAAATTTTCTACGAATTCAATATCTTCACCATCAATATTCAGTTGAACATTTGTACATTGTTTTTTTCCGATTAACAAGGCTTTCGTTTTACTTGTATTTAATTTTAGTCTGTTAGATGCTAACCATTTTGAGACAAGTTTCAAGTCTTCATTTATATAAGAGATACCAGACTGAATATTTTTAGTACTTATATAAATCATAGTGTCATCGGCGAAAATCTGAATTTTGCATTTTTTGACTATGGCAGGTAAATCATTTATGTATAAAATAAAAAGAAGTGGTCCCAGGATACTGCCCTGTGGAACACCCAACGTATTTTCAATTTTTGATGAAATAGTGTCATTAACTTTTGTAACTTGCATCCTTTTAGACAAATAATTTCTAAACCAATCTAAAACACTTCCTGTTATATATATCATACACTGTATATATTGAAATTATAAATCATTGCAATGAATCTTTTAACGTATAACTGATTTAACTTGTCTTTTCTGTTTGTTTGTTTTTCTGTATTTGCAGAAATAATCTTCAAAGATTGCTATTTTTCGTCGATAATACAGATGACCTGATAAAGTTGACTACTTTTATATTTTTTCTTTTTAAACGGATTACTTATTTTTGAAACCTTGTATTTTTTAGACATAACATCGGACATCGACGACAGCGACAGCGATTCGTCGGATGGTTCCGACGATCCCGGTTGCTGCATCTACGCGATGGGTACCAAAATGGTGATTTTACCGAACGTGCACGAGCCGAACAGCCGATCGGAGATGGACCTACCAGGCAGGGACGGTTTCTCGAGGAACTTCGTACCTTTCAACATATTCGTGGTGAACCCGTTCGATCCTAGGAATAACAGGCAACAGCAGGACGCGGACGAGAGGTAATCACGTTATACATTTTTCAAAAAAAAAATCTCAGAAACACGCAGCGAAGAATTGTAAAAAAATTAAGGGATTAAGAAAAAAATCCAAATTTTTCTGTGATTTTTGACAGGTTGTATTTCGGTGAAAAATGGTCGTATCTAGACTTTTCGAAAAGCATTTTGAAGCTTTGTTATCCTAGTTTTTAGGTTTTTTAGTCGAAACATTTTAGGAGCAACGGTTCTTATACAGGATGGTCTCAAATTTGAGTCATTTATTTTAACGACAAACCGATATTAAAGTTGCATATGGGGACAATTTTGAACAGTTTATGTAAAAACGGTATCCACTTGTTAATGATTTTTTTTAATAATTTTGAATAATATAAACTAACTCTCTTAATATGCAACTTTTATATAGGTGATTTTTGGTATATCAGCTTTTTTGGAGAGTCCGACACGCTGTTAAAATAAATGACTCAACTTTGAAAACAACAACAGGGGTCCTAACACAGATCCCTGTGGTGCACCCGAAACAATTTTTTTGTGCGATAGAGTGCTGTTGATTTAAGCGTAACGTTTTGCAAGGTAGGTTTGTATAAACGGCAGGAGTTCTTCATAAAAATCAAGAAGTATGAGATGAACTACTTTTTGGTTTCGTCTAATGGCCCGAAAAAACATGGAATTTATCCGTTATCTACTCTAATCATATTAGCAAATCTCCCCAAAATAATAGTAAAGTTTGGTTTTATTGGTGCAAGTTGGTCAAGGGGGTATTTAAAACATAGGCGCATAAAATGGTTACACCGTTTTTTGTGGGAAAACTTTTTATTGGACAACAAAGGATGAGAGAAAGTGCTTTTTGGGATTCAATCGAAAGTGTTGACAGGAACGAAAAAACTTTTCATATAAGATTTGAGACCGCACATAAAAAGATCCGACTAATAGCAAAAACGAAAATCGAAGCAAACTGCAGGTTTTGGCACTTGTTGGTAATGCGACGATGGATTCTTGCAGTTATTTGAAATTCTTCAAATTCGTACTTCAAACTAAAGATCAACATCGATGAAACAAAATATCTAATTTTTAAACAATTATAATAATTCAAAACTTTCGTATAAGAATAAATACTAATAAAAAGTATCAGTCATCAAATACCTAAGAGTTTGAATTGGTCTAGTCACATAATTTTTTTTTATAAAACAACGTCGATGATAGCTGCTTTGTACAGAAGCAGAGACGACTACTACTACTACTAAAGAAATGTTTTTTTCCTTTACCATTTTTCTGGTAAAATTAAAGCAACAAAGTTATAGCCCTTTGGAAATTTGAGTACCGCCCTGTCTCAATAATAATATCATGTGCTCCTGTTTGGCAACAACGGATATAATCCGCCTTATCGGTTCATCGCATCGGAAACAAAAAAGCGAAAGAATTTGGAACGATGTTTTTACAATTATTTTATTCAGTTCACTTATACATACAGTCAGTGTCAGTCGAAGGGTTTTATCTCTGGTCAGTCGGTAACGCGTGTGAATAGTGTCTGTTGCGTGGCTCAAACGAAATAAAAAATGGCACATGTTTATGCGGAGTGCAACCAACCCCTCGTGCCTTTGTTAATGTAGTACAATGGGCTCGTGAATCAGGTGACTTAAGACAGGGGACAGGGGACCTCACGATCAAATACAGGTCCGCACTGAAATACTTGTCGGGAGGATACTTTATAAAACAAGGTAAATTTTTTTTTTATTTTTACACACATATTTTGGTTTATCTTCCTTCTACAATCATTATCTGAAAATTAATGACTCAACTATATAAAAAAACAAAACACAAATTATAAAGGTTTTTTTTAGTTCTATCAGTTTATTATAACTGCTATGTTATGTGATATCCACATACAAGGATATTTTCCTTTTGTGGCATATGCATTTGTTCACAATGTGTAATTGATGTGAATAAATAAATATTATTATGAAACAAGATCGCATAATAATTTGTACCGATTCCTACTAGAACCAATATAGGATTAAATAAATCTCCCACTGATGCAGTAAAAACTTATAATAACCCACGAAATCGTGTGAAAATGTATCCGGAAATATAGCTAAACGCAGATTAGAGAACTTTGTTTTCTATAAAATTTGTAAAAATTGACTATGAGTCTATGACTGAATGAAGATTTGTTTCAGGATGAGTTGAAGTATCGTTGTGAGCAGCGAGTTACGTCAATCACAAATATAGCATACGTAAACGTCCTCTTAATTTGATATTCATTGATTTAAGCATCAACTAAGGTTAACGTTTACGTAAGCCTAAGTTGTTCCAATATTTTTTTACACGCTCAATAAAGTGTAAACAAATGAATTCAGAACTTACCAAACCTTGTCGTACCTCCAAATGTATCCAATAGGTAACATAACACCACAGAATCACACTACACGATGAAACAAAATCTAACATCACATTTGAAACCGCGGACGTTCCTTTGTACTCGACGCGCGCGACGTGTTGCCGCGGCGAGATCCGAAGATCGACTGAACCTCAGCAGGGCGTTGTGCCGGCCGTCCGCATCGGAACGCTCTCGATTACGTCACAGTCACATGTCCGTTTCTCTTTGCCAATCGCATCTTAGGCGGAAAGTATGGTGCGCGGTGGATCGCCGCTGAACACCCCATTTTCCAGCGATACGCCCACAGCGCGCCCCACCTCCCGCGTAAGATGCGATTGGCAGAGAGGAACGGACACGTGACGTAATCGAGAGCGTTCCGGTACGGACGGCCGGCGCACAAGGCACTGCTGCTGTTGTGCTGTTCAGTCGATCTTCGGATCTCGTCGAGGTATCACGTCGCGCGCGTCGTCTACAAACAAAGGAACATCCGCGGTTGTTTCGAATGTGATGTTAGATTGTTTCATCGTGTAGTGTGATTCTGTGGTGTTATGTTACCTATTGGATACATTTGGACAAGGCTTTCTTAAGATTTGGCAAGTTCTGAATTCATTTGTTTACACTTTGTTGAGGGTGTAAAAAATAATTGGAACAACTTTCTTGTAGATAGTAGAGGCTTACGTAAATGTGAACCTTATTTGATGCTTAAATCAATGAATATCAAATGAAGCTGACGGTTACGTATGCTATATTTGTGATTGAAGTGCGAATTTTAGCTACAATAAATTCAACAATTCAAGTGTCTTTATATAATTTCTGAATACATGTACTTTTTTTACATTATTTGGTAGGTTGTTTATGTGATCTTGTCTCATGGTCATGCACCTCATGTGTGATCAAAATGTTTGTATTACACTTTTGTTGGTTCTTCAAAATTTTGTAGATCATTTTACATTGTTCTAATTCCAACAGCTTATCTAGTTTACAAACATTCAATACTGAGTACATATTGTCAGTGTTGGCAAGTCGATCATAGTTGAACAAAATTCTTAATATTCTATTTTGCAAAACTTGTGCTTTATGAAATTCAGTTTTACAATACATTCCCCAAATAGGTAACATATATCTAAAGTGTGCTAAGAAAAATGCATTATAAATATTTATTTTATTTTTTGTAGTTAAGTAGTCTCTGCTTCGATACAAAGCAGCTATCATCGATGTTGTTTTATCCAAAAAATGTTTAATGTGACTAGACCAATTCAAGTTCTCATCGATAATTAAACCCAGGTATTTGGTGCTCGATACTTTTTCTATTATAACATTATTTATTCTTATACAAGGGTTTTCGATTATTTTATTATTCTGTTTAAAAATTAGATATTTTGTGTTAGTTTATTTGAATACAGCCATTTACAATAAAGAGTAAGATCTAAATTAACTTGGTCACGCAGAGTCTGCTCATGATTTCCTTTATAGAGAAGGACCTTATACCTTGCATTAAGATTGGCACACTTTAGATTTAGAACATATAAAGAATATAATAGTGGACCCAAGACAGACCACTGGGGGACACCATAGTCACTAGATAACTACTCACTAGTTGTTTCACCAATTTTGACATATTCTTTCCTTAAGTAAATAAGTTTTAATCAGATTATACACAGTACCCCTAAATCCCATATTTTGTAACTTATTCAATAATATATTAATATCTACCACATCAAACGCCTTTCTTAAGTCTATAAACAATGCTATAACCACTAGTTTTTCATCCAAAGCCCTTGACATGTAATTTACAAAATCAACTGCAACTGCAAGCGTACTACTGTTTTTTATGAACCCATACTCGTAACTGTCTGCTAATGTGTTTTCCTCTATAAACGACATCATTCTTTTCTTGATAATTTTTTCGACAATTTTAGATAAAACAAATCTTCATTCAGTCATAGACTCATAGTCAATTTTTACAAATTTTATAGAAAACAAACTTCTCTAATTTGTGTTTAAAACACTGTTGTTGAGAACAATATTTAAAGGGCGAATTTATATAATGTATAACATACGTGAATTTAGAAAATATTTAAAAAATGTTCATGGACTAAATACGTAGTCATGCCATAAGTTCTGTCCCTCGTTTTCAAACAAGTGTAGACCTGTTAATACTTGTCCGATTGTTTACATTGTGGTGTCAGTTGATTAAGCGCTTTTCGGGTAATTACATATACCTCAGTTTGTATTGATCTCTCGAAGCATAACGATGGAGTGGGGCAAGGCAGAGAACCGTATTGCAGTGATAGCTTTACATAAGTGTAATCACAGTGCTAGTCAGATTTTTGAACTCTTACGCGGCCTTCAAATATCGCGTAAATTTGTGTCTAGGACCATTCAGCGGTACAATGAGACGTCCTCTGTTGATGACAGGCCAAGAAGCGGAAGACCTCGTCAAGTAAGGACTCCAGCAGCCATCAAAGCCGTAAAAGCCAGGATTCAAAGGAATCCACTCCGGAAGCAGAAGATCCTATCCAGGGAAATGAAGATTCCTGTCCGGACGATGTCGCGCATCATTAAACAAGACCTAGGGCTAGGGGCTTACCGGAGACGTACGGGCCAGCGACTTACGGCCACCTTGCGACACATCAGGGCGACAAGATCCAAGAAGCTCTTGGAGAGGTACGCAGCTGGGGGATTCCGAAAGATTTTGTTCACGGATGAGAAAATCTTCACCATAGAAGAAAAATTCAACCGACAAAATGACAAAGTGTATGCAAGGAGTTCACAGGAAGCTTCGGAGATCATTCCGAGAGTTGAGAGAGGCCACCACCCTGAGTCAGTCATGGTTTGGTGGGGGGTGTCCTACGAAGGGGTCACTCAGCTCCATTTCTGTAAACAGGGCGTGAAAACAAAAGCGGCAAACTATCAGAGCGACATACTGGATCCTATCGTCAAGCCTTTAAGTGGTACATTGTTTGCCAACCAACACTGGGTCTACCAGCAGGATTCCGCCCCCGCTCACAAGGCTAAGAGTACGCAGCGCTGGCTGGAAAGCAATGTGCCAGAGTTCATTGCTGCGGAAGATTGGCCCTCAGGGAGTCCGGACCTCAATCCTTTAGACTACAAGTTGTGGGACCTGCTAGAGCAGTTGGCCTGCTCCAAAGCCCACCGTAATATCGAGTCCCTGAAAGCGGATTTGATCCGATCAGCGGCAGCTATTCCTTTGGAAGCTGTGCGTGCAGTGATAGATGAGTGGCCCGCGAGATTGAAGCAGTGTGTGAAGGCCAAGGGGGGACATTTTGAATAAAACTGTTTGATTATGAATTCTAAAAATGTTGTCGAATAAATAATATCTTTCATATAAATATATCTTATCTTGTTTCATTTTTATCATGAGATTATCATGGGACAGAACTTATGGCACGACTACGTAGAAGACAATGTAACCAATTATATGTACCTTTTGTGACATACGATGTATCCAGGAAGACTCCGAGGTATTTAGGGCCAAACATTTTTAACAGTTTGCCAATTGACATAAGAAATGCCAAAGATACGAGAAGTTTTAAAATAAAAAAAGCAGTTTTTAAAAAAAAATGCTATTACGTCGTCTCAGAATATTCTGTTTTGTGCGATTTCAGTTGTTTGTTTGTTTTTAATATTTTAAATTTTGTATTCATTTTGAAGAGTTCTATACATTGTATGTATCAAACATTTTACTATTCATTATTTTACTTCAGCTAACATCGACGTTGTTTTATAAAAAAATTAATGTGACTAGACATGAATGTTATTATATTGTTTTCAAAAAAAAATTCAAATTATCATCAATGGCTAAACCCAGGTATTTGATGCTTGATACTTTTTCTACTATATATTTGTTCTTATACAAAAGTTTTGAAATATTATATTTGTCTGTTTAAAAATTAGACATTTTGTTTTATCGATGTTGATCTTTAGTTTGATGTACGAATTTGAAGAATTTCAAATAACTGCGAGAAACCATCGTTGCATTACCAACAAGTGCCAAAACCTGCAGTTTGCCTTGGTTTTTGGCCATAACTTTTTTGCTATTAGTCGGATCTTTTTATGTAGGTCTCACAAATACCTAAAAATCTTATATGAAGAGTTTTTTCGTTCCTGTCAACACTTTCGATTGAATCCCAAAAAACACGTTCTCTCATTCTTTGTTGTCGGATAAAAAGTTTTCCCACAAAAATTGCTGTACCCATTTTATGCGTCCATGTTTTGAATACCCCCTTGAACAAGCAGTAAAAGTAGACTTTACAATTATTTCGCAAACCAGGGGCATTTTCGTCTAATATGATTAAACTATAGTATAGGAAGTTTGGAGTCCCCGCTTGATGCATTTGTTACATTTTATTACAGACCAGCTGACGATAACCCACAACCAGGTCCGTCTCGGGCTGCCGATGAAAATTACGATTGTTGTGCAGCAGACAGTAAAAAACGGAAACACGATGACAGCGACAGCGACACTGACGATGAACCCACCCCTCCGAAGAGAAGAGATCTGAAAGACGGTCTGGAAACGGGCGAGCATATACGGAAAAATGGAGGTATAAGTTTGATATAAATTCTGAATCGCGTTACTCGCTTAATTTCGATAGAATCGAAAAAATATATATATAAAATTTCTTTTAAAGAAACAATTTACAGGACAATCCTAACTTAAATCACATAAAAAGACAAAACATGCAGAAAGCAGGTGATTCCATCTAAAGAAGCAAAAAACACTCAAGTTAGAAAGTATTGGATAAATAGTCGTGGTCCTAGTTTACGATCTTGAGGTACACTAACAGAAATATTTTTTGACCTTGATAATGGAGATCCAATTTTCGTTTTTTGACTTTTGTCAGTTAAGTAGTTTTGTAGAATTTTGAATACAGGTCCTTTAAATCCATAGTGATGCAATTTTGTAAGTAATTTATCTGTGAGTAATTTCAAACGCCCTTTGAAGTCCACTGTACTTTCCTATTGCCCATACATCTGCCCCAGTGCTCTAAAACCATTTGTATTGCCATTTCAGTTGAGTGTTTCTTCCTGAATCCAGCTTGGAATTCGGTTAAAATTTTATTTCCCTCCATAAATTCGATGATCTGTTCGTAACTAATTTCTTCGAAGATTTTCAGCATCTGGCAGAACATTTATTGCAGGCATTTTGGTGTACAAGTTATGGCAGAACACTTCAGTTTTGTTGGAAAATTGCCATATGGTAAACAGTAATTTATTCCTGCTCCAATAATATCAAAACATTCATTAACCACCCTTTTTGATTTCAATTTTGATATAACTTTAACTCCACTTTCTTCTATTCAGATTTTGTTTCTCCGGTGTACTTAGAAGCATAACTATGAAAGTAAAGCGTTTATAATAATTTATACATTGATAAATTGCTCTTAAAAAATTACCTTACTTTTTGGATGACTGCCATATAATGTTTTTTCGATCAGGTTTTAACGATGATTACACGAGATACTGGATCGATAGTGAAAAAAGCAAGAAGACTAACGATTCGAAAATTGACGGAACAGGACAGAACGATGAATGTAATCAGTATGAGAGCGACAGCGATACAGAGGAAAGGCACAAGAGAAAAGGGAGGAGATTTAGCGGTTCTGATGATGAGGATTGTGGAAAGAAAAGATTCAGGCTGGGAGCATCACAAAATGATAGAGACAATGGGATTGGAGAGCCACAAGAGACTGAAAGAGACAGGTAAGATTTTTGTATGTACTTTTTTCAAGTTTTAGGCGTGGGTGAAACTTTGCTTCAGGAATCGAGAGAGATTTAAGCTGTAGAACGGCTTTTATGGTTAGGACTCGCACATCGATATAGCAACTTTTTCCCTCTACTTCAATTTCAATATAACATTTCGGCTTTTCTTCTCATACATCAACTTTATTTTTTCTTATGGATGCCATATTGGAATTTTGCATAGTTCTTTAATTATGATGAAAAAAATGATATGCCATAACGATGACACTGCAAAACTTCAGGTATACGAGGGATGTCTATTAAGTTTTGCATATGGAAATCAAACAACACGGTAGGTAGTTTTAAATGACTGTATTGTTTTTCGAAGTATTCTCTACCAAGATTAATACACATCTGCATGCGCTCGAACCAATTTTCGAAGCACCTATTCCACTCGTTTGCTGGCAGATCCAAAACGGCATTTTTGAATGCGTCAACTGCTTCTTATGGCGACTGGAATCTTTGACCACGCAGTCTGTTTTTAATTTTCGGGAAAGTAAAGAAATCGTTAGGACTTAGATCGGGACTATATGGAGGATGGTCCAATGATTCCACGTTTTCTTCCGTTAAATACTGCCTTGTTTTTTGGGCTGTGTGCGAGCTTGCATTGTCTTGATGGAGGATGATTCTTCGTTCGCGGTTGATTTTTCGAAGCTCTGTGATGACTTTTAGCAAACAAATGATGGTGTACCAATCCGCAGTAACAGCTCTTTGGTCATTAAGAGGAATTGTTGCAATATGACCCGCTTTTGACACAAATGTCGCGACCATCTTTTTCAAAACACTTCGAGAACGGTTGACTTTTGTTGGCTTTTCTTCACCTTGGAACACCCAAACAGCCGACTGCCGTTTATTTTCTGGTTCATAACAGTAAATCCACGATTCATCACCACTAACAATGCTGTACACATTTCTTGAGTTTCCAGAATTGAAACGGTCAAGCGTTTTTTGACACCAATTAACCCTGGCTGCTTTCTGCTCTTCAGTCAACAGGTGGGGTATCCAACGATAAAGTAATTTTCTTACTCCTAATTCTTCATGTAAATTTTTTTGAATTGAGGTCTTTCAGATCTTCAAGGACGCCTCAATCTCGCGATATGTCACATGTCTATCTTCAATGATGAGTTTGCGCACAGCATCGACGTTTTCTTGGGTGACTGCCGTTTTTGGTGCACCCACCCTAGAATCGTCGCTAAGACTCACCTGTCAACGTTTGAATTTTCCATACCAACGGGAAATTGTCGACTGATGTGGCGCTTCGTTGCCGAAAACAGACAGTAACTCAGCGAGGCATTCTTCTTGCGATAATTGTCTCTGAAAGTTGTAATAAATTATGGCGCGAAAATGCTCTCGGTTGATTTCTATTTTTCTAATGACTTGGTGACACTTTACTGTAGTGAGAACACTGCACGTATTGTTGTGATACTTTGAATTTAAGTTTACTAAAGAGTGAGGTTAAGATTCAGTACTGACGTTCGATCCGCGCGGTCTACTATGTTTCTATATGCCTAACTTAAAATACACCCTTCGTACAATAAACGACCGAAAACTATTTTTCAATTCTAAGTTGGCGGCTAATAAAACATGCAGATTCAATCGAGATAAGGCAGCGCAAAGCACCATCTATGAACCCCGAAAAATGGCGCGTAAGGATCCTAATTTCTATTCTCATTATGCATACTGCCTGAATGTTGGAATTTTCTCTGTTTTCCCAGCGATGAAGATGAAAGGCCGTCAACGTCCGGGGTTAAGTCGCCGGAAAGACGTTTGTCAAATGGGCGAGGCCGTCAGGAAAACGCTAGTCCGGAAATTAATGCTGTGCCAGACGGAATGTTGGACGGTCTGATGAGGATTCGTCCACGCATTCCACCCAACGCACCATAGTAAGAAATTAATTAGTGTATAGAAGATATTACCTATTACTTTTTTTCTATTTGAAAAATCAACACGCTTTTCACGAGGTGAAATCGATTTTTTTATTGATAAATGAACGTTGGTTTATGCCATTTATATATGAAAAATAACATCAGTCATGTGACCACCGCGGCTTCGTTTACAGGCCAACGTCCGAACATCAAAATGTTCAATGACTTTTCCCAGAATAATCGGGTCTATGGCCGCAATTTCAGTCCGAATATTGCGCTTTAGGTCTTGAATTGTCTGGGGACCAATCGCATATACTTTTCCTTTCAAAAATCCCGAAAGAAAATAGTCAAGAGGTGTTAAATCGCACGATCTCGGGGGCCAACTGACATCTGAATTTCGTGAAATTATGCGGTCTTGTTCGGCGAGATGTGTGAGCCGTTGCTCCGTCTTGATGAAACCAAAGATCGTCGGCACCAATACGATCGAATTGTGGCCACAAAAAGTCTGTTGACGTGCCGCGATAACGTTCCCCGTTGACGGTAATGGCCTTTTCTTCGGCATCGTCAAAGACGGATGGTCCAACGATGCCACCAGCCCATAATCCGCACCAAACAGTCACTTTTTCAGGATGGAGAGGTTGTTCGTGATATTGGTGTGGATTTTCAGCCCCCCAGAATCTGCAATTTTGCTTATTTACGTACCCATTGAGGTGAAAATGAGCCTCATCAGAAAAGAGCACTTTGGCCGAAAATCTGTCTTCTCTTTCCAGCATCGAATTAACAAAAACACGCCGCTGTTGATGGTCTGCCGGCTTCAATTCTTGTGTTAGTTGGATTTTGTATGGATGGAGGTGTAAATCAATGTGTAAAATCAGGCGTAAAGTGGTCTGACTAATTCCCAATTGTTGCGAACGGTGCCCAGTCGAGGTGGTTTTATCTTCTCGCACACTTTCACTCACTGCGGCTATGTTTTACGAGTACGAGCTGGACGAGCATGTTCGTATCGTCTACGACCTTCAGCTGATCCAGTTTCCTCAAAACGATTAACGATCCAACGAATTTCAGGCCAAAACTAGTGCGAAGTTTGCGAAAAGTATTTTTTTATATTTCGAGCGTTTTCGTAATAAGTTTGGATAACCAAGATGCGTTGTTGTGTCGTTAACGAATCCATGACTATAAATGGCATACCTTTGACAGTTAATTTGTGCATACCACATGACTTTTGACTCACATGGTAACACATGAACTTATAGGTAAAAAAAAAGTAATAGATGGCGCACCCAGTATTGTTTTTTTACATAGAATTGATACTTTACAGGATATTTGAACAAAATGCTAATGCCCCGCTTCTATCAAGATGCCAGTTGTCCGGTGAGCGAGCAGGCCAAGAAACGGGTCCATCTATTCGCAAACTCATTATTTAGATGTCATGTAGGAACCACATATTCTGTCTCACATTTAGAGGAACATCTAATATTTAAGAAAAACTTGAAAATTATTCTAGCCCAGAATCATTTCATCGTGTTTGTCCACCTTTCATTTTTTCTGCTCCTTTTTTTGTTGTCGATGGAACACTTGAGGCGGCTCCGACGCAGTGAGTTTCAAGCCATTTACAAGGGTTCAGCTGCTTCGAAACTGACACTCCATTTTTCAATATTTTCGAATGAAGTTCATACAGTATGTTCAGAAGATAATTGCCCAGGGTGCTATAGGTGCACTTTTGGAAATTTCGTTTTTGCTTTTTGCACAAGTTTTATGATGGGTTGAAGTGCGCACTTTTTCTGGTCAACTTCGCGATTTTTTTAAAAAGAATCTAGTGAAAAAAATGAAAAAGTGGCTCTATAGCACCCTGTGGGGTTTTGTTTTCAACACACTATGAAAATTTCATTCAAAAATATCAATTAATAAAGCGTCAATTTCGAAGCGCGCAAACCTCTACAAATCGTATTTTTGACGAATTTTGTCTAATGTTTCGTGCTGCCAACCCAAGTATTGTAATCGCGAAAAATTTCTAAAATTAGATGTTATGTTTTTTAAGTCATATGACATCTACATCACGATAAACTATATCACTTATCATCAACTTGGAAATTACCGCTCTGATTTTTATGAAATTTCCACACGGGGTTACTAGAATGCCAAAGCTTTGTAGTTTTAGTCCAGTGGCAACGGTGCTACAGGCACAAACGAAAAAGTAACAAATGCTGAAACTCCGTTTTTGACATTACAGGGGTTCCTTATCATTGACATAAAAAAATTGTACTGCTTAAAAAGTGGGGGTTGGGGGAAGGTGATTCTAAATGTTGCATCTTTGATACCAGTTATTCCTGGATTAAGTACATTTCTTGTCTACTGTAATAGGTAGATGGAGGCGATGCAGTCAGAAATGGATGTCTGCGATCAATAAACAAACCACAAGACTGAACTGTGGTGTCCAATGATTTTTGTATTGCCTTTTTTTATTGCCTTACTAGAAAACTCTGTTGGGTATATGATGGAGTTTACTAGAACTTTACAGCTTGCTGTCTGCCTCCTTCTACAAACTTCACCAAATCGAGACGCTGTCAACCTTATCCCCGATGAAGGTGCCACAAAGTACAGTCCTGTGATTTGGTGACTTGTTCGATGTGCAAAATCGCGTCGTCACTTTTTTTTAAGTTTCCCTACAAATTCTTGCCTAGCAACCTCCAAATCAATGTCGTTCATGTCAGAGGTTTTTGACAGAATTCGCCATAAAACTATTAATTTCCTTTGGAATTGCTATACGAATTGTTAGTTATTTTTATATCAGCTTTTTTGGTCTGAGTTTCTTTTCAAGATTTTTACGTTTGAGTCTTTGTTTTATCTTAGCGATAAGCGAGCTTTGACTAAGCTTAGAACGCAAATGTATTTGGACCACATAGTATTGTGGCTCAGTACAGCTGCAGCACATCTTCCATGGTATGACCTGTTCTTGCAATAATTTATTCGCTTACTCCCCAATGTACTTTGCGATTATAGAGTTGAACTGCTCCACACTATTGTTGACCTCATCATGAATTAAACTCACTGCATTCGTAATTAAAATGGTCGAAAATGACCTTTTATTGTCCATTATCAACCTTGATGAAAAAAGGCACTCAAGAACAATCGCACCAACAAGAGTACAGCACAACAATTCAACAACACAATATGGAGGAACGGTAACAAGGGGAGAAAGATACTAAATGATCACTTGCTGAGTACCAAAATAGGAAACGATTTACAGGCTAGATCGCTAATCGAAATCCGAGTCTGTCATTATAAAAATGTATCTGGTATGCATCCGCAGTCATCCTTTCCTGTTTTAAAGCAGCGCCGACGACCGTCTAGGTCCCCCCCCCTAAATATTTCTCCACACGCATTAACAGACTTCTTGAATTTCCAGCGTGCGTGTCAAGCAGGTAGAAGACCACCAGTACCCTCCGATCGAACAGAGGTTCCGTTACGATGGCTGGCCGTCGCCGAAGATCTCTCTGCGCAGGATATCGCTGAGGGGGTACAAGAAAGTGACGCATTTCGCGCTGCTCTATCTGCGGTATTTGCAGATCGAGCTGATCGATTTGACGTACACGAGCGTCACGAAAAGGGAAATCGAAAATTTCCTGCTGTACAATCCGAACTGTAGGGTGATCCATCCGATGTATTGTGTCTGTAAGCCGAAGAATCCGTTTTCATGAGTGGATACGGCAAATCATTTCGAAAAACGCTAGTCTAGAGATCCGGTTATCTGACGGAGACTGAATCGTTGAGGGTTTCTTTTAGGGACTGACAGATATTTTATCGATCTTGGTTTAATCAACTTTTTTGGAGGACATGCACGTACATTTCTCCGCTGTATCCATTTCCGACGTCAAAAATATCATTTTTTTAAATACCTTCAAATGGTCAAGGTCAAACTGAAGGTGAAATATCAAGTATTAGGCAGAATTTTTTTTTAGATATTGAAATTTAGTTGAAAATGTTCCGCTTTAGGCATTTTGTTTAAAGATAGACTTGACTTTGAAACGTCCTTGAAGGTCAAGGTCAGCGTCAGTTTCGATCAAACAAAATCCTACCTTCAACAGTCCATTTTTTTCTGGCGTTAACAATGAAGATGTGCATCAAAAATGTTCCTTGGAAACGACCTTGAATTCAAGGTCATTGCTGAGGAAAAATCCTACACGTATTCCTAAGTTTTTGTTATTTTTTCTGTGGTTTATGGTTTATCAATTTCCAGCGTCAAAAATGCCATTTGAAAAATATCCTTGAAATGAATATGATGTCAAGGTCAAATAACCAGGAAAAAAACAGGATCGCCTGATCCTAAGCAACAGTTTCGATCAGATAAAATTCAGACATTGAAAAGTGATTTTTTTTCACATCAAAAATAAAAAAAACTCATAATAAAGGTTTTCCCTTGAAAACGTCCTTGCAGGTTCTTGAATTCAAGGACACCGATCAGATAGCTCAGGAAAAATCCTACACATATGCCTCGGTTTCTGATATCGTTATTCCGCTCTATCCATTTCCAACGTCAAAAATGATATTTAAAAAAATGACCTTGAAATAGACATGAAGTCAAGGTCAAACAGTCAGAAAAAACTAGGATCGCGTGTGCTTGGACAGAGCTTCTCTTCGAGATTATTTCATAGACCTTGAAATTTTGTTGGTCGTACGTAAAATTTTGTGCTCTAGACATTAAGGCGTCAATATTATTTGAAAAATAGACTTGACTTTGAAACGTTCTTGTTTAAAAATATGCTTGACTTTGAAACGTCCTTGAAGGTCAAGGTCAGCGTCAAACAGTTTCGTTCAAACAAAATCCTGACCTTCAAAAGTAAATTTTTTTCTGGGGTTAACAATAAAGAGGTACATCAAAAATGTTCCTTGGAAACGACCTTGAAGGTCCTTGAATTCAAGGTCATTGCTAAGGAAAAATCCTACACGTATTCCTAAGTTTTTGTTATTTTTTATGTGGTTTATGCTCTATCGATTTTCAGCGTCAAAAATGTAATTTGAAAAGAATATGATGTCAAGGTCAAATAACCAGCTAAAAATTAGGATCGCCTGTGCTTGTTTAGAACTTCTCTTAGAGATTATATAATAGACCTTGAAATATCGTTGAAAACTTCGCTTAGAAAATCCTAAGCAACAGTTTCGATCAGATAAAATGCAGACCTTCAAAAGTGATTTTTTTCTGGCATCAAAAATAAAAAAACTCATAATAAAGGTTTTGCCTTGAAAGCGTCCTTGGAGGCCCTTGAATTCAAGGACACCTTTCAGATAGCTCAGGAAAAATCCTACACATATGCCTCAGTTTCTGATATCTTCCGACCTATCCATTTCCAACGTCAAAAATGATATTTAAGAAATGACCTTGAAATAGACATGAAGTCAAGGTCAAACAGACAGAAAAAACTAGGATCGCGTGTGCTTGAAGAGCTTCTCTTCGAGATTATTTCATAGACCTTGAAATTTTCTTGAAGGTCTTACGTAAAATGTTGTGCTCTAGACATTAATGCGTCAATAACATTGTTTAAAAAAAAAAGACTTGACTTTGAAACGTTCTTGAAGGTCAAAGTCAGCGTCAGCCAACCAAAAGTGATTTTTGTCTGGCATCAAAAACAAAAAGGTTTTGCCTTGGAGATCCTTGAATTTAAATTCACCTGTCAGATAGCTGATGAAAAATCCTACACATATGCATATATTATTCTATGGTTTATATTCATTTTATATTTTAAGAAAAATTGACCTTGAAATGGACGTGAAGGTCATTAACCAGACAAAAATTTAGTTTTGCCGAAAAGTTTCCATCAGAAAAAAATCTGACATTTCAAAGTGGAATTTTTGCTGGCGTCTAAATGAAAGGATCATTAAAGAAAGGTTTTGCCTTGAAAGGACCATGGATGTCCTCGATTTCAAGGTCTCCGTCAGATCCTACACGGTTTCTATTATTATTTTTTATGGTTTTCGATTTTATTTTTTGAACGCCCTATATTTTTGTTTATAGTCTAGCGAATTATGTAGTCGGTAACACGTGGGTATACGTGTTTTCTTTCTTTTTTGTATAGTTCCAGTAATATTGTTTTTCTACATATCTTAATGTGATTTTTATTTCTGTAATTAATGTATCTGTAAATTATTTTAAATTTACGAAATAAATGTTTACAAAATAACAGTTGAATTTTGGAACTCTCAAATTTTTACACCAAACAATAAATCGCTCATATACTTCAAACAGATTAGTTTTTGTGCTATTATGTCTATAAATACAAAATAATCCTAAGATTTTATCAAGCGACATAGGCTCATTTTTTTTCTAAAATAGATTACACATTTTGGTCCACTATTTTCGCTGGTCTTTCGTCACGTAAGCATGATTTTCAAATGCTGTAAAACAAAAAAAAAATAAAAACAAATCGTAATAAACCTTGTGAACGATTTTTGTTTAATTTGCTATTAACAGAATTGAAGAAGGGAAAATGTTTGGGAATAATCAATGCATACTTTCAAAAATTTAAGATTCTATTACATAACAGCCCAACTCGGGCTTAAAGACAATATTTTCACATAACTGGTAGAGAAGCATCCCCATCGTCGAAAAATATATGTTTCGCAGCTTCTTGTTCTGCCTTCCTTATCAACTTGTCCCTTCCTCTTTGCTTTCGTCGTCGCTGTCCACTTTTCTTTTCCTCAAAACGCTCTCTGTCTTCCTTCAATTTCTGCCAATATTGCTTTTCTTCATCACCTTGCAATACCATCAACTCACGATCTTCATTCTTTTGATCAGTCAAATACCTGAAAGGATAAAAATGAACGACGGCGAACATCCCTGACGCGCAATCACGACATGCATTCCTGACCGGCAATCAAAACGTGCATTCGCGATGGATCATTACAAACGGGCATTCACTCTTGACGAGCAATCACGACATTCATTTCGATCAATCACGACGAGCACTCCTGACGGGCATTCACGATGTTCATTCCTGTCGAGCAATCACGACGTGCATTCCTGACGGGAAATTACGACGTGCATTCCTGAGCGTCATTCACGACAAGTACTCTTGACCAGCAATCACGACATTCATTCCGAGCATTCCTGACGGGCAATCAAAACGTGCATTCGCGAAAGACGATTACAAACGGGCATCCACAATGTTCATTCCTGTCGAACAATCACGACGTGCATTCCTGAGATGGATTTTATGCCGGTTTTTTAAATATGTTGGAGAACTAGAAGCTTTTTGGATTAGTCGATACTGTTCAAATTTCTGATGTCAAAACGAGAAAAGTGCCTAAAAAATTCGTGAATATCAAAATATTTCTCAACTATCAATTGCTTTTAGTTGCAGTGACAAATTTTATGATCATTGAAATATATAATATTTATATTAATCTGCTAAAAGTACTGAGTCTATCTACACCATTTTTTACTAAACTCACAACTTTTATGTAAAATTGTTTACTTACTTTTTTGCAGCATCATTGTTAGAGAATCTTAAGTATATTTCATTGCTTTCCATTGCATTTGGCACATCAACAAACTTGATATCTGATGATGTACATCTCATTTCACTCTGGAAATATGCCGAAAATTAATTTTAAGGATTGCACCCAATTTGATTGAAAACTGTGTCAGCAACTATGCATCTTCTGAGAATACACAATTTTAGGAATAACTACGGTGATCTTTTCTTCAATGTATGATTAACAATTTTCAGTAAGAGAAAAATGGAGAGTGCTTTTATTATTTTGGGGGAATTACGGAAATTTTACTTGAGGACATGGAATGGTATTGGTATCATCTTGGATGCTTAAAAGCTACAAACGCTTCTGAAGAAAATTATGAAACACTCAAATCTTACCTTCATTTTCTTGGCATCTAGACAAGGTTCTGGCAACACCACTTTAATGATTATACCAGGTACAAATTCAACTATGGCTTTACTACTGTCCTTCACAGTATGTTCTTTAGCAGAATTTTCCTTTTTATTATCTTTATGTGACTGCTTGTGTAGATACTGCTTTAGTTCTTTCATTTTCTTTCTCTGCAAGTTCAAATATCTGTTGCGCATCTTTTTCCATTCTACCCTATAACAGATCATTAATTTTAATTTTAACCTTACCACACCTCAAAGGTGGGATTTACACCTGGATCAATCTAGAAGTAAATTTAAACTAGAAAAAATAGAAATATATAATATAATCTGATTTTCTATAAAGTAATGAACAATTCCATCAGGTTATCTTGAAGATTTTCTTGAAATGCTGTTAAGTTGCCAGTTTTACTAATAACAGATCATGGTTGACACAGTCGAATGCCCTGCTTAGATCACAGAAGGTACCAACAGGGCATTCTCATACTGAACTAGCATATTGAAGAAAGAATGGAAAAACAACAGGGAGATGTCACAGGTCTTCTTCGTTCTTGTGTTATAATTAATTAATTTGGTTTTTGGTGTAATTATACCAGTTTCGATAATAGCAACTACTCACTTGGATAAAATCTGCAATCCCATCTCTTTGATGTGATTCTTCTTTTTGTCCTTTTTGTGTTTTTTCTTCTTTTTGCCATCCTTCTTATCTTCCTCTATCTCAGTCTTCTCTTCATTTCCCTCAAATTTTTCTTTCGCAGTCTCACCTTGCACGCTCTCAGTTTTGAGTTTCTTAAGTTTTCTTTCACCGTCTCCTTCAAATTTCCTTTTTTTCGGTTCTTCCTCATCGTTACATTCTTGCATCTGCTTATGAGTTGTATCCATTTTTTCATTATCTTCAAAAGTCTGAATGCTGACCAGTTTATCGGGTTCTGTATCTGATGGCATCGTACAACCGATAGTTTGGAAATACTCCAACGTGTTTTGGGCATCGCTTTCACTTTCAAACTCTATAAAAGCAAATCCCTTATTTGCTTTGTTATGCTTATATTTTGGAATGCTTACATACACAACCTAAAAACACGTAATTTATCATAACAAAGAAACCTGCACACTTCATAGATTCTTACCTTTCCAAATTCTGAAAAAATTTGGCTGAGCGACTCATGAGTTGCGTCAGGCTTAATATTTTCAACATAAATCGTGCAATTATCGACATTTTCTTTTTGTTGCACTTCTGTTTTTCGCCTTACTTTTTCTCTGTCCTCGGATAACTCCAAGAGTTCTGATTTGCCTATGGCTTTCTTGATGTCCTCCGCTGAGCAATTCAGTTTTCTGATTTTGTTAAATTTCAAAAAGATATCTATATCAACATCTAAAAACAAATAAAGTTAAATACAAACGGCACATTCATATTGACAAAAAAACTTACAAGGGTCGTTTTGCAATATCTGCATCAAAAATCTATCTTTGGAAAGATTGGCATCGCTAAAATAAAATTCCATCAGCTGTAAAATGCTGTTGTACAGCTGTTTTTTACGAACACGGCCTTTTTTTGAAGTATCCATAGGTTCATTAATAGCTTCGACTACGTTTTCGCCCATTCTCGTTTTTGAGGAATATTTGGAGATTTGAAAATCTAATGTCGGGTTCATGCACGACTTAAACTAACCGAACTTAAGGATCAGCTGTTTATACACCAGTGTCCTCCACATGTTACGCCTCCAGATAGTAACTAGCTAGTGACTTCCAGTGGTGGTCAAACGTTTTGGTGGCGTCACACCCATTTTTTGACATGATTCGGGTGGTTTCGGAACTCGTCTTACCCTTGGATAGCCCTTTCCATACTGTTCTATGCTCGTATTGACGTAATTATAATAATTCTGTGGTGTCCCGTGTTCCACGACGATTTACCCAGAAAGCCAGGCAGTGACTCATCTGTTGTTTTTGTTTGAGTTGTTGACGAATTTGTGGTAGAGATTTGTTTTGGTGTTCGTCTTCGGGTGTGTTTTTCTGCCTTTGACTTGTTTTTTGTGCGATTAATTGAGGATGGCCATGCCTAGAGCAAAATAACGAAAAGCCGCGGTGGTATCAACTCCTGACCTTGTTGAAGAGGTACCTGCAGAAGTCACCTGAACGCAATCGGACATCGCCAGAGGAGCGCCTAATGATGACGTTGCAGTAAGTATCCAAATCAGTTCATTTTTGCATAAATGACAAAATATATTGAGGTTATGGTCGTTTTCTTAATTTCAAGGTCACTTCTTAAATTAAAGTTCAATATATTGAACTTTTCCTTAAGAACCAACCAATCGGATCACTAGCGTTGGTCAGCTGATCGCTACAGCTGGAATTAGAAGATGGCTACGAGCCATCGATACTGTACAAAAGTCGATAGTCGATATTTATATCGTGATGTTTGATCGATTTTATATCGCAGTATGGGCAGATGGTTCGGTGATACTTGTATGAAAAATTATTTGCGCTTGCTTACGCATGACAGTTTAGAGCTGAACATCGGGGCGGATTGATAAAAAAAATCATGTATGTTAAAAATTATAATAATTAAAGTCAGTGGTCATGTTTCCTTCATAAATTAGATCAAAAAACAGCATGAAAAAAATACCAAGATAGAGGATTTTGAAATTATATTCTAGAGAACGAAAAAAAAAAAAAAGGGAAATGATCTTAAAATTTTGTGCTTGTAGTACTGACTTCATAGCTGATAGATGCAAACACTTTCATGTCTGAGACTGTACCAGTGGTGATGTTGGCAAATTATAGCCCCAACAGAAGAAAAAAGAGAATTTAAATCTATACCATGCCCCCCATGACATGTTTTTCCAAAACCTCACAGAACACTGTGAAGGTACTTTGTAATTAACTACAAACCAGGTGTACACCTGACGAATGCTGTGTATTCGCAGCCCACCAAATATGTAATCTCTTTTGACGTTTATTGAGGTAAACAGATTGAGTAGCACGTAACTTTTTTTGTGACATCTGTACTGTTGGTAATAACAAACCTGGTAAAGGGCCAAATTAAGGACTGGCATTTGGTATCACCAATGAAAATTTTTTTTTTAAACACAGAATTTTGGCAATCAAATGTATACTGCTAGATTGGGAATTTATACATATGTACAGAGCAGTATCATCTGAAGGGGCGTGGTGAGATGACTATGTTTCTGTTTAGTGCTTGCTGACCAAATATGACAGTGATATTATGCTAATAATTTTTTTTTGTTTCACAGTGTCAAAATCCTTCGAGGAGGCAGTTGGAATGAAGATCGTCATTTATTTTATGGATACCAAATTAATTGTCAATGAGAGTTTGTTTCCTAGTTTGAAAAAACAATTACTGTTTTATGTGTTTTTTTTTGTTGAGGACAATTTTGTTTGCCTTTACCCATTAAACAGTGTGCGCAAAACTATTTTTGATTCACATATCAGAGTGATTATATTTGTATTCCAGTCAGTCCTCTACCTACAGATGTATTTTTTGTTATTTTAGTATTTATGTTTTCGCAATAAATATACCTGATCAATTAACAAGAGATAGTGCTTGCATGATATTGCACTGATCAGGTTCATAATATAGAGAAAAATCCAGCTGAGTAGAATACCTCTATGTATGTACAATTTATTGTAATGAAGAATTTGTTCTATTATTGCTGTGACTGTTCAGTAAATATTTTTTTAATTATACATTTTTTTATTATCCTGATATTCATTACTAGTCAAACTGATGAAAGAAATACTCCCTTTATTGAGGATGTGTTATGCATCTATGATCATCGAACTGCCTCAATATCGGTCGTCAGTCAGATTTCATAATGTAAACAAATGAAATCGCCGACACATTCCCGACATTCCTGATATGCGTTGTCGGCATACTTTCAATATTTATAGTTCCACCAGATTTCCAGCCAAGAAAAGTGGCGCTGCCGTCGAGGTTATAGTCCAAGAAATATCTTCACATCTGCTCAGGAAAATATTCGGATTCGGACTTTTTGCATGTTATTCGAAAAAGCCTCCTAGTAACAAATCTACATGTTGTCAGGCTCCAAATTGCGTCTCTAATTGTTTGAACAACTTTTTCAAATAAATTACAAAAATTAATGTTTTCGCTTCATCAAAGGTAGCATTCGTTTTTTTGATACTCCGAAACAAAATGATGTTTGACAATGTTTGTCAAAAGTTGATTTTGTACGAGATGGGAAAGTACAAAAAATTGATTTTGCGATACCGAAAAACGATCTGAAAAAACGAAAATGTTAATGTCGCCATGCTTCATAAATAACCATTAACGATACCTTTTAGGAGATACTGATGTTATAAATCTTTGTATTTAGTTTATATGCAAGCGGACGCTCAATGCATATTCAGCGTGCACGAGAGATATTTCATCTCTCTCGCGTTCACATAGACATAGACTATACGTATAGATTGAGCGCGCATTCAAATGCTCTGGGGGTTTTGTTATTGGTTGGTTGAAGCATGTGTGAGATTTGGCAACAACAAAATATTCATTTTTCATATTGTTTTTAGGGTAGCAAATGACATGTTTTGAGTTTTTACATTGCTTATACCTGTATATATCAAGTCTAGAGAAAAGTTCTAAAGCTCATTTTTTATTTAGAATGTCCTAAAAACCGCAAAATACTTTAAACAAAGCGAACAAATCAATTTTTGGAATCGGTTTAATAACAATTTTTGGAGCAATTTTGGGAATAGTCACATGCAGATTCTTTAAGAGGTCCTTGAATCAGATTATGCAAAAATAGGAATCGGAAGAGTTTTCCGAGCAGATGTTCCCATATTATCTGGACTATTATCCGAGTTCTTTGACCTGCATTGGCGCAAGCGTGTGGGGAGGGGCCACTTGTCAACGTCAAGGCTGGCCCGCCAGTCCACGTGACACATAAGCCACACAACACTGTTTCATCTGCTACTTTGACGTTAAACATATGATTATTTAAGGGTATTTAACTTTCATGTTGCCTCAACTGCTACGTTGGCAATCCTGGCCGCGCATGCGCATGAAATGCTCATTTTCTTAAGTTAAGTTAGCTTAAATCGTGCATGAACCCACCATAAAACAAATCGCTTTACTTACGCATAACCTCAATCAATTCTATTTGCAACGTTGCCAGTTGCTTCAGAATATAGTTGCGATTACGACAAATGTTGGATAAAAACGTAAATACGCTCTGAAACGACGAAAACTGGACGTGATTTCACTTCAAAAATTATTAAATGATAAGAATGTTTCAAAATAGCAACAACGCAATGTTACTAACAGCGAAGAACCTATCAACTAGTCGAATGCAAATAATCTAAGATAATGTTGAAAGTCTGGCAATTGCGTAAAGAGAAAAGTCTGTTCCTTTTAACATGTCATAACTTGACAGAATCTTTCTATCCTTGTTTATTCAGGCGACTGCCCAGGAATTCCAGATACTCGTAGTAATATGTATCTTATGCAGCAGTGTTGCCAGTTGAATTATTAGTTTTAATAAAGTCCAATATAGTGGCTACCCTCGTGTCCAGAAGACATGTTTCGTTTACGGGAGATCCAGTTCCCAAGCCGCTATTTCTTGAAATGAGAATAGAATAACAGAGAAAATGGGCGTAGTTCTCTTACCTCGTAAGAATCTGTATTCCTGAACGCTAGTCGCAAATACATTCAGTAAAATCCAATTTTGAGTTTGCCGAAATGTATGACATACAGGGTGGCCCAACGAAAAGGTCGCACCCTCATTTGTAACTTTTGGTATACTCTGGGGAAAACGCTCGGAAAGGTCAATTTTGATTTCATCTATGATTTCCGAAAATGTCCGCCCACACATTTATGTTTTCAATAATTACGAGTATGTCTACTTACAGCACTAAGTAAATAGAACGTACACTCATCCGAGAAACAAATCTTAAATAATAGATTTGAAGTTTTATCTTGTACGGATGAAATTTATTGTCTTTTAAAATTCTTTGTACTGTTGAGCGTGTAAATCCTGAAGAAGTCCATGAGTGTCGTCAAGTGCTATGTGACCCGAAACTGCTATTTCTGCAGCTTCATTTCTAACTGGTCGATTTTCTCGATGCCGATTACGGCGAATATTAGACATAGATCCAGTCTCTTCAAATTTTCTTATCAACTTAGCCACATACTTATCGTTAACATTTTTGTCTGAATGTAACGCATTAAACAACCAGGCAATAGCTCTTGCATGCTCCCATTTTTGTATTACAGTTTTGTTATTTCTACCCTTTCTTGAATAGAATGATGTAAGTAGCTTAACAATTTGAAATAAAAGACAAAGTTTTTCTATAACATACGATGACACTGACTGATGCTATATGTTCTTGCTGGTATCCATGATTATTATTTTTAGCCATGTATTCCATTATTATCAGTATTAAGTTAGTACAATTTTATTATAAACTCAAATAGCTTCACAACGATTGAAGATAGGTATAAAATTTATTTTACAAAATTCCTAAGAACTTCATGGAGAGTCTAAAAATTAAAAAAAGAAGTATCCATGTAAAAATCTAAAATGTAACGCAATATCTTATTTTAGGATCACCCTGTATTGTACGGCTATAGATGAAAAGATTTTCCCCTAGAAATCAAAATTGATGTGTTCGAGCGTTTTTCCCAAAATATACAAGGAGTCACAAATGGGGGTGCGACATTATCGTAGCACCACCCTGTATGTTTGTATGGTCTGCGCATGGTCATTTAAAATTACCTAAATATCTGAAAACTCGTAATAATTGGCAATGTTGCATGACTCCATCACATACTGCGAGTTAACTTCGTGTACACTACGAACTTTGAAAATCCGTAGCTGCACCGATTACACCCGGGATGATACGTTCGTTTGAACTATGAGTAGGGGACAAAATTCATGTGCTAAAGACGTAAGAGATTGAGGTTGTGCAAATTTCATTTTTGGAAATTTCGAGATTAGAAGAAGCAAAGTAGTAAGAGATGGCATCCGCAGCCGACGCAAGACTTTCTATAACCGGAAAACTAGGTCTGAAGCCTATCAACACGCACAATCTGATGTTCTACTACGCCCCAATACAGGGAGTCGTTAGCTACACAGCCCTGTCCATAAACGTTATGAACCCTTCATTAGTCCTCAGGTAAATCAGACAGTATTTTTGAACTCGGTACTAAGTTTTTCAGTAGCCCATTATGCACGTTTACTTATCATTGTCTGTCTCCAAGACCTATGCCGTACTGATTGCGGTCACAGGGACAAACAAATCCTATTCGTATTTGAACTGTAAATGGCTATTTTAGGATCTTCCCAAAGAGAGACATCACTAATATTCTACTGTTCAACACACTAGTTGGATCTGGATTGTACTTGTATAATAGGCCCCATTTGAGTTCATTGTCTACCAAAGAGAAGCTGTTGTACAGGTGAGAATGAGCTGTAATCTTATAAAATATCTGACAAAGATATACATTTGTTCAAAGTCCAAGAGATGATTTGATCAAAATGTATCAAAAATACTTTGCTTATAAAAATGCATGGATGGAATTTTGTGAATCTGACATCAACAAATATTTTTGGATATAGTATACAATATTTGGTATCTATGATGTCAACTGTTATTTTTACATAATATTTATGTAATCTTCATAGATACGATACTAGCATTTGATGTTGAATTCACGATCTTGGAAATGTAGATTGTGATTATCTTCTAGACAAATACTTCAAATCTATGAGAATGACACTACTTTTTAGAAAAGTTCAGTTAAATTGAACAGATTTTGCACTCTATATGTGGTTTCATTTGGGCAGAAAAAACGTGTTTTTCACGTCTTGATCCATATACTTAACACCCTATATACGTAAATAACTATTTGTGACCTAATATTAAAAATCTCAAGCTTTTAAATGGTTCTTTATTTTTTCCATTTCAGTTCATTTGGAGCCGTGACGTTTTCGCTGGGCTCGGTCCTGATTTGGGCGATAGTACGCAGTCTGGTTCCCCAAAACGTCGCGCTATGTTCAGTATGCGGAATTGGATCAGGATTGGCCATGATCAAAATCGCCAAGTCGTACACTGACCATGTCGACTCGCTAGCACCAAAGAAGTGACGTGTGAATGCTGCATTTTTGTTCTTGTTGTTGATTTTCTCTTTTTTCATCCATATATTTACCATTTAAGTTATTGCTACGATGCGATTTTTAATATGTCCCTATGCAAAACGTCGAATAATAAAAGTAGATGTGTTTTAGAATTGGTTTTTCACTATGCATTCTGTCAATCCTAAGTCATGGTGTGTCACATGCCTTATGTGACATCATGGGTCATGTGACAAATATTGCAAAATATGCGGCAACGTTTTGAGCAAAATCTTTATTATTGCATGGAGAGTCATGGTGGCCATTTTCAACATTTACTTGCCTAACAGGTCAGTTCATTCTTCATTTTTAAATTACTTTATCAATATAAAGGGAATTGAAAGACCTTTAAAATAAGATATCACTCGACCGCCCATTCCATTTCAGATTTTAGGGTTGGTGTCACCCCCGCCCAGGGGGCTGCACGTGTTAACGTGATTTTTTGCCAAACTTGTGTCCCCCTCGAAAACAAAATCGACGGGTCTGAGCGTTGTTCCAAAAGAAAACTGAGCTGCCAGTAAATGCGTCTGTTTCGTTTTCGATGCGCCACCCTGTATTAAAATTATTCCATTCTATTCGCTGTAAAATATGAGACTGATACTACTGTTTTTTTATCATATTAGCGTCTTTTTGTATATTGAGTTTATTATAGTTAGAGTACTTTAATGTCTGCGATACTGCACTTTTCTTTTTTCAATACTGACATGTCTATGAATACTTGTGTATTTTTTCTATGATCAATAAAGATTATTATTATTATTATTGGAGAAGGTAAAGATTAAACGGTGCTTTCCAGAAAGGCCGCATACTTATTTTTTGAACGGGAAGTTAGGAAGCTATTATAAAAATGACCCATTTTAATCAATTTTTGACGCATTTTAGTGTAATTGCATTTTTTCTTAATATCCTAGTTTTTATATTAATCTTATTCCAAATTAATTCGTCGTATTTGATTGGAGTAAAACAAACTTACACACACACCTATACTTGAATATCATTGTATTTTCAGTTCGATTTGTAATTAAAGTATGTATGTATCGGCCAGTACTTCATATACAGACTTCAAATGTTGGGTTCCTGGCCTATTTTCAGGTGAACGGAGAATCAAAAATATAAAAAATCAAATCCAGCAAATATATTAACAAATCAACAGAATATAAAACAAAGTACATATATTATCATCAGCAAACTAAAACTGGCTTAGTGATTTACATTAGTGTCAATAATTATTAATACAAGTTTTATCCCATGTACAAACGAATCATGCAAGAGTTATACAGGGCGCACCAAAATCATCAGTGACACTGCGACAAAAAAATATTTTTGAAGGATTTGAGGGTGGTTTTCGCAGTTTTGTCCACCAATTTTCGGACATTCAACTTGTATCTTTATATGCATCACCCCACACAAAACATATTCTGATTGAATCAAGTCAGCTAAACAGGCTCACACAATTAAAACTTTGCCCCAGCATCATACGATTTTTTTTTTTTTCGTTTTTGGCCCACTTTTTACAGTACATTTATGAACCCTGATTTTAAAATAGGAATTCCTCATTTCTCTTTCCAGGAGGTCTACGGCAGGCATTTTTACGATTACATCGAGTAATGTGATGTTTCCAATGATGTGTACGTTACTGTCAAATTTTTGACTATATACATCTCAAAAACTAGACGTATTTTGAAATTGGCACACTCTGTATCTCAGTTATTCCACGCGAAATCACACAAAACTCCATAAATGCTATATAGTTTTATACAAATATCTGTCCGATAACAAATAGATAAAAACGTACATATAAAGATTCAGTCCATATTCTTTAGTTAAAAATATGTGAAAACCTAATATTCTTGTAAAAAACTGAAATTTGGAGTCAACGTTAGAACGTTTTTGATTTTGACAGTCTAAAATTGGAATAAATCAATGAACAAATTTAGAATCGAATTGCGATACTCTGAACTTTATGGATGTACCTGATGAATATTATACATCGTTTTGACTATGAAATAAGCAAACTGAGGCTATCATAAAAAATTCTAAAAAGAACCCCACGCAAAATATGTGGAAAATTTATCTCGGTAGATTTATCTTAAAATTTAGCATGATACATTTCTGGCGTTCCTGAACAAAAGTTCTGAGCCTCAAAATGGAAACAAAAATTTATTGAAAGAACGATAAATAATTCCCTAAAGATTTCTAAAAGTAACTACGCTTTAAGCTGTCCTTTCAAACTTTATCATTCACTTGCATATTTTCAAATTATACGTGAACTTACATTTATATATATCCAATTCCTTGAAAATTAGCTAGCTATTTTTAGTTTTTGAATCAAAAACCATGAAATAAATACATTTACGTCGTAAAAATCTAAATTATCATTTTGTATATGCATTGTACATTATATATTATTTTAACAATAATTTGTACAGATATATACAAAATGTCAGCAAACATATAATTGCTGTTCATCGAAAATAAATAAAACATTTTGGGAATTCCTTCAGTTTTAAAAAAACATTTACATTGGTCAAAATTATAAAAAACACAATTTCACTAGATGAATCATCATTTTTTCTTCAAAAACGTGCAACTAAATATTTGCTTGTCAACATTTTGTACACTAAATTCGTCTAAACGTTGTTAATTCCTAACATCTAAATTTACTTAATCCAATAAATTTAGTGCAGACGTAAAAAATACTGCATTGCTTTATACCAATTAGATATCCAATCTAATATAGATTTATTTTTTATCACTCCAAATCCGACATTTGGAAAACAAGGATTGCAAAAAGCATATCAAACACATTTTTCCATACTGAAGCTAATCGTGTGTCAAGTATCGAGCTTTTCAGGAAATTTTGGAGATAAAAAAAATACTGACACATTGAAAATTGATTTTTTCAAATTCAGTAACACCTGTTAGGTGGGACCTCGGTTGGCCGCGTGGGTCAGAGTGTCGTGCTACTGATCAGCCGGCCGGCCGGGCCGCGAGTTCGAATCTCGCCTTCGCCATGGATGTTGTGTGTTTGTTTTAGGCAGCAGCGGTGGCCGCAGTAGTAGACCCTTCGGTCTCCTGATCAGCCGCCGTGCGCTGTGCGGGTTCGAGTCCCGTCCCAGGAGAAATGTTTCTCTTGGCCATGGATGTTGTGATTGTCCGTAGGTGGTAGATGGTCTCTGACTGTCGAACGCGGAGGTACCACCCGGCGGTTCTCGTAGGCGGAGCCAGAATGTGTGCATGTTGCATGCACACGTGTTCCCTCGCCAGAGTCCGTGTGGCGTCCCCCCTTTCCCTTGTATCCCCCATAGCCCCACGGTACCCAATGGGTGCTTAGGCCTTAGGCCTTCGTGGTAGTTGGAGTATAAAAAAAAAAAAAAAAAAAAAAACAAACGCTACTCAAAAAAATTTGGGGAACAATAAAAAATCCAACTTTTTCGGCGATCTTTGATATTTCGGTGAACAATGGTCGTATTGAGACTTCAAAAAAGGCATTTTGGAGCTTCAAGATTCTAGATTTCGGGTTTCTTAGCCGAAAAATTTCAAGAGCAACCGTTCTTATACAGGGTGCGGCACACGGATGTTTTTGAAATGGCTAGTACTCTCCGCCCAATCGGGGCTTCCTAGCATTTTTATCAGTAGACATTACGGAGCAGTGAGCGTTTTCGTCTACGACAGTTTTGTCCGATATAATGAGCCTATCACGACACACAGCATGACTTTCGATACGGTCATTTGGCGCGGAGATATACGACTAAATCAGAAAGAGTAAAAAAGTTACTTTTTGCCTTGTTTTGGAAAATCGGCTGCGTTTTTAGAACTGCTAAAGAGAATGCTACGTACGTCAATGTACCCCTAAAAACCTTGGAAAAAAAATTATAAATACTAAGGAAATAAAAAAAATCCTCAAAGAGACAGAGGCAAATCTGAAGGTTTTCGGAAATACGCTTACACTATCTCAACGATGGCAAAAAGTATCATTTTTCGTTCAAAAATATTTTTCAAGGACTAAAACGAAAAGAAAATGTTCCTCACGTTATTTGTTAGAATTGCAAAAGAACCGTTGGTCCTAAATTTTTCGGCGTAAAATCCTCAAAAATAAAACCATAAAGCTACAAAATGCTTTTTTTAAAGCCTAGATACGACCATTTTTCACCGAAAGACAACCCGTCAAAAATCATCGAAAAATTTGGATTTTTTTTAGTAGTTTATATGTTTAGATTTCTGTTTATTGTACGAAGTTTTGGCCATCACTGTGGTAACTACTGAAAAAATGGAGATCAGAGATACACTTAGCTTTCAGCAGGATTACGATCCTAAGCACACCGCCCCAAAAACAGCAATATATGAATATCAATATTTTTTCAACCTTATTTACTTGTTGCTTTTCTAGGGTGTCAACACTTTTTTTACCCTTGGATTTCATAATTCCTATTCTTGTCCAGTTCCATCAAAAAACTACTACTTTTAAATTAACGTCCTAACAAAAAAATCATCTTTTAATTAGTGATATTCAAGAAAAAAAATAGTATGCCAATATTTTTTTTTTCGTATGACGGTGACTCCTATGAGTATTTTTGATTCAAACTGCGGCTTATATGGAAAAATGTGATAGCATTGTTGCAAGATGTTCCACATCTACACACTAGTTTTAAAAACAAAATAATTTAATTCACCTAAATCAAATAAGTAAAATGATAATTCTTCAATAAACAACGCTATATTGGGTCGAAAATAAAAAATCTTGTTACTCTGACCACTTTAATAAAAAAGCAAAGTCAGAGCTCAAAAAACCAAGGAAATTCTACGTACTATTTAGTACGTATCATGTGGCGTTTATGATCCAGTTCAGATTGAGATTTGAGGCATGCGGCAGGATTCAAACATGTCAAATAAAAGAAAACGTATTATAAAAAGTCTTTACCGCAAAGTACTAGAGCATCTCAAAAAACTCCTGCAGCTGCCTCACCGTCGACCTGTCCAAAAGGCACAGGTCAAAGTCGAAGGTGTGCGCGGACACTTCGTACTGGCCGGTCTCGGCGATCAGTTGCACCACTTTTTGGAGATCCGCGTTATCCTTCAGGCTCATTATTTTCTGCTGCAGGTCGCGAAGCATGTCCATATCCAACTGAAATATAATATAGAGTTTCCTATAATAATTCTTACCCATTTTTTATATTGTTCAACCATCTTGTTTAAAGCAAACGAAAACATTTTCAAAACTACAAATTCTACAAAATAAAGCTATGAGAATCATTTTAAATAAAAACAAACGTTCATCCCCATATTCGAATTAAAAAATAATTACAAAAAACATTTAGAAAACTTCACAAAACTTGAATTCGATAAATTGGATAATGAGTGTTCAAATTTAAAAACGTTCAAGGTGAAATTAAAAAATCACTTTACGAATACCCAAAATTGTAGAAAGAAGGTCGAGTTCCAAAAATGTGTAAAATAAAACTATATTAATTCCATTTCAGCGACAAAATTCCAACCAACATACCTCATTCTTAGGTACCGGATTCACGTCTTCTGTACTGGACACCTGTTTCTCGTCATCTGAATTATTGTTTTCTTTGTCTTTGAGCAGCTTCTCCGGAGGTTCTTCGACCGCAGTATGGACAGTTTCGCTTTTCCTTTTTCGTTTCTTCTCAGAGTCTTTATCGTTCTTTTTATCCTGAAATCAACAATATACAAAGGGTACTATAACAGTTTCGCAATTCGACCCAGGAGGCTGCAATGGAATTATAAAGTGAATTGAATTACAAAAATCCGCCACAATTCCAACAATGGATAAGGCCATACCGTTAAGTAAGTTGATTCTATCTGGACAAGTACTGAAATTATCTGAACAACAGGATACGAGTTAATAACATAAATAATTTGAGAGATAGGAAAAATGAGTGCCAGCGGGATTCGAACTCGCTTCTCCTCCGGCAACAATATGTAACCTATATTTTTCCGTAATTAGTGAATTCAATAAAAATTTTAAAAAAGCCCATTACCTTTAATTCGAACAGTGACAATAAAATATTATAATACATAAACTATACGTTGAAACTGCAATTTAAACGCAATCAACAAATTGTTTTCTGGGATTAGAATCGGACCAATATCGGCAGTTATGACGATTTACTACGCCATTTAAGAAAAAGGAACATTCGTCGGAAAAGCAAGTGTTGAATAGAAAATGTTCATCGTTTATAATTCGTTCACTCATATCTTCACAAAATTGCAATCGCCGATCAAAATCGTCTTAATTAAGTTCTTGTACCAGGTGAATTTTATACGGATGAAAACTATGGGCCTCTAGAATACGTTGGACAGTACTAAATTCCTATTTAAAATAAGTACCAGATATTTCCTTATCTTTCTTCAAGAAATAACTTTTTTGCCACAAAAAAACGCTCCAATAGCTATTTTCAACAACAAAATGATAAACAAACCATGGGCGTAGTGAAGAAAAGCATTTACTTATTAAGTAAATTATTTTAGCCAAATTTCTTCTGAAAGTAGTACAAACTAATCTGATGTACCTATTAAAGTCTACCTTAAGCTTTAAATCAATAAATCTTTAGAATTACTGAACTGACGCTCATGTATTTTACATCATTATAAAGGGAATTGAAAGACCTTTAAAATAAGGTATCACTCGACCGCCCTTTCCATTTAAGATTTTAGTGTTGGTGTCACCCCCGCCCAAGGGGCTGTACGTGTTAACGTGATTTTTTGCCAAACTTGTGTCTCCCTCGAAAACAAAAACGACGGGTCTGAGCGTTTTTAAAAAAAAAATCTGAGCTGCCAGTAAATGCGTCTGTTTCATTCTCGATGCGCCACCCTATATGTATGTATTATAAGTAAAGATACCATTATATTGTCCTCTAATTGGAATAGTTCTGTTAGGCAATTATGTACAAAATAAATAAAAATAAAATATGCGGCCAATAAATGTTGAAAAAGTCTTTGAAGAAGTCATTTACGAACAGATCATCGAATTTATTTTAACCAAATTTTAAGATGGATTCAAGAAGAAACACCCAACTGAAACGGCAATACAAATGGTTTTAAAGAACTGGTGGAGATGTATGGACAGTAAGAAACATACAGTGACAGCGTTTTTGGACTTCAAACGGGCGGTTGAAACTACTGACAGGGGTAAACTAGTTACAAAATTATATCACTATGAATTTAAACTACTTAACTGACAGAAGTCAAACAACCAACATTGTATCTACATTATCAAGGTCAAAAAATATTTTTTTAAGAATGTAATTGCCAAATAAATCTTAAACAAAAAAAAGTACACTTTGATGTAGTGTATAAACGAAAAACCGAATATATAAAATAAAAACGAAGGAATTTACAACGGCCTACCTTCTTTTTCTCCTTTTTCTCTTTCTTCTTGCTAACGATCTCCTCCTTAGGTTTGTTTTCAGGGTCAATTTTCTTCGGCGATTCCGGCGTCGGCGACCTGGAAGGCGCCTTCTGGGGCGCGGGCGGAGGAGGAGGAGGAGGCGGGGGGAGCAGAGCGGCAACAGGCGATGGCTCGCGGCTGCTCTGTTTCGCTGAAGAATCGTTGGAACTATCGTCCTCTTTGAACGACATTGAAGTCTCCGTTTTAGGTTCGATCTGTACCTGAAAATCATTCAATAAGTTGAATGCGAGTTTCTGGAACTACAAAAAGCGTCGAAAATTACAACAAATTACGTTAAACCATGGGCGTACTTATTAAGTAAATTCTTTTAGTCAAATTTCTTCTGAAAGTAGTACAAACTAATCTAATGTACCTATTAAAGTCTACTTTAAGCTTTAAATCAAGAAATCTTCAAAACTACTGAACTGAAGCTCATTTATTTTACATCATTATAAAGGTAATTGAAAGACCTTTAAAATAAGGTATCACTCGACCGCCCTTTCCATTTAAGATTTTAGTGTTGGTGTCACCCCCGCCCAAGGGGCTGCACGTGTTAACGTGATTTTTTTGCCAAACTTGTGTCCCCCTCGAAAACAAAATCGACGAGTCTGAGCGTCTTTCCAAAAAAAAAACTGAGCTGCCAGTAAATGCACCTGTTTCGTTTTCGATGCGCCACCCTGTATACAAGGTATCTCAAAACGCATAATGTCCTTTTTTCCAGAAATTTCCATTGGAACACCCTGTATATTTCTACACCATTAAATAGCTATCCTTGGGACCTTTTTTTATATACGGTGTGTACCGCTTTTTTCGAACAGGGTGTGAATTTTTCCTATTTTTTTTAAACCTATAATTTTAAAAGTACAGGACTAAGATTTTTTTATATTTTTCTGATAACTATTATGACTTTCAGGCTTGACGTTGACTTGTGTGACACCCCATTGTTTAATCTATCCTGAACTTGGGCCTTCTTTGCATGTTATCTTGTGAATCAAGTTGCTTTGCAGATCTTTTTCGATTGGGGTTTTTAGGTTTCAAAATATGTTTTTAGATGTTTAAAAAGCTGTTTCTCTTTCAACGTGTTTCTTTACGCTTATGTTTAGTTCTAGAAAGTTAAGTTGACTGGATCCCAGTCTAAAAGCACGTTGAACCATATTTTACACTGTAATATGCATAGCTATGCAGCAATTTAAAAAACACTTACAGGGGTCGTAGGTGGATCACTTTTTGGGCTTCCGAACAGATTATTACTTTTCTCCGAGTCCCTACTCGACGACACAGGCACGAAAGTCTCTTTGTTATTGTTGTTCTCTTTGCTGCTGGTCGTAGAACTCGGCTTGTCCGATCGCTTCTCGCTTTTCTCGCTCCTAGAATGCTTCTCTTCTTTCCTCTCCTTCTTGTCCTTCTTTTTGTGCTTGTGCTTTTCTTTTTTCTCCTCGGATTTTTCCGTGCGCGATTTCTCCGGTTTTTCGTCTTCCTTCAGCGGCTCCTTCACGGATTCTTTCTCTTTCGATTTCTTCTCGGACTGCGAAACGAAATATCTATGAACGTCGTTCCATGCAAACTTCAAGAGGTTAGAAAGACGACAACAAAAAAATTGCTTGGAAATTAGCATTCAGATCTTTTTCCTTTACAAAAAAACAACAATTACATAACAGACATATTAAAAAAACAAAATTAAATTTGCGTCTGATTTTTCACTGTCCATGAAATATTTTAGCTATGTTTGAAATATCTTTAAATTACAAGTTGATTTTATATCATTATTTAGTTTATTAAATTCAAGTAAAAGTTTTTGAAATATTGATTTGCTAGTTATGTTACTATTGCAATTTTTTAAATGAAAACCTATATTTGCTCTTGTATAATAATTGTGGTAATGATTATTCAATCCTATGTAATGTATTAAATGTTCTGGCAAAAGATGATTTTTTATTTTAAATGTAAAAATGCGAACCAAATATATGAAATTTTTTATATTCAACCACTGCAAATCTTGGAACATAGATTTTATTTTGTACTTCTTTTTATTCAATATTATTCTCGTAGCTTTATTTTGCAGGACTTGTAGTTTTGATTATACAGCTTCATTGGCAGTGAACAAAATAGTTGAAATCATTCAAATTCGAAGAATTTAATTTTTTCCAAATAATACAAAATAAGGAGACTTAAATTTAGGAAAAAAAAGGACGAAAATTAAAAGATTGGGTTTGTACTGTAGAAGATATTATAACCCAAACACAAGCAATGCATTCTGTGGAGTTTCCATATTTATTTGCCCATTTTCAAACAGCTTTGTACTTCGGTGAATGCATATTATTATTATTATATGTTAAGGAATAGATTTTCTTACCTTTTCTTTTTGTACGGGCGCTGGAGGAGGTAAATTCGGCGGTGGAGTAGACGCAGCAGCAGGGATGTCTTTCGTTTTTGCATTAGAAGATTCTTTCGATGACTTGCTCTCCTTATTCTTATGTTCTCTGTGCTCCTTATCCTTGTCTCTGTCTTTATGCCTGAGAAAAATAATCGTACGAGCATTTTACTACATATTCGTTCAAAGAGAAAAATACCTCTCTACAGGCTCTCTTAATAGAGTGAATATGAAATATGGTAAAGCACCGTCACATTGTCGCCTATAATTTGAGAGAAAAAATATCTACCCAATCAATAAAAAAATACAATAAAGAGGTTTAGATGTATATTTCCGCATTTGTAATAATAATACTTTGCTACTTTTTTACTCGCACTGTGATCAAAATTTAACGCGAACTTTTAGTAATCAACCCGTGTATGAAGGTGTTTCCTGTTAAGCTATATACATTTTGATGATGAAAAACGTGCTAACCTTTCCTTGTCTTTGTCTTTCTTATCTTTCTTCGACTTCTTCTCTTCCTTCCTGTCCCTGTCTTTCTCTCTTTTCTCCTCTTTACTAGACACATCCTTTTCTTTTCCCCCACTACCACTGCCGCCACTATGCCTTTGGTTCGGTTGAGACGAGGGACTGCTGGGCCTTTTTGGAGATCTGAAAAGGTACAGATAAGAAACCATGCCATCTACACCACATAAATAAACAGTACACGAATAGCGTTTATTGCCCAACAGTTGAGGAAACCTAAGACAAGATAGATCAAACTGACAAAAATAGAAGACAAACAAAAAGCAGATGATTCTATCTAAAGGAAAACGAAACAAGTAAAAAACTTATTTCACTAAGTGAGAAACATATCGTAAAATTGTTTTAGGTAAATTCCAGCTACTCTCAAAATGATGTTCAAACTGTGCGCATATACAAAGAATGTGTCACTATTTGCATTTTGATCAAAATGTGAATAAAATAATAAAACCAAATTTTCGAACGCCACAACACGATCGAAAGTTATAGATAAACACAATGTAAGTAATAAGTTCAAGTATACGAAGTCACACCTAGTAATGCAATAAACATGTACAATATACAAATAGAATAAATGATCTGATATAAAAAAAAACAAGATACCTTTTTGGACTGGGACTTCGAGCTTTAGCTGGTGGAGATTTATCCCTCTCCTTATCCTTTTTGGAGCTTTTCTCTTTACTCTTTTCTCGATCTTTCGATTTGTCTTCTTTGGATTTTTTCTTCTCTTCCTTACTTCTCTTTTCACTGCTTTCTGCAGACTTATCCTTGGACTTATCTCTTTCCTGGTTAAAATATTATTATTCATTATTTCTATGTGCGTCGAAAATGTCCGTCACAGAATGAGGAAACAATTCTAATCAAAAAACAATATTAATAATAAGCTCATAATTAATAGAAGTCAGATTTCTGGTATTCACACTAAATAAACAAACATAGGGGCCGTTCAAGTATTACGTAAGCAGATTTATTACAATTATTTACCCCCCTTGTCAGCAAAAGTAAGCAAAGCTCTTAACCCCCCCTCCCATGCTTACGTAAACATTTGTCAATTAATGTATTGTTTTTTTTATATTATAATTATAACGTTATAATTATAATTTGAAAAATAAGAAAATAGATTTAGGATAGAGATTATATTTTACTAATTTGGTATTCAACATAGAGTAAAGGACAAAAATATTATATCTTACTAACATAACAAACTTATTTTAAATTTTTGGTACATATATTAAATTCAAATTAAGTCTTCAGTCCATGAAACTCGAATCCATGATTCTAAGTTTTCGATGACATTGGATTGCTTCGATTGCTGCTCAGTGTTCAGTTTGCTCGCTTTCGTCGGATTTTGGAATGTCTACGTCGTTCTCATCGAGCCATTCAATCATGGTGCTCTAAATTTTGAATAATGCACATCAGTTCATTAGCACGACGAGCAGCGACTCTTACAGGTCTAACTTTCCTATCAGTGTGCGTGTTTACTTTTTTATGGATATTTTCGATGTGACGATTTAGTGGCTTGACGGAAGCATGATAAAGACCACACGTTTTGCATGTTCGACTTGATAGCCTCAATTTTACCATCGGACAAGAATAATCTTAGGGCATTTGCAGGAAATCTATGAGTGAAGCACTTAAGCATAGAGCTAAATTGACTGGAAGATTAAGAAATTGCCCTTCTTCATCCAAAACCAAGTCATCAACTGTTTGTTTTACTTTTACAGGTGGTGGAAGAAACCTATTGTCTAGTAAGCTAAACAGACCACTTCTTGGACGACAGCATTCTGTATTTCTACATTTTACAATTTGAAGCAAGTATTGGCTCTCACACACATGTTCTGAATACCATTCAGTGTCTGGAAAATCAGGAAGATCTTGTTCACCTCCCCCAACATATTTTGCATTAACATTATAGCCATCAATTTCAATTGAACTCCATACTTCAGCTAATACATTTCCTGCAAATTCGAAATTAGATCTTTCTAAATGTTCATCAATTGTAACGCCACGTTCATCCAAATGAGACCCAAAATGATCATGAGGCAATATTAAATTAGCCAGTTCCCGACTAAGAGGAGCCATTCTGCGCTCTACTCTGTTATACGCACTTCTTCCAGGAGCATCGAGATCATGGCGCTTAAAGTGTTGAAAGTAAACCCTATGACTTTTTGATAACGTGGATTTTCATCTGGCCCTCCATCAACCGTCATGATTACCACTGCTTTTACTAGTCCATGGTCAGTTTTAGCTAATGGTCGAAACTCTTCAAGATCGAGAAGCGTCTCGAAATCCTGAGCATGAGGATTAGCAGTAGATGAACTATGCTTTCCACTTCGAATAGCGATGTATGTTGGTCCAGAATATCCAACGGCTTGCGGTTGTCCTAGCATATTGGAAGTGATTTTGATACCAGCATAAACAGAATTAATTTATGACTCTCAGCGATTACCCAATCGCGATCAGGCAATTTTATTCTATATTCCATGTGCATTAGAAGAGGTGCTTGCTTATTTGCCGCAGTTACGCCAATAGGGACTCGAGCTTTATCATCTTGAGATATGAAAAATACTTGATCTGGTCCAAGTTGGATGCTATGTTCTCTAAAGAACGGATTGATGTTTCAGCTAACTTGCTATCTAAGTGGCTCTTGTGGTGATCAGTTTGAGCCCGAATGAGCTTAACAGAGACAGTCGATACATGTCTTCGTCCCTCTGCAGAATTAGATTTTCTGAGAATCAAACGAAGATATGTCCCACTGCGACTAATGTCAAATCCTATTTTACGTAATTCTTGTGTGAGTTCATCAAGAGTTTTTACGCTGCGAATTGAGTTCGTTCGTCTTCTATCATCTGCTGCACTCCCACATAAAGCTATATCCGCGATTGTTTTCAATAGTGAATGTTGATTGCTTTCAAGATTAGGGCGTCCCACTGAATCCCTCAGAGATAGTATTTTTTTTATTTCTGGATGTTCATGACAAATATCTTCTAACATTCTTTTCATACCATCCCTGTGTTTCTTTTGGGCAACTGCGTTTTGAACCTTCCTGTTTAAAGACTGTTTTGCTGTTTTTATTTCCTCGCGCAACTTAATGATCTGTTTATCAACTACAGCACGGCTTGGCATAGTATCTCTGGCAGAATACAAAGCATTCAGATTTTTTTCGAGTAGAGCAATCTTATTTTTCATAGCTTCCTGAGAAGGTTTTGCTCTCTGTTTATCTGTATTTTCATTAATTTCGCATTGCTGTTGTGATTCATTACCGGGTTTTATTTTATCTTCTTCCTCTTTTTTAATATTTGAAGCTGACTGTATAATTTGTGTTTTTTCTGCATATTTACAGGTTGCCTAAAAATAAAAACTTTCTATGGCTTCTTCTGGATTCTCTTATTAAGCTACATAAATATAAAGCATGGCAATATATATGGTAAATACAAAATCCTATGGCTTTAAATCTATATGTATAAAACTAACATCCTGTACTTTGTGACCAATTGACGGAATCAATCATAAGAAATAAATCTATAATATAATGAATATTACCTCTCTACTTTGAGATAGGCCATAATATTTTCTAACCAGTAAAGAGAAACTTTTTGGCGATTTCTAATATTTCTAGTACTCATAGGTACCTAAAATGATTTCGTCACTCACCTTAGAAAAAAAAAATTAGTAGATTGGATTTTTTCTTAGTCGCCGCTTGCAAATCTTCTTCGATTCTCTTAGATGCAATAATATCTAGTTCCTTGTCGGATTTTGCTTGTAATTTGTAATTTCGCCACACTTACTTACGTACTTTCGTACTTGTATGGGATTTTTTAAAGCTTTCAAACAATTTTTGGTATAACTTGGTTTTGCCTATGTGAAACGGCATTTAAATATAAACATGAAACTTTGTCTAATAGGAATCAATGGTAACACAAATGTTAACTTGCTTTACTATGTTTACAATACGTCTACTCGCTATAGAGATAGAGGAAATTTAGACAAGTGAACACCGCGCGGTAACTCCCCTACTCGGTTCTAAAGCGAGTAGGGGAATTACCGCGCGCTGTTCACTAAACATATGCATTATTTGCGGGAATCCTCGAAAATGCGTTTCGTTTTCAAGCAAAGACAATGTGAGGGTTGCCATTCGAGTAAAAAAGTAAATAACTACCGATGACGTAATCATCATCTAGACTCCCCTACTGCGGATGTCATCCAAAATAAGCAAAGCAAAGCATCCCCCGACCCCCCCCCCCCATACTTGAACGGCCCCATATAACATAGTCTCTCATTTTCGGTTACAATAAAAATATAAAAAAAGTACCTTATCTTTATGCGGGCTCTTCGACTTCTTCTCCGTCTTTTCTTTCTCCTTCTCGCCGATTTTCTCCATCTTGGACGAAGTCGTTGCCGTCTTAGATGTCTCTTTCGGTTTGGTGGGTTCCACTACCTTGCTGGTCTTGGTGATCGGGGTGCCGAATAGATTCAGGAAATCGGTGGTTCTCGGTTCGTCCAGCTTCATTTTGTGCTTTTTCGCAGCTTCGGCACCGACACTGGCCAGCTTCGGTTTGCTGGTCATTTGATGTCTGATATCGTCCGAGGATTTCGCAGCGGAGGTGTCGCCTGGCTCTTGGCCGCTACCGGTCTGGAAATAACATGAAAATTTACAATTTCCCAGCTAATACGAATGCGAAAGAATCTGTGTGGGGAACTCGACAAATTATTGCACAGTGTACTCTTTTAACTTGCTTGTCAAGCTAGAAAAACAAAATAAAAAGAAACGTCAGACCAAGAAATTGAAAATCCAGTTGCAATACAAGAACTTTCCCAATGTTCTGATGTTGATGCGGTTCCAGTACCAACAGAAGCTACTCCAAATTATGATAAAGCGATTGCTCTGACCAAGCAGCTCAAAAGTTTTGTCGTGAATCAGGGAGATACAGAGCCTTTGGAGCTTCTTTCTAAATTAGAAGAAACACGATTTCAACACGCCATTTTAAACAGAAAGAGGAGACAATAATTCGAACAAGATTTGTAAATCAGAAAAGATAATAAATGATTGAAATTTGATTTTACACGTTTTTTTATTTTCCTTCTCCTGTACACAAAATTTGCGACTTCAATAAGATAGATAAACTTTTTTGTGACTTTTTTAATCATATCGTGACGTGTGATGAAACATGCGTGCATCATTACTGCAGGGCCTGATCAAATACCTGCATTTTTTGTGAGAGATTGTGCGTCCATTTTAGCATATCCACTCATGATCATTTTCAATCTCTCTCTGAAAAATAATCACTTTCCATCTTTTTGGAAGTTGTCTAGGGTAACTCCTGTTTTTAAAAAAGGTGAGAGGAATTATGTAGAAAACTATCGGGCTATCACAATTATCAGTAATTTCGCTAAAACATTCGAAATAGTGATACAAACTGTGCTATATTTTCATGTAAGCAGGTCTATCTCCGTCAGTCAACACGGTTTCATGAAGGCAGGTCCACAGTTACTAACTTGCTGCATCTTACTCAATATGTTTGTGAATCAATCGACAGACAACTTCAAACGGATGTAATATATACTGATTTCTCTAAAGCGTTTGATAGTTTAGACCACAACATTCTACTCAATAAGTTATCTAGATTTGGTCTTTCAGATGCATTGTTGCTATTTTTCAGATCTTATTTATGTCATAGGAAACAATATGTTATGTGCAATGGACATAAGTCAAGCGAATACCCTGTAATGTCCGGTGTTCCTCAAGGATCTAATTTGGGACCTCTGTTATTTATTATGTTCATAAATGATATTTCTGAAGTTATCGATGTCGATTTTCTTATATATGCTGACGATATGAAACTTTTCTGCAGAGTCTCTAACATTGACGATTGTCATCGCTTGCAATGCAACATTGTAAGGGTTGAGAACTGGTGTCGTGAAAACAGACTTGTTTTGAATGCTGCTAAGTGTCACGTTTTGTCGTTTACTTTAAAAACAGGGGTAATGATGTATGAATATAGTATTGGTGACAGGAAACTTGACAGACCTAGTACAATTAATGACTTGGGAGTCACATTTGACAGAAAACTTTCCTTCTCCTATCACATTGAAAATGCTGTTGTGGCTGCATCAAAGGCGTATGGTTTTATTGTAAGAAATACAGGCGATTTCCACAACTCCTTTACACTGAAAATACTGTACTATGCTTATGTAAGATCTAAGCTTGAGTATGCGTCCCGGGTATGGTATCCTCATCATCAAATATATATTGACCGCTTAGAGTCCGTTCAAAGAAAGTTTTTAAAATACCTCTCATACAAAGCTGACGGGATATATCCCGCTATTGGCTTTCCTCATAGTGAGTTAATGGCGAGGCACAAAATCTATAATTTAGAGAGCAGACGCAAAATGAATTCACTTAAGTTCATTCACAAGCTCATCCACGGCATTATTGACTCCAGTGTCATCTTAGAACAACTTAACTTCTTAATTCCTAGATTAGCGTCACGAACTAGTTTAACTTTTTACTTGGCCAGGCCTAGGACTGATATACTTAAGTTTTCCCCTATACAGGGTGACTTCGAAGTTGAGTCATTTATTTTAACAGTGAGTAGATCTGATCAAAAGAAATGTTTTTTTCCTTTACCATTTTCCTGGTAAAATTAAAGTAACAAAGTTATAGCCCTTTGGAAGTTTGAGTACCGCCCTGTCTCAATAACAATATTATGTGGTCGTGTTTGGCGACAATGGATATAATCCGCCGTATCGGTTCATCGCATCGGAAACAAAAAAGCGAAAGAATTTGGAACGATGTTTTTACAGGTATCTCATTCATTTGTATACAGTTAGTGTCAGTGAATAGTGGTATGTGTTGCGTGGCTCAAACGAAATAAAAAATTGCACATGTTTATGCGGATCGGTTTCCCAATCGAGTGCAACCAACCCCTCGTGCCTTTGTTAATGTAGTACAACGGGCTTGTGAATCAGGTGACTTAAGACCTCACAGGGGACCTCACGATCAAATACAGGTCCGCACTGAAATACTTGTCGGGAGGATACTTTATAAAACAAGGTAAACATTTTTTTTTATTTTTTTTTATTTTTACACACATATTTTGGTTTATCTTCCTTCTACAATCATTATCTGAAAATTAATGACTCAACTTCATATAAATGTGTATATAAAATGTGCCGTAATTATAATTCAGTTAATAGCGTTTTAGATATATTTTCGCTTTGTGCGACTTTGGGAGGCATTAATGCTTATTTTCGTTAATGCTTGCCGGTGTGATTGTTGAGTGCTGGGTAGGTAAAGCTAGAACGCTTTTTTCCCAGTTCTGTTTGGAGGTTTTTTTTGCAGCGTTTTAGCTTTCTCTACATACATCCACAACATGCATTTGTTTATATTTTCATGTTTATCCATCCTGTAATTGGCTATGGCTGTTGGATGTTGCTAAATAAATAAAATAAATAAAAATAAAATAAAATTACACTCCCGAGTCCAGGATGGGGGAGGAAAGAAGAAACCTGCCTCGTGAAAGCCAAAACCCTCCTCGCGAGCATCTTTTACGATTGCCAGGGAGCGTTGCTCGTTGATTTTCTACACGACCGACGTATGGTTAATGCTGCCTACCACTGGCAGCTGTTGGAGGCAGCGGAAGTCGCTTACAGACGAAGAAACGAAGCAAAAACAGGAGGATATGCATTGGGAAACTACATGCACTTGGAGGATTGCGATTTGACAACGATCGCGGTGTGGAGATCTTCGTGGTCGTTCAACCTCCAAGTTTCTACAAGGAAGCTTAGAAGTCGATGGGAATAATATGTAGAGCGTGGTACATAGAAAAATAATAAACGGAATTTTTGTATTGTTCTGCGAATAAATAAATATTTTACCGGCTTATATTTGACCCACCCGCATAACATTCTTATGGGTTATGAGGTACTGGGTATTTTATCTTGAAAGGCATCAACATACCAACTATCTTCATAGTTGCAATAGCGAATTTTGCGTCAAAAATATAATGCTCAAATTTAACCTATTCCATCAATTTTTTCAATTTTTTTTTTTTTGAATGATCAATACAGAGTTATCAAAAATGCAAAATGTATAATAACAGCCTGTGTATTTTTGCACTATCTGATCGCCATTTTCATGAGCTTTTTTTGTCAATATGACGTTATCAACTCTTTGTTCTGCGTTATAGCTATTTGTTTCAAATATTCGGATATTTCTCTATACTGAGAATACAGAAAAAAAAATGACTTACAGTGGCTCCACCCTTTATAAGCTTGACTCTGAACTCTTCTGAAGGATTGAGAAACACCCACTTTTCCCTTTGCGTGTTATGAAGAGGCGGAGAATCTAATGGAGGCAGCTCCAAATCATAATTGAACCTGATCTTCTTAGGCTCTTGATTGTTCTTCAGGTAAATCTCGATCGGAAAGTTGAACCCGGCATAACCGGACGTCCTTACCGAATAAGGCGGCTCCTTCACAACTGAACATTGAAAACAGCAATTATTTTGATTGTATATTATCATTACAAACTACAAAAGGAAAACGTAGTGTACAGACAAGTAAACTAACTAATACTAAGTGACATATAAAATGCAACACCTAGAATTATTTATTGAATTTTAATAAAAACTTGTAAACATATCGTCTCCATCTTGCACTACCTCTGACCCCACAGCATCGTCGGCAAAGATTGGTATGGAGTAGGAAGAGACTTGGATGGAATGGAGCTTCAACTCTTTATTAACACTAAGGTGGGATATTTCAGCTATTTTGCGAAATTCGTGTTAACATTTTAAACACTTTCTATTTATGAGTACGTGGGACGTCTTTTAAGTTTTGCATATGGAAATAAAACAACACGGTAGGTAGTTTTAAATGACTTTATTGTTTTTCGAAGGATTCTGCACGAAGATTAGTACACATCTGCATGCGCTCGACCAATTTTCGAAGCAGTTATTCCAGTCGTTTGCTGACAGATCCAAAACGGCATTTTTGAATCCGTCAACTGCTTCTTCTGGTGACTGGAACCTGTTTTTAATTTTCGGGAAAGTAAAGAAATCGTTAGGACGTAGATCGGGACTGTATGGAGGATGGTCCAATAATTCCACGATTTCTTCCGTTAAATACTGCCTTGTTGTTTGGGCTGTGTGCGAGCTTGCATTGTCTTGGTGGAGGATGATTCTTCTTTCGGGGTTCATTTTTCGAAGCTCGGTGATGACTTTTGGCAAACAAATGGTGGTATACCAATCCGCAGTAAAAGTTCTTTACTCATTAAGAGGAATTGTTGCAATATGACCCGCTTTTGACACAAATGTCGCGACCATCTTTTTCGAAACACTTCGAGAACGGATGACTTTTGTTGGCTTTTCTTCACCTTGGAACACCCAAACAGCCTACTGTTGTTCATTTTCTGGTTCATGATAGTAAGTCCACGATTCATCACCACTAACAATGCTGTACACATTTTTTGAGTTTCCGGAATTGAAACGGTCAAGCGTTTTTTGACACCAATTAACCCTGGTTGCTTTCTACTCTTCAGTCAACAGGTAGGGTATCCAACGAGAAACAAATTTTCTTACTCCTAATTCTTCATGTAAAATTTTTTGAATTGAGGTCTTTGAGATCATCAAGGACGCCTCAATCTCGCGATATGTCACATGTTTATCTTCAATGATGAGTTTGCACACAGCATCGACGTTTTCCTGGGTGACTGCCGTTTTTGGTGCACCCACCCTGGAATCGTCGCCCGTTCACGTTTGAATTCTCCATACCAACGGGAACTTGTCGACTGATGTGGCGCTTCGTTGTCGCAAACAGACAGTAACTCAGCGAGGCATTCTTGTTGCGATAATTGTCTCTGAAAATTGTAATAAATTATGGCGCGAAAATGTTCTCGGTTGAGTTCCATATTTCTAATGACTTGATGACACTTAAAAATTCACTGTAGTGAGAACGCTGCACGTATTGTTGTGAAACTTTGAATTTAAGTTTACTAAAGAGCGAGGTTAAGATTCAGTACTGAGGTTCGATCCGTATGCTCAAAATTACAGCATTCCTAGTCGGTGTTGCATTTTCTATGTCATTTAGTATTCAATATTCAAAATGTTGCCACTTTGTCAGTTGTTCAAAACATCGGTATACGAGTTTTTGCTTTTGTATTAGAATCTTGAGTATCCGAATACAATTTTACTTAACTCAGGATTCGTATTCAAATACTGAGTTGTGGTCTAACCACAGGATAAGTATAAAGTGTCAGTCCGCGTTTTTTCCAAGGATTTTTATATTTCGAATCAAATGATGTTTCTTTAGATTTGCTTGAATTACCGGCTTTAAACAACACACTCCCAATATACACTACCTTTTATTTAGATTTCTCAAAAAGGGAATTGATATGCAATTCTTACCCGATATTTTGATACGAGAAGCAAACGCGAAACTGTAACCCATTACAATACACAAGTAATTTGCTTCAGCGCACAATATCGTCGAGAAAACTATTGTAATTAACATGAATTTTTTAATCAATAAGGTGCAATAACCCAGGTAAATTAGGATTCTTTATTGCACTTTTTTTTTAGATTTCTTATGAGAAAGAGATATTCTGGTAAATAAGCTAGTGTATATAGTAAGGCGTTAAAACAAAATAAACCTAAGAAAAATCTTGCAAAAGATGTGTAGATATTTAATTGTTTTTTTTTTAGTCTTCACATTGTGTTATGTTTCACTGTTGTAATTGTGTATAATCTGTTGGGAATTGGAATAAATGGGCAAATAAAAACAGGGTGGGCCAAAAATAAGATATGATACACTTTCAATCATTGTGAAGCTATTTGAGTTTATAATAAAATTCAACTAACTTGATTTAATACTGATAAAAAATGGAAAACAAAAATAAAAATGGGGTTTTCATCTAAAAATCTAAAATGTAACACAATATCTTATTTTAGATCACCCTGTATTGTATGGCTATAGATGAGAAGACATTCCCCTAGAAATCAAAATTGACGTGTCCAAGCATTTTCCCTAAAATATACCAGGAGAGTCACAAATGGTGGTACTACCTTTCCATTGGGCCACCACGTATAGAAGTACTAGAGGCATTAACTTGACATGCAGAATCTACTTTCAGTTTGAAAATCTTCCACTTGTTATATCATTCAATATTCAAGTACCAAATCTTCTTGAAAGATGCTTTGAAGTTGATAAGCTGATCAATCGAATTGTTTTGAAAAAAATTCCACCCAATAATCTTAAGTGTTATTCTGTAATATCATTGTAATATTGCACAAAAAAAAATGTAGTAATTGACCAGGCATGTAAATTATGTGTGTGGTCTCTGTAAAACGACCTCTTCTCTATAAAATAAACCGTGTTTTAACTGATGAAAAGTCCTTTATCAATGGACTTTACTTGTTAACATAGCCATCGTCTATGGAATCATGGTGATTTAAAAAACAAACACAGTCAGTTATTATCTGATTGATATAGTGCAAAAAAGAAGACAAAAACTGTCCAAGTGTGAATATTTTTGCCTATATTTTCACTGTGCAAGTGGCTTTCTCCAATAGCGATGTTTGAGGATAACTGGTCTGTGCCATTAAGATGGAGTGAGCCCCATATTGTGATAGCTGTGGGAGAGAACATGAAAAGTGTTTCTATTTAACTTTAGTTTATTAGGTTTCAAATATAAGTAAATTTGAAACCACATGAATCCTTAGAACATCTCTTAGTTTAATAATCTATATAAAGCTATTGTAATCTGTCACATAAATGTAATGTTTTTTTCGGTATGCAAAGGAAAACCATAAATAAATAAAGGTTATATCTCCAAAACCATACTGAAAGATGATAACATATTAAACTTTATGACAGTAGTTTTTTTTTCCACAATTTGTAAAGGCCTAAAATGTATGCATGATGTATTTAACTTTTTTTAGACATATAATAAGGTAGTTATCAATATGGCCCACGCCAAAATCACCCTGTATGCGTTAAACTTACCTCGCTTAGGTTTTGGAAACGACTCATGCAAGTTGAAAACGACTTTATCTACGTAATGTCGTATCTCAGAACCATTATAGCCCTGGACGAAAACCTCCCAATCGTGCGTGAAGCCCTCTGTGGTGGTCCGAGCTCTTGCGGAGGCAATGTGCCCTATTTCCAAGTGGATGGTGTAAGACATGTTTTACCTAAACATTTTGTCTGTTTTCTTCATCAAACATGGTCTGCTGGCGTTATCCTACATCAAACATCCGTGCAAAACTGCAATAAATAATTAATAACCTAATTTTAGGTTTTTCTAGGCATGCGAACGGAAGCTTTTCTCTGTTCGTTCACACTTTCGTCGTACACAATTATGTATTCCTTATATTCCCAACATGCTAATTTTTATTTATAAATAAATTAGACGGGGAAATGCACGAAAATTAACGAAAATTAACTGGGCAAGATTTTTTGTTTATTAAAAGATGTCACTGGCTGTCAAAAACAGAATGGCTTGGACTGTCATTCTGTCAATTTCACAACTTTCTCCAGTGTTGCCACATTAAATAAAATTTTCCCACATGTGGTGTGTTTTTACGTCGCTAAATTTTTGGGGATAAAATGTAATGTGATGAAAAAAAATCACAGACAAATCATCATTGTTTCATAATTAGGTACGAGTAAAGATAACATGGCCACGCAAGACAACTATTGAAATATACTCTACTAAATTTTTCTCGAAATCGTTGCAAAATATGCAAATGAAGATCGGAAAACTGCCGCTTTGACATTCTAAATGACTCCGTTGTTCCCCGGGATAGACATACGTTTTAATGTTGACCTTGTCATTCTTGTCATCTGGATTGCGGCGTTACCAGCTCATTGGACGATTTTACTATCACCAATTCCTTGGACTAAAACTAGTTTTTTGTTCGAGGCCTTGCTAATAGTTTTGAGATTTACAAGATCGTTAGATTAGTACACGTATCTGTAAATTTCTTTTTATAATAACGTATTACAAAGTGGCCAAGATACGGATCAGACTGGGTTAAATTCGGTAATCACACAATCTTACATCAAGCATTTGTTTGCATAAAATAAAAAGGATAAAAAACACATTTGTTTTAACTAAAAAAACAAATTTAACGTGATACATCGTTGAAGTCGTAGAAAAAGATGATATTAGATACGGGGTAGTACTTTTTTAAAAACACCATCATGTACTACCTAAATGGTGCCATTAGTTGTTTGACATTTCTTAAAATAAAGTCAGACAAAAACAAAAACGATTTGGCCAAATTTTAGTTTTTCCCAAATACCTCAGTGTATGCAATGTGCGCAATAAAAAAAAGATAGGATGTCAAACCTAACACACAAGTAGATGCAAGGATCACCTAGTTTGCTGCACAGATATCCTGTTTGCCTCAGAAGAGTTGGAAGTAGACCTAATTTCCACTTTGGAGACACTTGACACCCACGTCACAACACTAAAACACCAGTGAGACACAATCGAGAACCCTATAATGAGCACCACTACTGAAAAAAGTAGCTAAACTGAATAGAGCTCTGCATATTCCGCTTCGTCGACGGTTGCCGTGAGACTAAAGCGTGCGAGTATTGCGAGTGCTGTCCCTCGCTGGCGGCGACACGGTACGGCCAGTAATACAGCCACGCCCCTTTCCACTCCGCGCGTCTGCTCCGTGCAGAGCCCTATTCGGTAATTCGTTTTAACTACTTTCTTCAGTTGTTCTCTGACTTTATTACAAAACGATTTAAAAAATGAACCTAGTATAAACCGGTACTTGAATGCTATTTTTTTTTGTTAATAACTGTGGCACGCTGGCGATTTTCGATTGTACAAATGAAACCAGAATTGTGGAACGACGTGTTTTTTCTTCACCTGATACAATTAACCTTAGCAGAGACGGTTGAGGTTTTCCTCACCCAAGTGCGAATGCAGTCACTAAAAAACCATATTCCCCTAATAAATAGTAGAGAAAATGAAAATCGTACTTGTGTACATCTATTAATGATCATGTAATTTTAGATCGAATAGTTAATAAATATATTCATATAATAAAACATTGTTTTTTTTCAATTGTTGGAAGTAGTGCTGTATTTAAAGAGTATTTTATCCTATAAAACTAGGCATTTATAAAAGTGTTTAGAGACATTGACGTTCCGCCGCATAGGCTCCAGGCGACGCAAAATGTAAATAACTGATTTTTCAATTTTTTTGACGAACATTGCTACTCCTAAAATTTTATATATCTCCATTGATATCCCTCAATATTTTATCCAACACTTCTTTTTTTTATAACATTCTAGCAGAATAGTAGAGGTATCATAATTGTCAAATGAGCTGACAGTGCCGGAATCTAGGTATCTAGGCATGATAATGCAATGAAACATATGGAAATAACACAGAAAAAAAGTACGGCCCGGAATGCCTTCAACATTTTGTCAGCGCATGAGAGCAAATATGTTTACAACTTTTTATCAAAATTCGATAAATAATTCTGGGTGTTGCATTTTATTTGCCAATTAGTATAAAATATACGAAAAACCACAGGAGCAAATCACTTTCAATAAAACGATTACACTTGGCAACCTTGTCAAGTTTTTTGACGTAACATTTTTATCGAGAATCGGGAAGTTTGAGGTTAAATTGAACGAAGGCCAGCAAAAATTTAAAGAGGAAAAATGTTTCTCACCAGAATATTATTTAAAAAGGCGAAAAGCAAGTAAGTTGAAACACATTTTTCTTGTCCGAGGAAAGTGTTTAAAATCAGTTTACTTTGCAACATCATTGTAAAGTGTAAAACTTTTATAAAAGGTTATTCTTAAAAAATAATTTTCTGCTGTTTTGAAGTATACAGACCAGTTCATAAAATTTTTTTTTAATTTATTTCCTCTGTTGCTCTGTGGGGTATTCCTCAATGACAAGTATTTATTTTCTGTATGCTATGCTCAAGGCTTTAATTCTGTAGCTTATTCATTCATCTAATTATAGTTGTCACATTGTGTGCGTGTGTGGTCAATAAATATTTCAATATAATATGAATAAAGTATAATATTTCACACTATTTGGATGGTTTATATCCTCAATTTCTCGATGTGCTTAAGATTAGAGAAGAAGATGCTTAGGGTATTTGTCCATGAAAATCATACTAAATTCTTGACTTTCATTTTAGGTGCATCATGGTTCAGATGGAGAGCATTGTAAGTGGTCATACTTACAATTTGATCAGAGAGAGGCTAGCAGAAAAAGCAGAAACAATACGTTTTGACCCATACAGTGAGTGTTTAAAAAATGTGTCGAAATAGTGATAAATTGATGAATTCTTTTTGCAGTTCAAAAGGAGTCTGTTTATAGGGAAAAGAAGAGAATTAGAAGCATGTGATAGATTCTAGTTTGGTGTCATAAAATTAGTATAGTAATAGTCTTTTTATGTATAATGAGTCGTATAAAATAGCATTTTATATCCTGAAATGTGCAACAATAAAATTTGGATAAAATTTGTTAAAAATCATGAATATATTTTGGAACAGAAACACCAGGTTGTTTAACATACCCAACGCCACCCTGCAGAGGCATTACGTTTCTTGAAAATGCCTGTATTCGAGATACTGGCAAGAATTCAACTTTGTCAAAAAACGACTAATAAAAAATCTCCAAAACCTGTTGGGAATCTATGATCTCCATGGAAGCTTACTTTCTAAGTAAATGTGCGTAGATTCCGAATTCGATGTCATTTCAGTGCCCAGCATTTTTTTTTTCTTAAACAATGTTCTTACATCTGCCTCTCAACAGATATTAAAATATCGATCTCTGTCTATGATTATGCATGCGTGATGTAAAAACGCTTTAATTTAAAGTCATGACCGCTTTTCTGGCCAGACCCTAGATTTCAACTCATTAATTTATGAGTTGCGCGATCTTCATTGCATCAATTGAATTAAGATTGACGGAGCTCTGATGCGTTACAGTTTCCTCACAAGATTTCTTCCATTTCAACTTCACTTTACGTCAGTAGATGGCGCCACTGCATAACTCTCAGACGATAAGAAAAGTGCGAGAAAAGTGATTACTAAAATTAAGGTAAGTTTAGTTGAACAGTTGTCTGATTTAAATTTAGTTTTACAAATACCTAATCTATTTTCTTTTACAATATTGTGATTTTATTAGGTATATAACCTAAATATACTTGTGTAAAGTTTTTAACGGAAAATTCCTAATTTGAGATACCCAAGTGTACAGCTGTAAAGAATAAGGAGATGGGTTATTTAAAAGCCTGAGAAGGATTCGTATAGATACCTTCCCCCTCCAGTTCAAGTTCAGAATGAAGCCGAAGCCTTAAGTTGGATGATTCATCTTCAGACGAAAGCGGTGAAAGCAATGCCGAATGTTTATTTTGTAGACTGGATTTAGGGTAAAAAGTTGACAAGAAACAATTTTTCCGGGCTAGCCATAAATTCTAGCAATGTATCGACATCGAATTTGGAATCTACGCACCCGATTTACCCAGAAAACAAGTTTCCATCTCGATCGTGCAAGGGTTTTTAGAAATTTTTTATTAGTCGTTTTTTGACAAAGTTGAATTCTTGCCAGTATCTTGAAAACGAGGCATTTTCGGACGGAATGGGCCATGGATTCGGTTTCAGCGACCCAAAAAGCGTATTATAAGATATGTTGCGTTCACGTTCCCGACTGACCCATTTTGTGACTTTTTGGTAGGAATCCATTTATACTATCGATGGCTACATGAGACCGAAACTTTGCACAATGAGGTAATTTGGGTCGCCGAATATGAATATCACAGTAAAAAATTTCTTAAGTGTTATTAGACTGGATATAGGGTGAAAAGTTGATAAGGAACTATTTTTCGTAATGTAAGACATGTTGCGCTCACGTTGCCGACTTACCCATTTTGTGCCCTTTCGGTAACCCCTATACATGGTAATTACCTATATGTCAAAAAGCTTTAAATGTGGTTCAAATGAACTTTATTCTACGTATTTTGTATCGTTAATACCGAATCCGAAGTCGTTTCACATCTATCTGATCCCGTTTATCATTATGTAGATCTAATTGTTTAGCGAAAAATCATTAGTTTTTGCGACTCTCAGGTGCTAAAAATCCATTTCGAAATGCTTCTGAAAAGCAGTGTATGCAGCTTTTATGATAACAATCTTATCAGCAAACGCGAAACTGTTACGACGACGTAGGACTGAAAATTACTCACGTATCTATTGACTTTCTTTAATCCCTAATTATTATTCACCCCTAAATGAAAGGAAATTACAACCGACACGTTTTTCCGATTTTACTAAACGATACGTCATATAGCCCGCGTTTATGCAAATCAAATAGTACTCCGTACGTTGCCATTAAATCACCTTAGAGGCAATATAAATTGCACATTGGCCACAATCAGAAAATGTTATATTGTCATAACTACCGACGAGAGATTTAAAAAGTAGGACAGTTAATAACGGAACACGCAACCCATTGGTGGCGCACGAAAGCCAAGCTGAAGCTTGAAATTACAGGATGTTTCCTGATTTCATGTTATACGTCTAGATCTAATTATTGCTTATCAGCCGTTTGAACGTTTTCGACAGCCCCAAAATGACTTCCCTTGTTTTTATTTCAAATTTTAAATGTTCACAAACCGATGATGAAACGTCAAATCACAGAACATCGTTAAATCTTCAGTTGTCATTTGTCATGGCTAGAATAATATTTTTATATATATATATATATATATATATATATATATATATATATATATATATATATATTTATATATAGGTGAAAAATTAAAGCTTCCGCCTTTTGTTGGGTACTTCGACAAAATTTAAGCAAGGAGGACTCTTTATACTTTTTTAATCTCTCTACCTTTCAATGGTCTTTGCCATCATCATCAGGCGCTGCAATTACATTGATGAAAGTAGCAACAATTGTGTAAAATGATTTTAAATTATCTTACAGTAGTATGTGAGGATGTTGCTAAATGTTATTTACGTTAAGGATGAGGGAAACACCCAGTAACATGGTGAAAGCTGGATACATGGTACAATGGTCAAAATTATACAAACTACACACAGCTGTACGACGAGAACAAATTAAAAACAGATTAAAAAATTTAAAACGAAAGTTAAGCATTACATCGTTTTAAATATTTTTAATCTGTTTTTAATTTGTTCTTGTCATACAGCTGTGTCTAGTTTATATAATTTTGACCATTGTACCATGTATCCAGCTTTCACCATGTTACTGGGTGTTTCCCGCATCCTTAACGTAAATAACATTTAGCCACATCCTCACATACTACTGTAAGTTAATTTAAATCCATTTTACACAATTGTTGATACTTTTATATCAATGTAATTGCAACTCCTGATGATGATGGCAAAGACCATTGAAAGCTAGAGAGATTAAAAAGTATAAAGAGTCCTCCTTGCTTAAATTTTGTCGAAGTACCCAACAAAAGGCGGAAGCTTTAATTTTCACCTAACTGGTCTAGACGACAATGATTACGTCTCAAGTTTTTATATATATACAGGGTGACTTCGAAGTTGAGTCATTTATTTTAACAGTGAGTAGATCTGATCAAAAGAAATGCTTTTTTCCTTTACCATTTTTCTGGTAAAATTAAAGTAACAAAGGTATAGCCCTTTGGAAGTTTGAGTACCGCCCTGTCTCAATAATAATATTATGTGCTCGTGTTTGGCGACAACGGATATAATCCGCCGTATCGGTTCATCGCATCGGAAACAAAAAAGCGAAAGAATTTGGAACGATGTTTTTACAATTATTTTATTCATTTGTATACAGTCAGTGTCAGTGAATAGTGGTGTCTGTTGCGTGGCTCAAACGAAATAAAAAATGGCACATGTTTATGCGGACCGGTTTCCCAATCGAGTGCAACCAACCCCTCGTGCCTTTGTTAATGTAGTACAACGGGCTCGTGAATCAGGTGACGGCATGCCGGTGCTCCAAGACCTCACGATCAAATACAGGTCCGCACTGAAATACTTGTCGGGAGGATACTTTATAAAACAAGGTAAAATTTTTTTTTTATTTTTACACACATATTTTGGTTTATCTTCCTTCTACAATCATTATCTGAAAATTAATGACTCAACCTTAAAGTCACCCTGTATATACTCGTATATATATTTGACCTCAGCGTTGTGGCAACACTGGTTATTTGTAGTGTAGGTAACAATCTGTGGCTGCTGGGAAAAAGTTAGGATATTTGTTTAGGGCTTTACTTTTCTCCACAAATCCTTATGTCTAGCTGACCTTCTGCCGCTATCCCAACCAGCTTTGCTCCTCAATGCTCTGCTCCATGATGCCACGCGCGATGTGCCTGCCAGACACACCCGTCTAAGTTGGGGCTTCCATCCTGACCGCGTAAAACTTCATACATCCAGAAAATAAAATAAGAATGATAAAAACAGTACAAAATATCTCAACTATTCAAACTGATATCTCGACCGTTTTTTTGTTTTTAATTGATAATCCATGCTGGACGCTTGATATCATAAACATGAGTAAGTGTCATAAAGAAATATTGGATAGGACAAAACGCCGCACCGGCTCAAAACAGGCTGTAAATTTTAGTTTCATTTACCGCTATGGCTGGCAGGTAGCCTAAACAGATTACGTGTGGAAACACCAATTTGAATATATCGACTCATCCATAACCATAAACCGAGGCATAGACGTCTCTTCTTGGACTACTTAGCATCTACGAATATATCTGGCTTACAAGAAGTTTGTAAATTGGCATCGATCAAGTTGAATAGTTTCTGTGATCCACTTATGAGTTTCATTAACTATCGAAAAGAACCCGGACAAACCTAACGAAACTACTGGTACATTCGTGCTACTGGTACATTTGATCTGCTGTTTATTTGAACTACTTGACATTTGAACTCCTTATACATTTGAACTGCTGGTCATTTGAACTACTGGTCATTTTAACTACTACTACTACATTATTTCTGCTAGACGCTGTCCACAGGAAGACCGTCCGACTGATAGTCGTTTCAGTATAAAAAAATCTTCCCTAAAAGGAACGGCTAGATCTTGAAGCTGGTGTGTTACGCTTATGACTATCAGCGGTAGGCATAGCATGCAAATTTCGACATCTTCTATCGATTTTCTTTATTATAAATTCCGTCTCACAAATGGCCTTATCCCTGGCTGATCTTTCCAGTCCGTCTCCGTCCACGAATGATTGCAGACCGAAACGTGCGTGCGTGGTAGGCAATGTAGATAGTATGGAAGGAGACATCACCGGGTAAGTGCTTAGCTTCAGCTATATCGATGTCACAAGCTTCTTAGTTACACCGCAGCTCATTAGGGTGTATACTTATTATGCGGATTATATGTTTCGCAACCAGTTAAAAACAGCCAAGATCCTATTCATATTGCATTGTTTGTAGCTTTTTATTACATTTACCAATTTTTAACTATAAATGCAGACAAATTTCACCAAATTACTTAGACATAACAGTTTTCAATAATGTCACAACCAAACGTGAAATCCTTGAAACAAAATTTGTAAAGGTTTCTTATTGATCAGTGCTGAAGAGTTCTTCTCTTGTAGGAATTTTTAACGTTCTATTTATATAAAATTTATTTTAATGTCATGTCTTGGTTTAGTATTATTTTGTTCCTAGTCTTAAGTATTTATTGAACATTCCTATACGTTTTATATAAAAAAAAAGAGTACGATTTTTATATTTGTTGCAAATTATATAATCAGATAGTAGATTATCAATGGTCTACGTCTCATCAAACTTAAATAATCCAAACTTGATATCGTTCGTTTTTTTTCCAGGACTCAGGATATAGCTACTGTATATGAGACAATATTTTTGGTATGTAACTATTGTTAGATAAAATCGAATTATCCATCATAACTTTATTAGTTTTTGGTTTTCGGTAACCCATATTCCATATTTTAGCTTTTCGTGAAGGCGCAATGTTAAAATTCGAATAGGGCTCATAATAATTTCCGACTAAATTATTGTGTATATTAACAAAAAATCGTAATTTAATGTATTGAGAATACAAAATCTATGTCAAAATTTGAAAGATTGTTAAAAATATTAACATCACCATATCTGTTGAAATTTCACCGAACCTGGCAACACTGATCACATGTCACTTCAATCCCGGTGCCTGCAGTGTTGTCAGATCGAAGGCTACGTTGCCAGTCTCGTCACCTGCTCACATACCTGAATTACGTTATTTTAGCATTTTTCCTTAAATCATTTCAGTTCCTTAAGAATCAAAAGTTATTCAAGACAGCAGAGACATTGGAGAAAGAATGCGAGATCGTGATACCGAATGCGTCAGGCAAAGTATTTTTTCGCACATACCAAAGATTAGGAATAGTTGGTAAACCTACGAAGTCATTTGTAGATAAGAGGATCGTTCTAGAAACTTTTTCTCAAACTCAAACGGTATGAACAAATCAATTTTATAGATATTTGAATCGAAGTCTTTTCGAAATAAAGCACCAAGTCTGAGATATCAACATTGTTTCATACTTGTAATATTTCACTCGCATTGCAGAAAATTTACTTAAAAAAAATAATACATTAATTTCGATGTACATTGCAGCAAAACATCGATAGTTCCTAGCTTTCCAGACTGTTTTAGAACTAACACAGGTGTTACGTTTCTTATCGAGTCTGACCCTTGTCCCTTATCAACTATACATACATGAAAATCCAATTCACTGATAAAATATTCATCTAGGACAGCACAAATATGAAGAAGGATGCCAAGAAACCTTGTTCCTTGAATTGTGACTTGCTCAGAAGTAGGTTTTGTCAGTTGCAGGAGGAGTACAAAAAACTATTAGGTAACTTCACATCTTGCGATAGTAGATAGTAGGAGGTATTTAGTACAATGAAAATTACGAATCGTTAAGGATACCGTTAAGTTATTTGGACAACGATAGCAAATAGCACTGGTTGGAAAAACAAAAGCTTTTCCAACCAGTATCCCTAGAGATACACGGAAAAGGAAACAAATTTTCACAGAGTCGTTTCTGATTCTTTCTGAATTTATTTGAGATATGATTTTAAAATGAACTGCACATTGACACTGCCACTTTTTGATATCTGCAAGGTTATTATGATTTTTCGTCTCTTATCCCCCGTCTCAACTTTGATTTTTCTTACGTATGCCATTTTTGCATGGGCGAATAGCTTTTAATTCTGATTTCAAAACGTTTTCTGAGTAACCCTTGACGATAACATGTTACGCATTGATATAAAAAGTCAAGTGCCGAACTTCGCATAGTTGGTTTAAACTCATCGATCAGGAACATCATAATGTAACTCATTTATATTATTTAAGGGTAATAATGAAGAAATCGAGAATTATAATTTTAAAAAAGTGAGAGCTGAAACGTCTGATCGAATTTCTAACTATGCCACCGTATAGAAGAGAACAAGTGATAATGTTATTGTGTAATTTGTTTGACATTTGTAGACAATGTGGATGTTTGAAAAGCCGGGAAAAAAGTGAAAACGACTTAGACTAAATTCGGAAATACTTTTGATGTTCAAACTGTCCAAGTTCCATTTTTTATTTACCTAAACAGCTTGCCCACATAAAGTAGTCCGCGTCGTTTGGCGAATGTCGCAAGATCAGTATTTACTGTGATCCGTCAATATATTTATCATGAAACGTGATATTTATCAACCACATAACCTGAACGTCAGTAATTATTGATGCATGTTACGCAGAAATCCCCTAACAGTAAATACCCGTAATGTCACATTCGTTTACCGTTTCCGAGATCCCAAAGATGAGGTATCGGATTTGAAACACACGTAACATATATAGAGCCTTTAGCAAAATTAAGTCTATATCTAACATAGATTTCAACAAATCCTAGTAATTTCTTATCTAATAGATATTGATTCAGCTTGTGGAGAATGAATTAATTAATAATTTAATGTTTCCATTTAATTTTTACCGAGCTATGGGGGCCTTAAATGGAATCGTCTTCTGGGGCAACCAGCCGTGCTTTCCTTTGATTATTTTAAACTCTCCAGCACATTGATTATAATTATATTCATAGAAACATTTCTTCTCATATGTTTGAATTTCATTCGATAACTTCGCATCCTTGATTGCAACACTGAGAAAAGCAGCAAATCTATTGAAATATCCCCAGCTGGTGCACAATCGCGCTGTTGCAGCGTTCGTCGGTCGTTGCGCGACGGCTGGCCCGCTGCTAACCTCGCACAAAATCGAGCCGTTCGAACGCCGTTTCAACTCGGCAGCTCTCTCGATCTGTCGGCATAGTTGACGATGCTTTGGTAACGGTGTGTAGATGTTTCTGAAACTGATTCGCAACCGTCTGTCTGGCGTAATGGTTAGATGCACGGATTTGGATACAGAGGTCCCGGATTCGGTCCTGAGAGGCTTAAGTTTCTTTTTGCTTTTTTTTTGTTTCTTGTAAATCCGGTTATACCATTTGTGAACGGTACCTCACATACGCTTCCTATTGATCTGTTTTAAACTGTTTTGAGCAAAGAAGGCACACTATTGTACTATAAATCCTATGCAGATCTATGGTATGATATTTGTCAAGCGTAATTTTGAACAGATTAACTATTCTGGTGTATATTGTATGTTACATTGACGTTACGTTTGACTTTGGTTTAGGCTCAATAGTACCAAAGAGTTATTCTGCATTCTAGCTGTAACCTGTGAGCTAACGAACGCTTTGCAAATGAACATTCTGGGACAAGCTCAGAACGTTAGCTGCGTTTTAGAAGAATGCAAGAATATTTATCCGTCTTTGTTTGAAACGTCAACAGAGGAAAATAAAGCGGGCTTCTGGGAAAGCCCAGAGGCAAAAATTGAGTCCAGATTGAGTCGCGATGGGGAGTCGGATGCGTTAGAAAAACCTGAACCTGAGCTTATTTATTCTAATGTTCCACAGTTGAATTTAGGTAGGTACATAGAAAAAGATGATTCTAACTGTGATAAAATCCATACATATACAAAGAATTGTAATCAGTTTCTTATAAGTGGGTGTTCTTTTTTCTATATAACTTCGTATAAGTGTGTTTCTATTAGAATATGATTATTTCTTAATTATCAATGGCATTTTTTGCAGATTGTTTCCAACACGATCAATCTACATCTAGTAGCAATCACCTTTCACCGCATACACCGTTGACAGAACGTGAAATAAAAAACATTCTAGAGAATATTTTGAAACGCGTGTTGTCTATCTTGGAGCAAAACGAGAAAGGATATTCGACCGACGGTACAAACGATTGCTGTGATTCAAACCAAACGTGCAACGATTGCAAAAATGAGATCTCTAAGATGTTAGATAGGATAGTTTTTAAGGTAATCAAGCTCATCATAACCAACAAAGGATTTACGTAAAGACAGATACCCATCAATTCAGGGTGTAAGATTTTTTATTCAAATATACGATCTATATAAGATCTAATGTACTAACAATATTGTTTAAAATAACTGTTGCTGATTTGTAGAAATTTCGTTTTTGTCATTTTAGGTATTTAACTGGTCTTTAAATGTTCGTTCTCTAAAATGTTACATATTGTTAATGGTAATCAATAAATTCCTTGATGTTGTTTAAAAATTTAAAAGAGTCTATTACCTATCGAGAAACATCTCCGATGAAGACGCGTTCGCCGATGCTGAATGAGAAAGATAAAACATTCCTGATAAAAGATGAATAAATAAATTTTTTAATTTATTAGCACTTCTTACCAAACCAAAGATGCTTTCGGATTTACGCCCCTGGAATACACTCCTATAATAATAGTAGTAACTTGGATTTGTTCATTAAGCTGCATAATTTATCCATCCTCAAGGGCGACACCAAAAAAGTCACTTTTAAGGACGAATGTAACACTTTTTTAAATTTCGAAAATTTGAGTTATCGCCAACTTTTGAAAAATTTGAGATATCACTTTTTCTAGGACAATCCAAAGATCAAAAAGATGCGTAGGAAAATTTCCAAGATCAAAAATTGCGAATCTGACATCGCTCCAAACTTTGCTAAAAAACTTGACTTCCTTCGCTCGCCCTGTACAAGTGGATAAATAGAAGAAATATACCGGTCGAACCCTGTACGTGTTCTCAAATAGTTGATCAAGAACCTCTCTAATATCGCAACTTGATATCTCTTTCCCTTCCGAAAATATCGCGATTTGAATTTGGGAAAAATTTTCCATGTCGCAAAGCAACTGTCCACCAGGTTAGATTTGTGTCAACTACTATAATTTGAGAAATTTCAATTACCTATTTACCGCATAATATGTATGCAATAAAGGTTTTAGAGTCTCCAAGATGCAGAACAAGTAGACCTTCTCCAGTCAGACGCCATTCAGCAAGCACCGCGAGTTGTAGAACAAAATTAGAGATGCAGCCAATAAATACGATGGCAAAAAATAATGAGTACCTTATTAAGGTGCCATCAGAAGTTGAAAATAAAGCTGCCAATGATTCCGGTAATAAGAACGACAATGTGTATGATGATCTTAGCGAAAATCAACAAATAAAAGACAGGGCAGTGTCATTGGAAGATGTGATGCGTTCACAGAACAAAAGTAAGTAATGGAGGAGAAGATTAAAATCGAAATACATATCCATGGGCGCCCACAGTGGGGGGGGGCAGGGATATCACGAAAACTACCATCACATGGTCTCCCAGAGAAGCTTTGCAGATGGGTGGCGGACATGATGTTCCCATATCAAAGACCTCCTTTCCTGAACGATCAATCCAACCTACAGCTTTGCTGGTGACAGCACAGTACATGCAGGATACTGCCGATCTCTGCTGCTATCAAAAAGCTTTGTGGGCAATAAAAATCAAATCACGTATTTCGGTAATTTTCTTGCGTATTTTTCAGTATGTCTTTTGTAGGTATTTCACATAGCAGGAATGATGATTTGCCCTCAACAAACATCAACAGTCACACATGTAATCCCACGCAACGTTTTATCAAAAATGAAGATGTGACAAAAAACCCGAGCAATAAAAAGATAAGCTTAGAACAAAGATCGCCGAGACAGCAAAGGCCAAGCATGGATTCTAAAAGATTGAAGCCGCCAGTTTTTAGATATTTTAGTTACGCTAAGACGCCTATGTGCTATATGGAGCACTGTCGGTTGTTGCAAGATGGAAATAGAAACTGCAGGTAATATACTACGTATAAAAGAGGAATAATAACTTTATTTTAGAATTAATAATAATAAGAATCAAAGAAAACAATCAAGATTGTTTTCTGTTTACATCTGTAATATATAGTCGAAATCACGAAAGATGACGATTACGTCATCATTTTAGTCTATAGTAAAGACAAACGACATCGATTTGTCAATAGTTTTAATGAAGTTTCAGATATGCTAGACAAAGACAAACGGAATTTTATTGTCTAAACAAACTGTATTGCTAATATCTGCTGTACCCGACAAAGATAGACGATGTTTCCATGTTGCATGATCGAGCATATTTGAAAGATGAGTAGTTAGGTTATTTTAAAGCAGGTTAGTTTGTTTTTTTTTCAAAACGATTATTATTACTCAAAACCGTGAAATAAAATGAAAATAAAAATAATCAGTGAAATAACCTAACTTCGCAAAATCATAATATAAATTTGTTGTCATCATTCCTGACATCGTGATTTTATCATCGTCGTACGTCCATTGATTACTTCAGTACAATTTATGGTGTGACGTAAAGGTCATCTTTCGTGATTCTGACTATATACTCTTTGTAATTAAAAAATATTTTCTACTTCTACTTCTACGGTTAGCTATAAAGGCGTGTTTTTTTTAGTTTTTTTATTATATATATATATATATATATATATATATATATATATAATTTTCAAGTTTATCCAAATCAGTCAGTGTTTAAAAAAAATCATAGCTATGTTGTTGTCATTTCTTAATAAATTTAAAAAAATCGAACCTCATCGGTCCAGTTTTTTGTTCGTCAACTATGTGTGCCCTTTCACTGTCGTTTAAGAACAATTTCAGCAACAATCTCGCCGACTTAGTAACTAATTGTTTTCCTCCTAATTGTTAATTGTTGCTATTTTTCAGCTCCAGAAGATGATGGCATAGACCATCGAAAGTTGTTTTCCCGAGTTTGATACTTCCATCGTTTAGGCAGTCGTAGATTTTGAAAATTGAGTCAGAGGCGGAGAATAATAAAATAGCTAGAATCTGGTGTTACAACGTTTCAAAGATTCCTGCTCATTTTCAAACATTGTTTTGTTAATTGCAGATGTATGAAATGTGTTCCTGGGCAAAGTAGATATTACTGCGGATGTTACGATATCATAAGTAAAGAAATTGATGAGGAAGTAAGCAATATTTCAAATGAGCAGGCGTCTATCAGAACCAACTATTTCAAGGTAGACATCTACGCTGTATCTACGAAGTTTTACAACCTTATCTGCTTTCCCTGCAAAATTCACCGCTTTCTCCACAAGCATTGGAGGCTCTACGGAACGAAATTCAGATGACCTGGGATACAATACACCAAGAAGACACTAATCCCTAATCCAATCGATGCCGCGACGACTTAACGAATAAATTGCGAACAGAGGAACTACAACACATTATTAACATTATAGCTATTTTGCGAGATAAAATTATAATCAAAAAGTATGCTCAAAATCACAGCACTCCTAGTCGGAGTTGCATTTTCTATTAAATTTAGTATATCAATTAACTTTTCAACATAGAAATTGCTGAGAAAGCATAATATTTTTGGAAAGAGTTTTTTTGTAGAAGGTTAATGTGCTTAGAGTCGAAATTATGAAATATGACGGTTACGCCATCATTTTACAACAAACGACAGCGATTTGTGAATATTTTTAATGAAGTTTCTGATATGTTAGACAGAGACAAACAGAATTTTATTGTCTAAACAAATTGTATTGCTAATTTGCATGTATCTGACAAAGGTAGACGATGTTTTCATGTTGCATGATCGATCATATTTGAAAGATGAATAGTTAGGTTATGTTAAAGTTTGTTTTCGAATAATACTTAGTCTTTGGTGTTCGTGTCTTAAGGTATTCTACTCATAACTATTTTTTTCAAAACAACAACAAAATTATTATTAAGGTATCACTCAAAACTATGAAATAAAATGAAAATAAAAATAATCAGTGAAATAACCTAACTTCGCAAAATAATAATTTATAAATTTGTTGTCATTATTTTCCTGACATCGTGATTTTATCATCGACGTACGACCATTGATTACTCCAGTACAATTTATTGTATGACGTAATAGTCATCTTTCGTGATTTTGACTATATATCTATTTCTCTATCTCCTATTTTGTGTTTGCAGAATATACATAGAAGAAGAGAGATTGGTATTCCACCAATTTTAGAGCAGTACATATATGGTGAGAGTTTTTACCTTTTTGAGGCATCTCAAATACGTTTTAATGCAATTTTGATTACAGGAAGCAAATGCAGCCTTTGTGAAGACATGATCTGCAAGTGTGCATTTGAATCGAGACCGAAATTGCGCAGAACACCTCCAGATGAATCAGTGTGAAAAATATGTTTCATCAACATCCGTTTCTTCCAATTACTAAATGAATAAATTATAAATGTGCTAAAGAAAACGTCGTTTTTACTATTTAAAGTCTCATTTATTACACTTACAACTAATTTATTACAAATTTATGACCATGTCGACTGGACTATCGCATTTCGCGCCGTTGACTCATCTGTATTTATCTTCGAATCGGCGAGTCCAGAAGCGTTCTAGATAAACCACGAGTCTTCTTCGAAGCCTGCTAGACGTCGCTCGATATTTCTCGATGCTGGGCGTGTAGTACGATTTGATATCACCCTATTACAGGGTGTTCCTTAATGATATGCGAATATGTGTGAATCTACATAAAAAATTAATGTTAGTTTGCTTTATAAACTACGGTCCAAAAATGTTTCCTTACAAAAACTCGGGGTGTTGAAGTTTTAGGAAAACAATGAAAATTAATTAATGTTTTCAGAACCGCTTCAGATATTTCACTGATATTTTCAAAACACATGATCTCTCTTGAATTGTTCTCCTTTGATGCGCCATTTTTGAGTAAAAAAATAAAAACCGTTCTATTGTCTAACTTGCAAAATTATTATTAATTTAATTGGAAAAATTAGGGGTAATGAAAAACAACAACTGACAACATAAATCTTGGAACGCGTACTAGCGTCACCCTGCCACGCCGCTACTGGCGAGACGACCAGACAGGAAGCAGTTGAAGAACAACAGCAGCCAACGCACGCGCGCGGAACGCGGAAGCCCGGTATACACCTGTCGCGTATCTACACATTCATGTACAAGTACTCAATAAACTGTTCTGAACCGAAGACCACTGCGAGTTGAATTGCTTTGCTTACCTATCCTCAACAATAAACATAATATTAAAACCAACGAAGTGATTACAAAAATTGTTGAAAATGGCCCTCTTCACTTAGCATGCATGCTTCCTCCCTCCTTCTCATGGAATTGCACACTCGTTGAAATATCCCTGGAGTGTTTTTTATTCTATCACAAGCTGCAACTATTCTTTTTCTTAATTCCTCTACAATGTACACTAGTGTCTTAAGATAGCCCCATAAAAATAAATCTAAACTTTTGAGGTCTGGGGATCTTGGTGGCCATTCTTGGGGCCAACCGCGGCCAATCCTATAATTTGGATAAACAGTTTGGAAATAATTACGAACCGCTACACTGGTGCACCATCATGCATGTACCACATATTGCTTCTTATTACTAACGGAACATCATCAAGCAGCAAAGGCAACTGTTGTTGAAGAAAATTGAGGTAAGTCTGTCCGTCAAGTCGTCCCGGCAAGAAGAATGGGCCAATAAAGTGGTTGCCAATAACTCCTGCCCATATGTTAACCGAAAATTGGTGTTGTAACGGCTACATAGTCCAAAGGTAACTGTTTGATGCGCCATATCCTCTAGCGGTATTATTGGGCCGTATTTCTTTGAAGATGAAAACGGTCATGCATTGACAGTCAATTCCAAGCGATACAAGGACATGAGTGACACTTTTTTGCTCCTATTGTAAGAACAGAATGTCGATTTAATAGAAACACATGGTTTCAACAGTATGGGGTCACAAAAAGTGAACTTTCCCCGGTATACAGGGTGTCCGCAAAGTTGGGGTTTTCCTTTTCAGAAACAACTACCCTTGAAATAACAAAGGTAATGTGTAGTGAAACGAGGGCGTCCAAGTAAAAAAAAAATAAAGGAAAAAGTACTCGCTCTCCAGTTGACGAGAAGGGCTAAGTACGTCTCTGCCCGAAATCATACCGCTCCAACAGAAAATGAAATTAGCTGATGCGCTACCGAGCAGACGCAGGCAAACAAGGAAGGCAAAATGTTGCGTAAAAAGTCTAGGTATTGCATCCCGTCCAATCGATTTGGGAGAATAAATGGTCCAATGAGTATACCGTTCACCATGCCAGCCCAAACATTCACCGAAAATGTTTGTTGAAAATGTGCCCGACGGACAGCGTGCGGATTTTCTACTGACCAAACATGAGTGTTGCGAAGCTTATTCACCCCATTACCCGTGAACGTAGATTCGTCTGTCACCAATATGCACTTCAAAAAGTCCGGATTATTGTCATGTTGATGCAACAACCTCTCACAAAACCGCACTCTTGCTGGAAAATCGTCAGGTTGAAGGGCTTGTACACGTTGGACGTGAAACGGATACAGCCCCTCTTCACGCAGCGTTTGCCACACTTTAGTTTTTGATACTTGCACTTCTCTAGCCACGTCTCTAGTGCTTGTTGAGCGATTCTCGTCTACGCGATTACCTCTACACGCGTGACCGTAACCGTCGGTTGAAGGTTGCAGACTGACCTGACACACTGACCCCGACCCAGTTCTGTCGTCGGGTTGAGCTAGTGTCCTAGTACCACTCGGGGATGCCGCGGCTACAGGACGGTATTCAGATATGTTTGATGTTGCAGAGCCCTTTATCTCGGTTCCCTTAAGACATTGGTGTATATGGTACTAAGAAAAATTGCTTATGTTTTCAAGATCTACAAATCGTGTAAAGGAAAACCCCAACTTTGCGGACACCCTGTATATGAAATAGAAAAAACAATGGACAAAATCCGCAAAAAGAATGAAAGTGGATTCGAGCAGAAAAAAAGGATAGGTAACCCGAGCGATACGTGTTTCTGCTTGTTGAATTTCGAAGATCATCTTCGTTTCCTCATGTTACCGTATTCGGATGTATGGGCGTGTGTATCCACTTTTGTAGTTGCATATGTGCATTCGTTGCGGGCCTGATGAAGCCAACCAGCGGAAATACTCTTTTTTACAGATAAATTGAAAATTAAACCAAGCAAGCAAGTTAGATGTCGATTTACGAGTGCCACCGGAGGGAAATCGGAAATTATAGTCACTTAAAAACAATTTGATGTTGAAAAACATCCTAATCCATACCAGAGGATTAACCCCAGATTTGTGTACTTCTTTTACACCATCTAATAAAAGTATAATAATTATAGATTATCTAGACTCTAGATAAACGCATATAAACAACTGATTATATATAAAAAGCATAAGTTGTTGTTTCATCATAGTGCAATTCTGTTATTCTGACGTAAATATGTTTGCCTGTACAAAATTGAAGCAGTTAAGGTAAATGCTATTCCGATTGTGTGTTTGAGTTTATTTATTATATACTCAGTGACAGAAGTATTACATCAAGAAGAAATTATTTCGTCAACTTGTCTTTTCTTTGCAATGTAATGGCTATAACAATGTCAAACAAAGATTTGTTTTTCTTTTTTAAAATAGTTTTTATCAAGAAACCAGTTTCTGAGAGCTGAATAGTAGAGATATTTTTAGGTATTGCCCTTTCATTTACTACTGTTAAGCATTATCATGAGGTGCCACAGCCAGACATAGACAGGAGTGTATTCAGCTGCGGGGTCGCCCAACAGATATTATTTTTTCTTCCTTATTAATTGTCAATAAAATTCCGTGATGATATTATCGTTTCATTCTTGATGTAAGACTACCTCATTGCCAAAATATCAAGTTGACGAAATTATTTTTGCTAATGTCACTGAGTATACAAATTCTATCTGTTTGATACCGTTTCTTTTTGATACTTCACAACTGGAGTATTATCGATTTTAGTGACGTCAAGTCCACATCGGTTGCGAAAATAGCTGGATGTACTATTATATAACATAAATAGTCTATGATTATAGTCATTTCATTTCATATGATGCACAAAATTATTTATGTGACTGTCTTTCACTTTTGACTTGCTTTCGTAGTGTATCAATACAATGGCTGAAGGTAGGTGTGTATTTTTTCAAGTCACGTCTACAAGACATATCTTCGGATAGATCGGCGTTTAGAACTGCCCATACACACAGGGTGGCCGATATGTAACTGACTGATTTGTATCTTGTGAAATGAAATAAAATACGTCAATTTTTTTCATCTCAATATTTAAATGAAATTTAGAAATTATGTATAAAAAATAATATCAGACAAATTCCCGCGTCTTAAAGCCGTGCAAGCCTGCCTCTTGATTACATTTTTCATCACTTTTTGGTAGGTTTCGGGTGGAATATTTTCAATCGCTTCCTTAATATCGTTCTTCGGCTGGTCTACGACACTTCCACGAACTACCTCGATATTTTCCTGAGTTCGAACAGTTCGGACACGGCCCGACCTTGGCAACTCTTTAACATCACCTGTTTATTCAAATTCCCGCACCAACTGACAAATGGTGTTGACACAGCGCACATGATTTCGACCGAAATTTTGTCGTAGCTTCCAAATCGTTGCAACAATCGACTCATTATTCAGGTAAAATGTTTTAACAGTACGGACGCGTTGCAGCTACTACGGCGCCACCTATTGAAATGCATGTATCAAAAGTGGCGCGCAATTTAAATCAGTCAGTTATAGATTGGCCACCCTGTATTTAGGAAACTCGTCATTGTTGCTTCAATAATAAAAACAGCATTTCTGAAACTTAGCTGCCATTAATTTTGGAGTTATGAAACTTTTCCTCATTTGAGTTTGATTAGTAGCAGTCTGTGTGTTCTAAGTTGGGATTTTCAAAGTTTCTTCTAAATCTATCTCGTTCAGGTGAATTTTCTTGCACTGGCTAAATGAGCAGGTCGACCTGGCTCTCTGCCGCTGCAGGAGTTCCTTTCTTGGTAATTATGAACGCCATCTTGAAGCGGTCACGATATTTCATTTAAAATGACGTCACTTTGATTATTATGTTTCCCTCACCAAACCCTTTCAGTTGTCTAGGGAATAATATGGCAATAATAGATCGCCATTTTGTAACATCCGTCAAACTGATTCAAAAGGGCGGCAATTTGTATTGTCACTGACGTACGAACAAACAGGTAAAATTAAATGAAAGCTTGTAAAACGCATAGCACATATTTTGCTGAATGTGTATCTACTGTAGAAAGATAAATTTTTGAAAACGTCTTTGGTAATTTGAATGTTCATTATTATAGTGCAAAAGCGAGATCGGTGTCCATAAATCCAATAACTGATCCAGTTCAACATTCGGAAGGACCTTTCTGGCACACGAACACTCAAGAATTGTACTTTGTGGATACTTTCAACGGTACGCTCTGTAGATGGAGTTACAAGGATAAGAAAACACAGTCTTATCATCTAGGTAAATGATGAATTTTAATTATGAACAAGCTTTACAAAAATATACTAAGTGACATATAAATCCTAACACCCAGTTTAAATGGTTTTATTTTAATAAAATTTTGTATAAGTACTTAATGAAGCATAATAAGTAAATGATGAAAATTTCAAAATGATTGCACTGCTTTAAAGCCCTTTGACCTTTAATAATGTGTGGATGCACCCTGATGTGCTACGCATTCTCCAACGCGCCTAGGCATGCTTCTGATCAGGTGGTCAATGTCCTCCTGTGGTATCTCATTCCAGGCAACCACCAACTCGTCACTAAAGACAATACTGTTCCATTCCTGATCTCAGAGTGACCGTTGTCTGCACCACTCAAGGCGATTACGTCGGTGTTCTCGAGTTAAAGGGAGGACCCAGTGTGGCCGGTATGAAAACAAGCCAAAACTTCTCATTCGTCGGTAAACACTTCGCATGCCAATAGGTCTTCCGTGTTCTGCAAACCATTCATTTGCAATGGACCTGGTAGTGGAGAAACGGTCCCTTAAGGCCAATAATCTTAGGCGGCGATCTTCACGGTCTGTTGTTCTACGGCGGCGTCCAGTGCCCCTTGCTCTTTGCGTACGGCCTTCTCGAAGCCATGCCTGACAACACCTAACCACAGTGTCTACACTTCTTTGCACTCTAACTGCAATTGCCCGAAAAGAAAGTCCAGCTTCCCGAAGTCCCACTATACGGCCCCTATCAAACTCACTAAGTTGATGAAATCGTACAGCTCTCCGTACTCTAGGCATCGTAACCGATCGTAAAGGATGTCAAGAACCAAAATCCGCCAACGTTGATTCTTTACTGCGGCTGAAATATTCATTTTTAGAGCGTTAGTGAATTAAAAAAAAGCAGTATAAAAACCGGAATGTCCAACTGATAGGGCTGAAAATTTTTTCACTTGTTATTTACAGTAAGATACATACATTCACCAACTTTTATTAAAATAAAACCATTTAAACTGGGTGTTCGGATTTATATGTCACTTAGTATAAAAACGACGCTGTGAAATTACTTAGTTGGAATGCTTCAACAGCCTGTAGACAACTAGGTCCAACATACACTTCAGTCCTTAGGTTTTATTGGTTCAATTTTTTTCAGAAAACCACGATTCAGTAGGCGTTATCATTCCAATCAAAGATAAAAAAGACTACTTTCTTGTCGCTGCTGATAGAAACGTGTATAATCTGTATTGGCCGTCAGATGATAATGAAAATGAGGCGAAATTGGAGCATCTGATTACCGTAGACGAAAGTAAACCTAAAAATCAGTTTAATGATGGAAAAGCAGACTCAAAAGGAAGACTTTGGCTAGGTAAGTTAATATAATATTCCCAAGGTAAATTACTTACTAAAGCACGTCATAATGACGTCGAAATTTGGTGATAACTCGCGAACTGAAGTGGTTGCTCCAAATATCGACGTCATAATAACGTCTACTAAATGTCCAATTGGGTACGCGTACTGTAGGACGTTGTTATGACATGTTTTCAGGTTATCTTTTTGGTTTATACTTTAAAGTTTGCACTTTCCTTTACACTACATATAGATCTTGTAAAAATGAGCAGTTTTTTCTAGTAACATGTACTCCAAAATCTTAAGATTACCGATATGCTAGGCTTTGCAGAATAAATCGAACTTGAACAAAACTTAATCCGGTCCTGGCGCTGGCCGCGTTGGTGAACAAAACCTTTACACATCGGTTCTGAAAAACAAAAATTGCACACTCATACAGCAATATCGGAGTTGTTCATATTATACTAAGCGACATATAACCCAACAACATCCTGCGTCATTTTTTTTGGTCTGGGGCGAAATTTAATGTTTCGTGTATAAACCGATCAAATCGATCTTGATTTATATACCGTTTTTCAGGAACTTTAACTCGAAATGGTGACTTGTCAGTAGCCCCGGAAGGTGGTTCGCTCTACAAAATATCAGGATTCGGAGACAGTCTGATGGCTGAAGAAATGGAAAGATCACTGAGCATAAGCAACGGATTGGATTGGTGTCCCGAGTATAAAAAATTGTACCACATCGACAGTCAGACACGAAAAATTGTGGCTTACGATTTTGATGAACAGAGTGGGCAGATTCGTAAGCGATTTTGTAGCTAAAAATATTCGTAAAAATGTTCACTTTTTCTGTTACAGAAAATAAGAAAATTATTTTCGATATGGCGGATCATCCAAATCTAGAAGGCATCCCTGATGGAATGACAGCTGATGGGTCGGGAAACTTGTGGATTGCACTTTTTGGCGGGAGTGCGGTACGTATATTTTGAGGATAAAGGACTTTTTTAATTTTTTTATACACCACGTCTACCCCCTCCATATTGTGGTTCAGACGAGATGCTGACAGATTGGACAGATATTCACATTCATATACATATACAAGTTGGGACTTTTCTTTACAGAGTCTGCAGATAAGGAAATAATAAACATGTTTTTTTTAGTAACATATACACTAGGGTGTCACAGCCTATGACAGCAAACAAATACGTATATCCTATCGAAAAAATACCGTATAAGGTGCCATCTGTTTCCAGAATCGCAGTCTATGCTGGATTTAACAGTTAGCATATTATAACGAATCATTAAAAGAAGACAAAGGAAAATGTATTTGAAAAAGAAAAATACACACATTCCTAGACCAAGAACGTAGTTATAACATTGATATGAGCATCTCCAAGATCTTATTGATACTCCGTGTATTCAGAACCTCGCCGTCTTCCTCGATGTTTCTTTTCATCAGAGCCGCATATAATTGCTTATATCGTGCAAATGCCGTCTGATTGAACACAGTGTTTTTCTTCAATTTCTTTTTTACGCTTTCGGTGTTGCAAACGTAGTTGACTCTGAAAAGCAGTCCCAACTTTGTACACCCTGTATAGATCGGCTCAATTTTCAGATAATCAAGATCGATCCCAACAAAAGCATCCTGTTAGAAACAATCGAAATGCCAGTAAAGTATTGTACCTCCGTGTGTTTCGGAGGCCCAGATTCAGCGAATTTGTTCGTCACAACTTCACGTCTAAAACTGAACGAGAAAGAAGTATCGGAAACTCCTAATGCCGGAAGTGTATTTGCAATATCTTATTTGGGCGTTAAAGGAAGGATTGTGCACGAAGCCATCATTTGAACAGCCACCGATGTCAGTATTATATACTTTAAAAAACAATAAACGAATACGAACTTAAAATATATATATATATATACTAAGTGACATAGAAATCCGAACACCCAGTTTAAATGGTTTTATTTTAATAAAAGTTGGTGAATGTATTTATCTTACTGTTAATAACAAGTGAAAAAATTTTCAGCCTTATCAGTTGGACATTCCGGTTTTTATACTGCTTTTTTTTAATTCACTAACGCTCTAAAAATGAATATTTCAGCCACAGTAAAGAATCAACGTTGGCGGATTTTGGTTCTTGATATCCTTTACGATCGGTTACGATGCCTAGAGTACGGAGACCTGTACGATTTCGTCAACTTAGTGAGTTTGATAGGGGCCGTATAGTGGGACTTCGGGAAGCTGGACTTTATTTTCGGACAATTGCAGTTAGAGTGCAAAGAAGTGTAGACACTGTGGTTAGGTGTTGTCAAGCATGGCTTCGAGAAGGCCGTACGCAAAGAGCAAGGGGCACTGGACGCCGCCGTAGAACAACAGACCGTGAAGATCGCCGCCTAAGATTATTGGCCTTAAGGGACCGTTTCTCCACTACCAGGTCCATTGCAAATGAATGGTTTGCAAAACACGGAAGACCTATTGGCATGCGAAGTGTTTACCGACGAATGAGAAGTTTTGGCTTGTTTTCATACCGGCCACACTGGGTCCTCCCTTTAACTCGAGAACACCGACGTAATCGCCTTGAGTGGGGCAGACAACGGTCACTCTGGGATCAGGAATGGAACAGTATTGTCTTTAGTGACGAGTCTCTATTTTGTTTAGGCATGCACGATGGTCGTGCCAGGGTTAGGAGGCGACGTGGTGAAAGGAGGAATCCACAGTTTTCTGTTGAAAGACATGTTCATCACACTGTTGGAGTTATGGTTTGGGGTGCTATAGCTTATGGTTCCAGGTCACCTTTAATCTTCATCAGAGGTAACATGAACGCGCAGCGTTATATCCACGAAGTTCTAGAACCCCATCTGTTACCTTATCTTGACACCCTGGCAGATCCAACTTTCCAACAAGATAATGCCCGACCACATGTTGCAAGCGTCACAATAGACTTCTTTCAACATAATGATGTCAGATTGTTACCATGGCCACCAAGATCTCCCGACTTATCCCCAATTGAGCACGTGTGGGATATGATGGGTAGGAGATTGCTCAATTTGCAGCGTCTTCCTCAGACTCTAGAAGCACTTCGAGAGGAGTTGGTGGTTGCCTGGAATGAGATACCACAGGAGGACATTGACCACCTGATCAGAAGCATGCCTAGGCGCGTTGGAGAATGCGTAGCACATCAAGGTGCATTCACACATTATTAAAGGTCAAAGGGCTTTAAAGCAGTGCAATCATTTTGAAATTTTTATCATTTACTTATTATGCTTCATTAAGTACTTATACAAAATTTTATTAAAATAAAACCATTTAAACTGGGTGTTCGGATTTATATGTCACTTAGTATATATATAAAAAATAGATTTTTGTTGTCAAACATGTGCATTATGTATGCCCTAAGATCTCGACATTTTTCACACCGTAATAGAAGCCTAAATGCCAGGGCACCGCTGCTGCTACGAGGATACCAAAGAAACTTTGTAAATCTGATTTTTGAACTGCCTAAGGTTAGTAGAGTATGCCGCAAGCGAATTTAGTAATTTCAATAAGTCCAATAAATCTATAGTTTCCTTTCGTCGGTGTATATGTTCCGGCTCCTTGATCATAAATTTGATGACCTGTAGTCATAGAAACATTTTTTCTTAGTTGTTTGAATTTCATAACCCCACATTCCCGACTACAACAAAGGAAGCACAATATTGTGAACGTTGTTAGACCTAGTAACCGGCACGGGTATTACGTATTTTGAAAAGTAACATTTTGTCAGTGTCAGAAAGTGTCTGCGAGGCTTAAGTCTAAGGGCAACAGATCCAGCTGGAATAACGGTAAAATGTGAAATAAATAATGTGTTTGATTTATAAATAGTTACTTTATTTACTCGATGTGTTAAATAAACAGCCACCCCTTCTACACAACTGAATATCTGCTTTCTATTTTTTATAATAAATACACGAAAAGTGTAAAATGTGAATAATAATCGAATGTATAATACATAATACTTCAAAATTGGGCATAGCAGCAGGAAAGATGTAAAAATTACCGGAATCTCTGATAAGCACAGAAAATAAAGTTTTCGTTTTCAAAACATTCTAGTTCAGGTTTTCTCTGTTCGTGAACCATACAAAATACTAAAGGTAACTAAACAGTTTTGTTATCGACTTTCTTATATTCTTATCGAGCGCTTCAGTAGTTGTATGCCAAGTAGACGTATATCATAACATGTTTTTGGACAAAGTCTCAAAAGGTCCTTTCCTAGATTCGCAATATCCCCAAAAATAGTACAATTGCTAATATTTAAACAAAATACATTTCACATTCTACACACAGAAAAATGAGTTGGCACTTTTGTGTCAGATGTACGAGGGTTGTTCCAAAAATAAGGTTACAACGCTGTAGCTTTGCCGCGCGAGATGTTAGGAGAAATCTGGCAGCACCGCCGGGTTTGTCGGCTCCCCCACCATCGATCTAAACAAGAAGATCCGTTTACGAAATTGAAGGAGCACCTATGCGGTCAACGATTCGTGACGGACGGGGAATCGCAAGGAACTGTTACCAAGTTTACAAGCGGCCGGGCGGCTTAGTAAAAAAATGGATTCCACTTAAAAAAAATGCGTAGAAAATATGGCGACTAAGTAAAAAACTAGCTTGAAGATCAACGTTTCCAATGATAAATTCGTTTTTACAAATAACATAAAACTTGTGCTCAAAAAAAATGTGGAACCCTATTTTTAAGACAACCCTCGTACGACGGTCTATTTAAATAAATAAAAAGATGGATGGATCACCAAAAAAAATGCAAATACTTGATTCTGTTTTCGACAATTATACATACTAATTGAAACAACAGACGATGACAGCGGGTAAAGGTATCCGTATGTACTTAGTAATAATCGTCCACGACGTGATGAGAAAAAGTATTTGTCATCAGGTTATTTTTTAGCAAAAATGCAATATGACAACTAGTCGGACGATTCTAAAGCTGCAACACAACTGACAACATCGCATACGTAGAAAACGAAACGGTGAACGCTTCATTCATCATTCGAATGTGTCATGAGTTTTCCTGCTAACGGAGCAACTTTTGAGTCGAATTTCCTTTCTTATTTGCAGTGTTTTTTATTGTCTGTGAAATTAATACAATCAAGGTTCTGCTAAATATGTAAAATTATAGCCCACAATGAAGAAGAGCATATGTCGTTTTATAGATAAGTACAGAAGTTATGTTTGTGTTTTATTTTCGGTTCACAGCCCCGAGCATGTTTCGTTTCATAGTGACTACAGAGGTTAGGCTTGTGTTTTAATTTCGGTTCCCAGTCCCGAGGTTTTTATTCACTTGGATATTTTAATGCTTTTTAATTCCGATTTTTTAAAAATGCTTACTTTATACACATATTTTATTTTTTATTTATGCGGGCAGTGAACTGAAGAAGAAGTAAACAGTATTTTTAGTTCCGAATGAACGTTATCTTTACGTTTTCCAGCAACGTGAAAAGAACGTTTCTGTAATAACTTAAACTGAAGTGGGTAAAGGTAATCGTATGTACTTAGTAATAATCGTCCACGACGTGATGAGAAAAAGTATTTGTCATCAGGTTATTTTTTAGCAAAAATGCAATATGACAACTAGTCGGACGATTCTAAAGCTGCAACACAACTGACAACACCGCATTCGTAGAAAACGCATTGGTAAACGCTTCATTCATCATTCGAATGTGTCATTATGAGTTTTCCTGCTAACGGAGCAACTTTTGAGTCGAATTTCCTTTCTTATTTGCAGTGTTTTTTTATTGTCTGAGAAATTAATACAATCAAGGTTTTGCTAAATATGTAAAATTATAGCACACAATGAAGAAGAGCATATTTCGTTTTATAGATAAGTACAGAAGTTTGTGTTTTATTTTCGGTTCACAGCCCCGAGCATGTTTCGTTTCATAGTAACTACAGAGGTTAGGCTTGTGTTTTAATTTCGGATCCCAGTCCCGAGGTTTTTATTCACTTGGATGTTTTAATGCTTTTCGATTCCGATTTTCGAAAAATGCTCACTTTATACACGTATTTTATTATTTTCTATTTATGCGGGCAGTGAACTGAAGAAGAAGTAAACAGTATTTTTAGTTCCGAATGAACGTTATCTTTACGTTTTCCAGCAACGTGAAAAGAACGTTTCTGTAATAACTTAAACTGAAGTGGGTAAAGGTAATCGTATGTACTTAGTAATAATCGTCCACGACGTGATGAGAAAAAGTATTTGTCATCAGGTTATTTTTTAGCAAAAATGCAATATGACAACTAGTCGGACGATTCTAAAGCTGCAACACAACTGACAACACCGCATTCGTAGAAAACGCATTGGTAAACGCTTCATTCATCATTCGAATGTGTCATTATGAGTTTTCCTGCTAACGGAGCAACTTTTGAGTCGAATTTCCTTTCTTATTTGCAGTGTTTTTTTATTGTCTGAGAAATTAATACGTAGTCGTGCCATAAGTTCTGTCCCATGATAATCTCATGATAAAAATGAAACAAGATAAGATATATTTATATGAAAGATATTATTTATTCGACAACATTTTTAGAATTCATAATCAAACAGTTTTATTCAAAATGTCCCCCCTTGGCCTTCACACACTGCTTCAATCTCGCGGGCCACTCATCTATCACTGCACGCACAGCTTCCAAAGGAATAGCTGCCGCTGATCGGATCAAATCCGCTTTCAGGGACTCGATATTACGGTGGGCTTTGGAACAGGCCAACTGCTCTAGCAGGTCCCACAACTTGTAGTCTAAAGGATTGAGGTCCGGACTCCCTGAGGGCCAATCTTCCGCAGCAATGAACTCTGGCACATTGCTTTCCAGCCAGCGCTGCGTACTCTTAGCCTTGTGAGCGGGGGCGGAATCCTGCTGGTAGACCCAGTGTTGGTTGGCAAACAATGTACCACTTAAAGGCTTGACGATAGGATCCAGTATGTCGCTCTGATAGTTTGCCGCTTTTGTTTTCACGCCCTGTTTACAGAAATGGAGCTGAGTGACCCCTTCGTAGGACACCCCCCACCAAACCATGACTGACGCAGGGTGGTGGCCTCTCTCAACTCTCGGAATGATCTCCGAAGCTTCCTGTGAACTCCTTGCATACACTTTGTCATTTTGTCGGTTGATTTTTCTTCTATGGTGAAGATTTTCTCATCCGTGAACAAAATCTTTCGGAATCCCCCAGCTGCGTACCTCTCCAAGAGCTTCTTGGATCTTGTCGCCCTGATGTGTCGCAAGGTGGCCGTAAGTCGCTGGCCCGTACGTCTCCGGTAAGCCCCTAGCCCTAGGTCTTGTTTAATGATGCGCGACATCGTCCGGACAGGAATCTTCATTTCCCTGGATAGGATCTTCTGCTTCCGGAGTGGATTCCTTTGAATCCTGGCTTTTACGGCTTTGATGGCTGCTGGAGTCCTTACTTGACGAGGTCTTCCGCTTCTTGGCCTGTCATCAACAGAGGACGTCTCATTGTACCGCTGAATGGTCCTAGACACAAATTTACGCGATATTTGAAGGCCGCGTAAGAGTTCAAAAATCTGACTAGCACTGTGATTACACTTATGTAAAGCTATCACTGCAATACGGTTCTCTGCCTTGCCCCACTCCATCGTTATGCTTCGAGAGATCAATACAAACTGAGGTATATGTAATTACCCGAAAAGCGCTTAATCAACTGACACCACAATGTAAACAATCGGACAAGTATTAACAGGTCTACACTTGTTTGAAAACGAGGGACAGAACTTATGGCATGACTACGTACAATCAAGGTTTTGCTAAATATGTAAAATTATAGCACACAATGAAGAAGAGCATATTTCGTTTTATAGATAAGTACAGAAGTTTGTGTTTTATTTTCGGTTCACAGCCCCGAGCATGTTTCGTTTCATAGTAACTACAGAGGTTAGGCTTGTGTTTTAATTTCGGATCCCAGTCCCGAGGTTTTTATTCACTTGGATGTTTTAATGCTTTTCGATTCCGATTTTCGAAAAATGCTCACTTTATACACGTTTTTTATTATTTTCTATTTATGCGGGCAGTGAACTGAAGAAGAAGAAAACAGTATTTTTGGTTCCAAACGAACGTTATCTTTACGTTTTTCAGCAACGTGAAAAGAACGTTTCTGTAATAACTTAAACTGAAGTGGGTAAAGGTATCCGTATGTACTTAGTAATAATCGTCCACGACGTGATGAAAAAAAGTATTTGTCGTCAGGTTATTTTTTTAGCAAAAATGCAATATGACAACTAGTCGGACGATTCTAAAGCTGCAACACACTGACAACACCGCATACGTAGAAAACGCATCGGTAAACGATTCATTCATCATTCGAATGTGTCATTATGAGTTTTCCTGCTAACGGAGCAACTTTTGAGTCGAATTTCCCTTCTTATTTGCAGTGTTTTTTTATTGTCTGTGAAATTAGTACAATCAAGGTTCTGCTAAATATGTAAAATTATAGCCCACAATGAAGAAGAGCATATTTCGTTTTATAGGTAAGTACAGAAGTTATGTTTGTGTTTTAATGCTTTTCGATTCCGATTTTTGAGCAAAATCTCGTTTTACAAACGTATTTTATCATTTTTTATTTATGGGGAAAATGAACTTAAGAAGAAGAAAACAGTACTTTGGTTCCAAACGAACGTTATCTTTACGTTTTCCAGCAACGTGAAAAGAACGTTTCTGTAATAACATAAACTGAAGTGGCTTTTACCCGTCATTTTTCAACTTATCCTCAGTTCCGACGCTACTTATTTACAAAAAAATCGTTTGTATTTTTTGTAAAATATCTCGGCAACTCATTTTAACCCCATCACATTTGACAGCCATTTTCTATACCTTTCGCCCTCCCGAGAGCCGCCGTTTTCTGCTAGGAATTTTTTATCACACCTTATCACCAACTCGCATATCGTGTAACCTTCGTATTTATTTGGGGAAACCTTGAATAATTTCGACCATTTGTTAGCTCTGATATCGCTACCAATGCTAACGACGGAGTTTTTTGTACCCGAGTTTTCATTATCGCTAATGTCGTTTGCATTTTGAAGTTCTAACGGTAAATTCAGCAGATGCTGCACCAAAAATCTACGATGGTAATATAGAGCTTCGTGTTCGGGGAACGTTGCGTTCAGCTTATCGACTAAGACGAAAAGGTCATATAGCATTATACATATATAATTCGTATAACGACCTTCTGATGGTAGATACTTGCTTGATTTTCCTAAAAAGTGAAGCGGTATTTCTTTCGGGGTTAGCGAAACTCCGCTTGGTTTTAGGAATTCTGACACGACAAAATCAAAGTACGATCTGTAGATCGTGCTCGATATAAAAACTTTTGTCGTCAGAGTGATGAGGTATTGTCTGTAATGGTATCCCACATGTTCTGATATGTGGCTGTTGATCCATTCCTGAGTGTAACTTAGCTCCGAGTAAATAATTTGTTGAAGCTGATTGTATGACGTCATGTTTTCCATAGTCCTGAAACGGAAAAATAGCTTCAAACTGCGCTCTGAGAAAAAAGTTATATACATATATATATATATATATATATATATATGTATATAAATGTATATTTATATACATATACATTTTAAATGTCCCAGTTTGTATATTCAGTTTCCTGTTGAATGGACACTTTCAGTCGGTCCCACTGGAATCCATCCAAAGGAGATTTCACTGTATTTTCTTATATCTGCAACTTACCAAATTCGATGATTCCAACTATGATAATTATTTGGCGACTTTTCTGAAGCCATATGCGTAACTGAGAATTCATTTTGAATTAAACTGAATGGGATTTGATGGTCCAGTTTCTTTTTTATCCTTTGCAAAAGCCATCTTCTATATGCAAAAACATCAGTTGCTTTCGCTTTGTGTGAAAGAACAATTTTGCTGAAAAAAATAAAAATTGTGTAATCGACGATCCATTTAAAGAGAGTATTCTTTTTAAAGAGGTGAACATATAAAATCAATCAGCCTTAGCAGGCTTTCATCAACTGTAGGGAAGCATCCATGACATTCAGTTTTTGATGAATCGATGAATCTTACAGACATTGGCTACCTATAGAAAAATTAAAAATTCTGACATGTCTCAGCATTTCAAATATTACTTGGCGTCTATTATCGTACAATGATCGTAAGCTAACTTCTCACTTTCAGATAAATTTATTGACCACCTTCCAGTGAACATGATGACGTCATTATTCCGTCATTTTTGGTCAGAAACGTCATTGGCTAAAAAATGGCGCCATGTTCATGACAAAACGTCTTTTAACCGGCTGTCATTTTTAGAAAGGTCAGTGTTGAAAAATCAACACTTACCTACCAAGAAAATATAAACATTTAATGAACAATAAGGTGAACTAAATATTCAAATACTATTAACTGCTTTATTGCTATTTATATAATTGTATTGGGTATTCTTTGAGTAAAAATATCTTGTCATATTAATCAAATTCAAGCGGATAACCAAATGGAAATGGTATTTACCATTTTGGCTTGGTATTTACCAATCCGTTCAAGCGAGTGTAGTTATCAGTTTGGTTATAAGATCCGTAACGTCACGAATCAGCTGTTATATGTCATAGTTATCACCGCAAAATTGTGGTATTTACCCAACTCAAGAGTAGTTTTATATTTCTGGTTCTTATTTGAAATGTGACAAGTTAGAATTTTGCCGGGTATTGGATATTGTTATTGTACTTCAGCTTCATTTTTGAGAAAATTGTTACAGGCTGACTTCAGTTTTACCATAAAGTGGAGCACCTTATTAGTTATACTCATTACGGTTGTTGGGGACACTTTAAATGTAGTTCCTATGCTTAACAAAGTATCCTGTGTAGCCATATACCACAAGAATATTAAAATATGGCCATATAAACTCACTAGATGATATCCACCTGTATACGGTTTTCGGTTTTGCTAATTTCTTTTTTCATCATTTCTGCTGAATCTATAAATGTTTTCTTTGACATGCGGAAAAATTTAGAGAATTGAAAGTTATCATAGCTACAAAGCCATGGTTCCATCATTAAAAAAACAAAACTGAAAAAAACATTTCTCCCATGAATATTATGAAAGGTTTCTTATTTAAACTTTCCATATACAGTTGTAGACGAAAAAGCACCAATTATTAAGTGATAATAAAAATAATCCGAGATTATATACGCGCTTTTCTAAAATAAACAACTTGCAACAAAACCGCGGTTAAAACCAACGCGTTCAAGCGATTCCTGTAACTGACGTCATCAACCCATGTATCATCTTGAACCATATTATAACCGCGGTACATAACACAGAAATTTGGTTATTCGCTTGGATTTGATTATTGTGATGTCAATTGGGTGTGACATTTGACCATCACAATGACATAATTTCTGTCATATTTATTGGTCAGCATACATCACTAGTGCCCTAACCTGACCTCACTATGTCCAGCAGGCTAGAAAGTGTGATGTCACACATATAGACTTTCTTTTAAATTACACTGCTTACCTAAAGTACATTTCATCATCAAGATTCAAGAGTTCCCTCTCTATAAGTTCTCGCTTCATGTTCCAGAAAGTAGTAACATGCGGGTTGATCAATAGAGCTCCTATCAGCATGTTATTAAAATCGGAAACTTTTGTGAAACACAACTTGCCCTTCTTCAGCTGCTGGTAGTGATTGAACAGATTGGAACAGGCGTAGTTGTAAACGTGTTTAACGCACCAAGACTCCAGTCCTATGCAGTGATCTTCATATAATACTGGTGACTTGTTCTTTAGGTTGTACGGAGTTGGAATTATGCCAAATTCATCTCTGAAATAAAACCAATTCGTTTTCACGGAGTTTTCTTCGAGATAACCTCCCTAACTTACATATTTCGGTCGTTCTCGATTATCTTCTTTATTGTTCGTAATATCCTGTTCGACATATCATCGCCTTCGGTTGAGGTCATTGCGTTTTATTACTTTTCCTATAGTATAATAACAATAAAATTGGAAAATTTATATGTAATATTTATATTTATTCTACCTTTGACGTTTTATTAAACACGTACTAGACAATGACAAATGTCAGATTGGTCAACAGATACACAACAAAAAGTTGGAAAAAAGGCGTGGCTAAAAGTGAAGGAGTGGTCAAAGAGTGTTTTAGGGGCACGGCCATAGGACGGAGGTGGATTGATAATAAGTGCACAAAAGTTAAACATGTTTTCAAACAGCACAGCAGAGAATCGGGACTTCAGTTGAACACCATACTTGACATATTTCGGCTAAAACGCTAATGCGCGTAAGGGAAAAAAATGCAGTGTGAATTTTCGATTTGTTGTTTCCCCATGCTCACCATTTCACACTAACCATCTAACTAAACAGTATTTTACTGTTGATTAAGATAAATGTCACTGTCCATTCTCCATTAAGATTAATTAAGTACCTACTTCTGTAGTTAGTAATTGAGTTGCAAAGTTGCGCTTAAATGTAAGGTCCCTAAATTATCAGTAACCTACTGATTCCATCTGCCAAACAAGCACCAATGCAAGAATACCTTCCATAGGAACTACATTTAAAGTGTCCCCATCAAGAACAGTAATGAGTATAACTAAAAAGGTGCTCCACTTTATGGTAAAACTGAAGTCAGCCTGTATCAAGTTTCCCAAAAATGAAGCTGAAATACAATAACAATATCCAATACCCGGCAAAATTCTAACTTGTCACATTTCAAATAATAACCAGAAATATAAAACTACTCCTGAGTTGGGTAAATACCACAATTTTGCGGTGATAACTACGACATATAACAGCTGATTCATGACGTCACGGATCGTATAACCAAACTGATAACCACACTCGCTTGAACAGATCGGTAAATACCAACCCAAAATGGTAAATACCATTTTCATTTGGTTATCCGCTTGAATTTGATTTTTGTATTTCATGGTTCTACCTTTTTGTAAAATAGTGTAAAAATAATACAAACGTAGTGTGTTGCTTTGTTGACGGAATATATATATGGAACTCGTCACTGGTGGATTATTTAAGAAATAACAAGACATTGGTGAAAAAATGAAGAATATGCATGCAAAGACTGTGTGGTGATCTATGGGTGATGTTGATTTAAATGCCGCCAATTTGGCGCGCTTCACACTGTCGTTATCGTCGGCGCAATGTCATATTTGTGATTGCTTCGTTGCATTATTTTGTTTCCCACTGTATCCATACCATATTATAAGTACTGTATTGTACGTATGTGCAGAAATACGAAACGGACTGTACCGGATAAAGTATTTTATTTTAACTTAAGTAACTATCAGTTTGCCCTATTATCAAAAATTTTGCAGGGCAGAGACCTTCTCACTCTATACAAGGCCTAGCCTGAGTATTGTTCACACGTTTGGGGTGCTGCCGCCCCGACTACATTATACATGCTCGATGCTGTCCAGAGGAGGTCGGTCAGACTGATCGATGACTCTTCACTAACAGGCAGTCTCGGGACTCTTTCGCACCGGCGGGCCGTCGGCGATCTAGCTCTTTTCTATTGCTACACCAACAGGCTTTGCTCCTCATAGCTCTCTTCCATGATGCCGCCGCGCGATGTGCCCGCCTGACTTCGGCGTCCCATCCTAACCGTGTCAAACTTCGTACATCCAGAACTGGCCGATACGACCGCTCCTCTGTCCCGAGGCAGTTCAAAAATCGTATTAACAAAATTTCTTTGGGATCATAGCAGCCGCGGTGTACCGGCATTTAGGCTTCTGCTTCGATAAAAAAAAATCTAAAGATTACCTATTTATTAGCCACTTCAAATCAAGGTTTGATGATAATAATAAAAGAAAAATTTAAATACATAATACATTATTGAAAGATATATTGATTATTTCAGTCCATTTGCATTATCAATTCTCAGTGAATAATTTCCTCATATTTTCTTTGGCCTGTTGCACTTCTTCCTGCAATTTACTGATTTCTTCACAAGTTTTGTCTGTGATTGACTCAAACAAACAATATTTTGCATTTAATTTATCGATTCGTTCCATAACATCATTGAGATTCTCACTATTTGGATTGGGAAACTCAAATACTTTTTGGGACAACAGTGAATTTAGTTTGGAAAGTGCTTCCACAAGATTTAACGGCTCAGAATTTGATTCACCATGCTTCAGGGTTGGTATACCTCTATCGAGATATTCCAAAATGGACCGGATTTCCGGAAACAATGTTTTCGAAGCTTCCAATTCCTTCCACAGCTTTTTCAGCCCGCTACATTTCTCTTCTAATTGATGAGCGGTTAGCAATTCGCCTTGTTTGTTCGCAAGCTCTCTTCTCTTCAACTCCAAAACGGGTGTCAGCTCCTTTATCTCGGCGTTTACTTTGTTCAGCTGCCGTTCGCATTCCGCAGCTTCCGCCTTTTCTTTCGATTCCTTGAACTGCTCGATCATCTTCCCAGTGTCAGCCAGCACTTGTCGTGTAGCTTTCCTCAAAATACTGTGATGGCTTGCATCATCTGCAGGCTTCGGAGGGAGCAAGAGGTGCTCTACTCCGCTGCGCCTGAGGTGTTCAGCTATAACTAGCTGCGACAGTTTGATCAGGAAATTCACGATACGGCGCCCGCCCGGAGATATAAAGTGCGAGACGGGCAACTGCGGGATATCCCAATGGTGCTGCTCGTTCACTTCGCGGATGAATTGGTGGACTTCCTTGCGAAATTTTATCTCCGTTTCGGAGTCGAACACCGGCCAGGTGACGCGCTGTTTCGTTAATTCTGGGCTCAGGATGCGCAATAGGTAGTGGACGACTTCTTGGAAAGCAGCTTTGTTCACCTTCGAGAACATCTCTTTGCACAACAGGGATTTCAATTCTTCTGTGGCAGGGTAGAAATGCGTTAGCAGATCAACGTTTTCGTATATCATCTCGTGCCCGTGCGTGTCCATTTCAGAAAATTGATTTATTTCGTTTATCAATCTCGTGAGGTAATAGTGAAATTGTAACGGCAAATTCAAAATGGACAAAATGACACTAGTGACAGAAAAGTAGTGGTGGTGGTGAGTGGTGTGTAGTTCGCGAACGTACTAGTTCAGTCCAACAATTGTTATGAACTATGTGAACTAGTTCATCATTCCACGAAAATCTCTATTCACTTCAACACTTCAACGACTGGTGACTTGACTTGATGATGCCGCAGGGGTATTATAGAAAAAACTTGAAAAACGACAAAATGTCATCTTGCAGATTAGGTAGTTTTTAGTGAAATAGTTCGTTCCACGTGTGCTCGGTATAGTCTCTGTAGGCGTCATCAAAAGCGTTCATCTATGGAAGAATGATTCAACGACATGCCACGCTCAAACATGCATTACTGGTTGCAGAAAACCAAGTAGTGTTCATCTCTGTGCTGTGATAGGAAGAAAGTTGATTGAGTAGCGAGATCGCATCTGGATGATTATGTGTATAGGTCTGCATATGTATAAATATTCAGTGATATGTTAGAAAATGATGCCTAAAGTATGTCTGTTCGATATGCACGACGGGTTATTTATGTGTTGTCCTTTCTGAAGACAGGTTCAAAGTTATAAATTACGATTTTTGCAGGTTTTTTTGCATATCAAAAACTTTGAGAATTACGGGAAATCACTCATTTCTAGCTTTGAATACATCTCAAGTAAGTGTATTTAAGACAGGAAACCAGTGTAATTATCATCAAGACAAATTATTTGTCAAAAAAACGACAAAATGGAAAGTGTTCCAAGATACGTAATATCCGTGCGGATGGAAGATTGAGAGGCGACGCTTTCACTTTCTTGTGTAAAGTAGTTCGTACGCAAACTAGTTCCTAGAACTAGTTAAATAGAATGCACATTACTACAGAAAAGCAAGTTGTTCTATGAGCTATGTTGTCCAGGCTTGTTGGGTTGCCGTTTGGAACCTAGGCCTTGTAAAAAAAATCAAGAGGTAGCCAAAGAACTTTCAACAAGCACTCTACATTGTTTTGGTTGAGAGAAATGCCAAGAATGTTCTCGCAAAGTTAGCTAGTAAGTCGTAATAGATTCTAGTACAATTGTAATAGTTCGCCCAACTCTAAAATACAAAGTTGACATGTATGACACACCAATTATTTGTGTTCTATGAGTGTTTCTCCTTCTCTTTGTGACGTTCCACAAATCAGTGTTCGGAAGTTATAAATCAAATTCAAGCGGGTAAACAAATGGAAATGGTATTTACCATTTTGGGTTGGTATTTACCAATCCGTTCAAGCGAGTGTAGTTATCAGTTTGGTTATAAGATCCGTGACGTCACGTATCAGCTGTCATAGTCATAGTTATCACCGCAAAATTGTGGTATTTACCCAACTCAAGAGTAGTTTTATATTTCTGGTTATTATTTGAAATGTGACAAGTTAGAATTTTGCCGGGTATTGGATATTGTTATTGTACTTTAGCTTCATTTTTGGGAAACTTGATTGAGCATGACTTCAGTTTTACCATAAAGTGGAGCACCTTATTAGTTATACTCATTACGGTTATCGGGGACACTTTAAATGTAGTTCCTATGCTTAACAAATATGGCCATATAAACTCACTAGATGATATCCACCTGTATACGGTTTTGCTAATTTCTTTTTTCATCATTTCTGCTGAATCAATAAATGTTTTCTTTGACATGCGGAAAAATTTAGAGAATTGTAAGTTATCATAGCTACAAAGTCATGGCTCCATCATTAAAAAAAAAATGTCTTTCTTTTGTACAAACTATAGGATAAGGATCAATAAAAAAACATATTTATATGCAGTTTGTATGTTTTATTTTTAATATGCTAGATTTCGATGAAATCTCGATTTCGCCTTGAGGCGATTATAAGTTACTCAGATATGCAGTGATGTGCAAGATACCATATACAAAGTACTTTTAATACTGTTAAAATAAGCACGAGCCCTGTCTCGGTGAAGTGGGCACAACTACCCAAACTAGGTGTTTTATGATTAGCGGAAACGTATTAAAAACTGAGGAAGAACTTGCAAAAAAGACAACATCGAAATAAAAACGCGTCTGTTTTGTTATATTTCCATAAAAGAAACCAAAAATATCATCATTTCACATACAATTTTAATTAGCCCTCAAATATATTCACAAATATCATGTTTTGGAGCGTTGGGCCAACTTCACTGAGACAGAGCTCGTATTTCAGATGCCAGATACAAGATACTTTATGGAATCATATCTGATACTAGGTACAAAATTACTTATCTTTTAAATACTTTACATTTTTCACATTCAAAAAAATTTGACAATTTTATCGGTAACCCACGAAGTGACTATAACACAAGAAATAGAAATATAAATCTTCTGTATCCAGTCCATCATCTCACGGTTAAAAATGTCCATTACAGCTGCACTAAAATATATAATAAGTTACCACAAGAAATTAAAAGGTTGGCAGATAGAAAAGAATATAAAAAGAGTATTTATTAACCCAGTTATGCCTGCAGCTCAAATAAATTATAATAAAGTATGTTCTCTGCAAATTCATTCTATATGAAGCATATATTAAACAAATTTATTATTTTTAAATTTTATTTTAGGAAAAAGTGTAAAAAATGCCGTACAAAATATAGTACACTAGGCACATAGGCGAACATTAAGGTTTAGCATGGAAGGACAAAAAACATTTTACATGCATCCCTACATTGCACTTAGAGCACCTTGTTTTTGCTCTATCATGACATAAGCCACATCTAGTTGGATTTTCTTGTGGTATCACAAAATGATCTAAACGATCATAACGAATATCTATATATTCATTAGCCGAAGGACGTCCTCTAGAAAAAGATGGCGGTTTCTTGTTTTGTTGTAACAAGGCTGTGACAAGCCGCCGTCTAAATAATAATTGATCCATATGTCCTCCGTGCAATCTATAAAGTTGCCAGGAATTATGAACAGCCATATCAATACAGTGGCTGATCAATGAAAAATATCACTTTTTACCTCGGATGGAAATGCGATAAAGACCAATATTTTGATCACAACGATCAACGCCGCCCATATTTGCGTTGTATACATTTACAAGATGAGGTTGTTCTACCTAACATCACAAGCATTTTTGAAAACATTGATTTTCTTGCAGATTGTGTTTCTTACCTGAATACTTTTTTTATCCTTTTGAGAGTATCGCTTTACAAAGCTAATCGGTTGCAATCCTGCGGCATTTGAACAGAGCGTTACTAAATTATTGTCATGCCATTTTACTGCAATTATGTTTGTATCGTAAATTTTTGTTGTAATCGTAACTAGCTCTTTTTTTCCTTTTCATAATTTTAGAATCTCTGAATTGGACGCCTTGTAAACGATTTTCTCTAGCAGTACCAGTCGCAAAGAAATTTTTTTCTGTCAATAATACCATAAGAGGGAGAGAAGTGAAAAAATTGTCGAAAACTAAATGAAATGTTTCATTTGGCCATTTTCTCCTCAGTGCATCAGAATGCTCTAATACCACACCAGCACCAACCCCCAAATCTGCATAATTCTTCCTAATGTTGGTTGACGACCCTTGGTAAGGTTCAACCCAGTAAACGTAGCCTATTGTTGATGGGCCAACCCATAATTTATAGCCGTATCGTACAGGTTTTCCGTGAATGAACTGTTTGCATGAGTGTCTCTCAAAATAAGGAACCATTGCCTCATCTGTCAAAATTCCATGTTCCATAAATTTTTGATTCAGGCTCGCAAATAAAGGTCTAACTTTTGCAAACTTATCTCCTTGCTGTAAATTGTAGTTATCTACTAAATGGAAATTTGACATAATATACTGTAAATTTAAAATTGATCTTGTTTAAAAGTTACGAAAAAATGGGTCGGGGAAAATTACATAAATTTGATTGAAGGATTTACGAAAACAACATTTTCGCATCTGGAATGGCGGTTTGATTTCGAGTAAAACATGTAAACATCTATTATATTTTAACGTACTTTTTCTAGTTATACAAGTTACAGTTACATAAAAAATACTCCTTGCGATTGAACGGTAGGTATGAATAAACGCTAGTGATCATCAAAACTTTCCACTTATATCTTGTTGAAGGTCTTTAAGATGAAGTAGTTGGGATGCACTTCAGGATGTACGTCTATCGCTAGGCCTATCAGATCGTCGATCAGCTGAAAATAAAAAAATCATAACGCGCTTCATTGATTGTCATCCCAACAATGATCAAAAATCTAACAAACACTGGCACAAAGATACTTTACAAGTTACCACGAAACTTCAAATAAGTTTAGACAGATTGTTTTTCAATAGCAATTCCAAAAAAGTTGCTTCCAAATTGCGACAGAGTTGTCTATCGACATTACGGTTTCTTAAAAATGACGAAAAAGGTACCCACTGCATCCTTATTCTTCCTAATATTCTCCTCAATCTCCTTCAAATGCTCCTCTGTGTCTCGGTCGATCTTGGCAGCGATGTCTTCTCTGGATCCCATGTGTTTAGCCTCGTACTCCCTGAACTGCTTCTCCCTCTCGGCTCTATATTGCTCTATCTCCGCAGTTGCTTCGTCTCTAGCCTGCTTGATTCTTCGTGCCTTACCTGAAATAATAATTATAAGCCCATTCAGCGGTATCTGCAACACTTACGGCTGACCTGCGTTCGAGGTTGAATATTACTACTAAACCAAAAAAGCAGCAACGCTAAATGCATAAAACTTGTACAGGGTGCGGCAGAGAGGACGGACGTTTTTGGGATGGGTAGTACTCTCCGCCTCCGTCTACGAGAGAGGTGGGGAGGGTGCCGTTTGACTCGTGAGATACTAGCATTATTTTACCAGTTGTCGTTATGGAGCCTCGGACGGTGGAGCACCGCGTTTTCGCCTATGATTGTTTCGTCCGAAATAATGAGTTAGTGATCGTCGTACAGCGTGAGTTTCGTCGCCACTTCAACATTCATCGGAATAGAGCTGTTCCCTCTCGAAACACCATCCTTCGTTGGGTTTTATCACTTCGCAGGCGTGGTGAACTGATCAACAGAAGACCAAGAGGAGCGCCGCGAACAGTTCGAACTCCTGTAAATGTTGAACGCGTTCGACAGGTCTTTCTTCGCAGTCCGAGTCGATCTGCCCTGAAACATGCTGCTGCACTTCGCCTTAGTGATCGTTCGGTAAGGCGAATTTTGCATATGGATCTCCGCTTTCACCCCTACAAATTGGCCATTGTGCAACAGTTACAGCCCGGAGATTATGCACAACGAATGAACTTCGCACGTGAGATGGAAGCACTGATCGATCAAAATGAGAACCTCATGAGTGACGAAGCCCACTTTCACAAGACACAAGCCCCGAACTCTGGACGAATTGAAGGGCGAAATTCGCGTGGAAGTCGCCCAAGTTGAGAGAGCGATGTTGGAGAGACTCTACGCGAACTTCCGAGAAAGCCTCCGGCACTGCAGCAACGATTTCGGCCACCACATGCCTGATGTGATTTTCCACACTTGACTGTCTCAAATGCTATTTCCTTGTGAACCTGATTCCATCAATAAATTTGTTTTCGAGTAAAAATTAACTATTTTATGATTTTTTTTAAAACCGTCCATCCTCTCTGCCGCACCCTGTATTTACTGGATGCAAAAAAGTCGTAGCTACAACTAGAAAGCTTGTTTTTTTTTTTCGTCTGAAAAACTTTGTCAATAAGTAAAGAAAATGCTCCCGATTCACTAAATATCAAAATATCGCAGATACCTCCTCGGTTTTTGAGATATAAAAATGTTTAATCCTTTCTTAAAGCGATATTTACGGTCAGGTGAGGCTTGGCAGGCATTTATTGGTGTTTGAATTTTCGACACCATGTGTGTGTGAAACCACCCCGCTCTGTATTTAAATATAGCACCCAATGTATTATTTTTGGCTGATATTTTTACAAGTACTATAACCACTTCCAGCTCACGGCTATTCGCATTTATATATATATATAATATTTTCGATAGGTGCAATCGAGAAACATAACAACCGCTCGGAAACATCTATATCGCTTATTGCATCGATTCTTTGTGAAAAAATCCGTCTTGTGATCTATTGCAGATTTTTAAGTAATCCAAATTTATACGGATTTTAAAAGATATTAACGTTCATCACATGCTCTAAACATCACTTAACTCGTCTCATCCTGTTGTTAACGGATAAATTGCACTGGAGTGGGTAATGTCGTCGTCGTCGCATGACGCCTTTCATTGAATAAACTCATGATCTGCTTGCTTATAGTTTATCTTGCGTTTTAATAGTTACGTCGGCTGGATAGAACATTATTAATCGTAAAGTTCTAGCTGTTTTGATTAACTAAGCGATTATTTGTTAACTCACAATCATTCAGTGTTTTCGAATAATTTTTATATTGATGACTCGAAGTCATACGAATAAATAAAAAGCTCATAATATCCTCCGATAATTCCCCTGTTTTTTTAAATATAAGTACTTATAAAAATCTATTTTTGAATACCTGGAAAATATCGCGAAGACTGACCTTAATAGATACCACGCGAACACACGTTAATCAATTTCATCGACTTTCCTGCGTCCTAGATATTTCAAAAACTAAACCTAATTCCGTATTTCAAGTTGCTATAAGATGATTTTCAAGATGCTACAAAAAAAATAGTTAGGGGAAATCACTTCAACGAACCCTCTAGATGCAAAAATATGCTCCAAGCTTCAAGTATTCAAACAATGAATATTAATAAACTACCTGGCTTATAAAAATAAAACACGGGACGCAATCCAAAATGTACTCACGTTTTCGGGCCTCTGCCACTTTTTCAGCGGCCCTTTTCTCAGCGGCCAGCAATTGCTGGATGCCCTGCGTTTGATGACTAGCCATTCCGCAAAAACACCATCAAAATCGCACTTTTTGAACGACTGCAATTTTGAAATGGAACTCAGGAAGAGCAACATTTTCAATTGCTCTAAATTGCCGCTCGCATAAGTGGGATAGAGAATTTTATTATTAGAGATGCGATACTGGTTGCCTGCGCGTAATATCGCCGAAAGGCAATATTGGAATTTTTTACCCGTTTATGTGTTTGGCATCTTCTTAGCAATCTGAAAAATTGCAGCTAGAAGAATTTAATATACACTTAAATCGGATCATGGAATTTTTCGTGATTACGATACTACCTCGCCAGTTTTGGCACATAAAGTAGAAATTAAATAGACTCTTGATAGAGATAGTTCAGAGAAACATTTTTTTACGCACGTAATCTGGCTTCTGCGACCCTTTCTGCAGCCCTTTTCTCGGCAGCGAGCAACTGTTGGATACCCTGAGTGTTGTGATGAACTCCTGATGAATGCCCGCTACTCGAACTGTCTGATGACGCCTTATTATGGGATTTCTCCTTCATAAGTTTCATCAACGTCTCGTTTGACAAGCGTTTACGAAAGTTTGAAGCTTGATGAGAGCTAAAATGGTTTGAAAAGAAAATTATATGAGATTCTTGACATTTAACATGTAAACTTCATTGCAATTAGATTGACAAATACACTTTTTCTCAAATATGCTGTGTCACTTTTATGCTGTATTCTGAAAGTTATTTTACTATGTTTGTCCCTCTGATTCATCGAAATTCTCGGTAAAATTCAAGTCTAATAAAGTAAATGGTAGACAATTGTTAACAATTTCCATGTGAATAAATAAAACAATACCAGGTTTAGTAAGAATAATAGTTTATAGTTTTTTATAAAAATATTGTCATTATATAAATTGAATAAAATAAAACCTCAAATTCCTTTTAAGCTAATCAAAATTATCAAAGTCCCAGTGTCCTAACCTGCATATAATATATCACACAGTATATCACATCTTGTTATATGAAAAGATCACAATATTGAATCAAAAAAATAGTCTACTGCTTGGTGGTTTAACTGGTCCCTACTTTCTCTGCATCTTCAATATTTCTTCTTGCAACCTTTCTTCTTCCTTTTTAATCCTATCAAGCTGTTCATTGATTTCTTTTAGCCTGATGTTCTCCTGGTGCTTCTTAGTCAAAGTGTTTAGCATTACATCATCATCTATCATTTCCTTGGCAGTATGCTTTTTCTCTTCTTCTTCCTTAGCCAACTTATCCACTTCTTGATTGTACTCCTGAATCTTCCTCATCATTTCAATTTTATCCTTTTCTATCTGTTTTTGCCTCTCCTTATTTCTAGCTACTTTTTCTTCAATTTGTGACTTTAATGTATCCATAACTTTCTTGAATAAATTTGCTCGTATCGTTTCCTCCATCTTCCAAACTTCCTGCTGTTTTTCATAAACTGCTTTAGCCTCAGAATCAAAAAGACACTTTAGATGCTCCTCGGTCCTCCTCTCCAAGTCTTGATGTTCCTTAGTCATTGCAAAATATTTATCAAAACTTTCTCGGACTTCCATCCTCTTTGTTTCACTATCTAACATTTCTTGCAATTCCAATTCTTTCAGTCTATTTATCAACATTACTTCATTTGCTAGACTCTCTTGAATCTCATGAGCTTTCTGCTTCAATTTCATCTTATGTTGTTTGACATTGTATAAGGCACATTCAATAGTTGCTCTCCTTATTTCTTCTTTCTTATATTCTTCCTCTAAATTAGCTAAGACAAGTTGGTGTTTGTTTTCTTCAATTTCCTCCATTTTCAGCTCTTTATATGCCTCTTCCTTTTCATGCAACTCTTTCATGTGCAGTTCTAAACATTCCTTTAATCTTTGTTTCCTTTCCTGTACAAATTTCTCGAAATTCTGTTCTTCTTCCTCATGTTTCCTGAATTTTTCTTCTTTCTCCTTCAGCAACTGCTT